CATTGGTTAACATTAGTTAATATATTGAGTAACATGAACAATACATGTATTTATTAATCTTTGTTAATGTCGGATGATAAAAATAGTCATTCATTGTTTGTTTGTTAAATCACAGTGCATTAACTAATGTTAATGATGTATAAGTAAATGATGATATTAACAATAACTAAGATTAATAAATGCTATTATAAGTATTGTTTATACTTAGTTCATATTAACTAAAGAAGTTAACTAATATAACCTTATTGTAAAGTGTTACCTAAAATAGATCAAATGCAACAGAATTGAACTATATCTTAAAAAAAAGTGTAGGTATTGTCAAAACACTAGCAAAATAATTACGAAACTGATTGCATAAACAAATATATCAGTTTTCATATTACTACTTACAGTGTCTCTGTTAGACAAAAGAGATATTGATTTGAGCAGAAGCCATCCTTGGTTGCTTTTGACCTCTGACCTCTGAAACAACTGCTCCAATTCATACCGGGCTTCCTCTATTTTAAACAAAGCCATAAAAGCAACAGAAAGCACAATTAAAGCCATTTGATCTTACTATATATTAGCACACAACATTTAAGAGAGGTTTTAGGTTCTTTACACACAGACAAATCATTTTTTAATGATGCTTTTTAATGATTTTTAATGATGATATTAAATATAGGAAAGAAGAATTGAAAATAAATGCACACGAACAATAGTCAAATGGTCAACATTCATTTTGTTGCATGTTTGTGAAATAAAGAAGTGGGCTACTTCCCTTTGAACACAAACAGAATCTGTGTTTTCTTTGTATTTGCCCTTTAGTGACTTCACTAATGCCACTTTTATCACTTTGCAACTTTATTAATATACTACATTTACATACATGCTATTTTAGGTACCTGCAGGCTTTTCTGCCACTCTCTGCTTTATATGACAGACAAGAGCTTCTCCAACCTGCAGCGCCAGGCCCTGGAGATCCAGATCATCGAGGACACTGCCGCTCTCTGAGACCTTATGAAGAGTTAGTGGAAAGATTGTTCATGCTCATATTTAAACACAAACAAAATAATTATAAATAGGTTTGAAATGTTCATAAATCTCACAAAGGTAATCATGTTAATAGTAAATCGATAGCATAATCAGCACTCATCACAAGGCGAAAACATCTTCATAAAAACATTTTCAGTTCCCGAAGCTGAGTGAACATTTCACCAAACATTCCCGACTTCAATCCCTACTTCTGTGTGACTTTTCAAGCGGATGTGGTACCTCACTCCTTACTCTATGGTTGGTTAAATCCCAGTAAGAATGCATGAGTGGTAAGTCAAACGTGTGTAAACCTCCACACATGCACCAGCACAGCCTGTGAGTGTGACTACATCTCAGTATAGGGTCATGAGTGTTTGTCAATGCAGCCACATACCAGATCATTGATGGAATTTAAACGGGAAATGCAAGATTTTAGCTTAATCGATGTCAGCATAAAGCAAAGTGCTTCTGTCAAAGGAATGCAAATTTTATTCAATCACTGACGATTAAAGATTAAATCCAAAAGACTTTTATAACAACCCAAATATTATACACCTTTCATAATATTAGCTGCTCATATTATGAAAAGTGTATAATATTTGGGTTCTTATAAAAGTCTTTTGAATTTAATCTTTATATGACCAATATACATTATCAGTCAAATGTTTCAACACACCAAATTTGACTTGGATTGCTTTTATTATTAATTATATGAATTATGACTTTTTTTTAAGTAATTAATACTTTTATTAACCATATGCGAATTAAAAAAGTGATAGAAAAGATAGTAAAGGGATTGAACATTCTCTTCATGAAACAATATTAAGCAGCACAACTGTATTCTGAAGAATTATGCAACACTATAAATGTATAATTCTATAAATGTAATAAATATAATTAGCATTACAGGACACGTCTCTCTCTCTCTCTCTCTCATACATATTAAAAGCTATTTAAATTATTTTTGTGAATAATTTTAATAGCTGTGTCCAAAATTTTTGACTGCCAGTTTATGGAAATCAGTTCTCCTTCCTTCCTCTCACTGATTTTCTGTACCTGGATGAACAGAAGCAGTAGTCGGCTGAGCTCTTGGTCTGTTTGTTCTGGTGACCGTTGGCCCAACTGAGTTAGCTGATCTCTCAGAATCATAACTAGATCCTCCTCTGCTTTCAGGTCCCCATTTGTCTCACTGTTAATTTGGGTAGTTTTCAGTTCTGTGCTCTCTGAACTCTCCCCTGAAGCACTAAGTTCCCCGTTCTCCTTACTGATTTTGTCCATTTCTCCACCCGGCTCCTATAAAAAAAGAAAAAGAATGAAAAAAAAGGTGCTGAATGAAAGGTTACAAAACACTCTGATATCAGATTTGCTATTCTCTTAAAACATTTCCTGAATCAGCTTTCTCAATTAAGTGACTAACAAGGAAGTTATTGCACAAATAACTGCTTCTCTGATTTTTAGATTTTTTTTCTGTTGCTATATGTTGTTACTTAAATTTTACATGTCTAGGGAATTTTAGGTGAAACATGATCTGAGACAACATTATAAAGGAAGCATAAAAAGGAACATAATGTATTATCGATGCCTAAAATATAAAAAGGAACTCAAGTCTCTAGAGCCATAAAACATTATTTTTTCTAAGAAGATATCACAAAAAAATAGTACAGTATAAACATTGAAGCTGAAGAATATGAAAATATTAATTTAAAGGCAACTGCATTAAGTTGGAGGGCTTTCCTGCAACTTAATCAGTTGTTTGCAAGTTAATATGATCTTGTGATGTCAAGTCGTGAGCTTGTTTTGCTACAGGGAAGACAATTCACATTCCAGGAGAAATGACATGTTTGCACTGCACATTCCCACCAGTTTATTCACTCTGTGGCTAAATACAGCACATGAATGCCATCTCGTTAATCCAAAGCCTTGATTGTGGTATATAATATTCTCTTGCTGAAATGTTTAAATTTGCCACAATAAAATCTATCTGAATAAAAATAAACTAGTTTGCGGACAAACAAATTAGGCTAATAAAGCTTGACTGCTTTTGGTCACCTTTATCTTGCTGTCTTCCAGCAAGTTGAACCGCCAAGCAAAATAACCAGTTTGAATACACTTCAGTGAGACAAGTACCACAGCTGTTAACATTAGTCTCTGTAAGATAAAAGAATTAACCTCTAAAACTAATATGAACCCCAAGCGAAACTCCAGTTCAGTCAGACTGTAACCCGACACATACCTGTTGTTTGGTAGGTGGCATCTCAAGTCTTTGATAATTAAGGCTTGTGTACGTAGATTTATGGCTGGACAGAAGGCTTTCCTCTGGGTTCCCATATCACAACATTCAGTGAGTGAGTGGCCAGCTGAAACATGCCTCCTAATCCATGAACTTTGCACAATATGAAACTCTGACATCAGCTGCGCCTGGTCATGTGCCTCACTTCCTAGTGAAAAAAAGCAGAAGAAACACTATCTTGCGCATCTGTGTTTTCCACATTTGAATAGCCTCAGAATAGCATACTTTGAAGAAGACTACAGTGAAGGAATCGGGCTGATTTTCCTTAATTTGTTCAAAAAGTGAGATATAAAATCGACCAATCAAAAGTGAATTTGAGGGCACGTAAATAGTATCTGCCCTCTGGTGCTTAAAGTTAAAAAAAGAAAGATCACTAGGCGCTTTAAGATACAGTAGATGTTGAGCAATAGTGACATCGTGTGGTGATTTAAGATATCTCACAAATATTACACTGACTTTGCAAGAATGAAACGTTCTTACCTATTGTTCAAAAACAAAAATATAGACTATAGTTCTAATAAAAGAACAATTAAAATCGTACGGCTTTATCTGGTATATTAATCTCATATGTTTAGACAACTGTAACAAACTCATGGAGTGGATGAGTCAAATAACTGTTAGTGTGTTGTTGTTGTTGTTGTTGTTGTTGTTTTTTTTGGTTGAGCTGATGAAACACTTAACAGCTAGATTTTAAACACCGACTGAACGCAACATGTCTCTTCACGTTTGGGCATGATCAGTCGTCGTGTATCAAATGACATTCATATTACAGGCCTTGTCCTCCCAGGCATTATACATTCTCAAATTGCCAAAAGTGTCGCTAGCACTTGAATCCTTATTTTGATTAGGTTTGAGTTCTTGGTTGGTTTAGTTAGACACAAAACAGTAAAAATCTAAATTCCCTCCCCACACACAAACTGTCAGACAAAAATAGATCTTCAGATATGTAGATATACCATAGGAACCACATTTGACCGCTCAGTGAGGCAACAAGTCAGCTGCCAAAGTTTTTTGCACGCAATGATGGTCTCTGGTTTTCACGGTGCATTGAAGGACTTTTTGGGTGGCTAACGTTTCAGTGCAGTGGAAGCATTGTGCGACTGAGAAGCCCTACAATAACCGACAATAACAGACTACCTGATGATCAGTTGAGTAGTATGTCATAGTGAGTGAGTCAGTTAGTGAGTTGATTAATTGAGACGTAACATTAGCCTATTTAAAAATGAAAAGAAAAGAAAATTGTTGTAATGGGCGAGGTTTAGCAGCTCTCGGACGGTGTCTTAAATTATTATTTTATTTATTTCCTCTTGCTTAATTAATATTTATTTCTTTTCTTAATTAAAAAATGAATGTTAATGTTTTTAAAATATATTGACAGCATTGCAGCAGTCGAGGGTGACACTATCATCATGCGCTACCTGTGACGTTTCACCGCATTCAAGTTGGACCAATCACAGTCATTTGCGGTTACACCATTGACATGACTATGACTCCTATTTTTTTTAGATTGTTGCTGAGGTACAAAAATATTAGTATATCATGTTCAACCTTGCATAAATAAATACAAACGATTATTCTTTCATTGTCTTCATGAGACAAAAAAAAGTGGAGTATCTCTTTAAATGTGGTTCAAGGTTTTGGGCCGCCGAGCGCCCACTAGAGGAAGCATTAGACATTTCTCTCCCTTCACCTCCAGAGGGCGGGGTTTCCCTTAAATCAGTAGTACAGCATATTTGCTTATTATCAGATTCCCTCTTTTATCGGATGAATTATAATCCAACGGGGCGAATTTTGTGATGGACGTAGATATTTCCGTTGCAACAAACTAACACAACAATTAAAATAGCCTTTTATAATGACTTCCTACAGTTGACCGATCATTTCTTCAGTCTACAGTAGGCGTAACGTTAAATAAATGGTGGCAGAATGTTGCAGGCTTCTTCAGGAAGTTGTATATTTGAATCGACTCAACGGGGTGAGATCGATCAAATTAACCATTTATTACAGCAGGATCGGGGAGTCTTAAAACAAAAAGGTGAGTCTTTTGTTTTAAATGGTGCTGAAATGGGTCCACAGTGAAGATAGCAGAGATTGCACTGATCTAACGTACTGGTCAATAGAGCTTCAAGCGTGTTTCTCTCTCCCACCTATGGTTGGGTTTTTTATCTATTATGGCCATTGATTACAGAAAAGACCCAATCGTGCGATAACTTTCAATGCACTTGTCTTTTCAATAGCCAGCTTTTTCCATACTGTTTCCGTCCGATACCTGTTACGCTTTGTAAGATGTCCTCTAGCAGCATACCCTTTGTAGTTCAATGGTAATTTAATTCAATTCACATTTATTTATATAACGTTTGCGCTTTTCACAATGCATAGCGTTTCAAAGCAGCTTTACAGAAAATGCATGTGTCTACATTACGATAGAGAGTGGTCTGCTATCAGAGGTCACCTGTTTGTCTACGTTATTTCAGCAGTGGTGGAATGTAACGAAGTACAAATACTTCGTTACTTTACTTAAGTAAATTTTTCACGTATCTTTACTTTACTTAAGTACAATAAATAGTGCCTACTTTTTACTTTTACTTCGTTACATTTTGCAGCAATTATTATACTTTCTACTCCACTACATTTCTACAACTTCTGTTACATTTTCGTTACATTTTCTGATCAGTTTTTCCTCTGCCAAAACGTAATCTGACTGTCCGTTCGTTGCACGTTTGTCTCACCAGTGACGTTTGGTTGCCATAGATACAGTATATCAACCCGGTCACACTAAATGCGTCTCACACGCAGTGCGTTTATCATGCAACTCATACGCGAAAATTTGTTTTTACGTGCATAGGAAACACACCGTGTGTAATATATGTTTGGTTTGGTTAGGATTATGGCAAGCCAAGAGGTTCAGAATTACACCATAAATGAATCGCGTTTACTGCCAAACAGTTATTAACATATAGTAAGGATAAGCATGATATTGCCTAATTGCAAGCTTGTTTCAGAAATGGTGACATTTTTTTTCCATCATTATTGAACATCATTAGCCTATAGGAGTAGGCTATTAGGTTGAATGAGTTAGAATTAAATGTTTTATTAATCATTAGAAAATAGACATTAAGATAATAAATTGTTATGCAAGTACTTTTACTTTTAATACTTAAAGTAAATTTAAAATAAAGTACTTTTTACTTTTTACTTAAGTATGGTTGTCATTGTGTTACTTCTACTTTTACTAAAGTAAATATTTATCTGGGTATTTGTACTTTTACTTAAGTACTGAGATTCAGTACTTCCTCCACCACTGTATTTCAGAAATGTTACTGTATACAAATCACACAGTTTGTTAACAGTGTATTAAAGGCAGAAAGCAATGAGCTCATTGAAGTAATGAGTGACTTTAGGATGAACACTGATCCCTGTGGCACTCCATAATTTACTGACGTTATCTTAGATTTTTCCCTGTTTAAATAGACAAAATGGTAACAGTCTGATAAGTATGATCTAAACCACCTTCATAATGTAATGTAATTTGGTAACCATATAGTACTATATAGTACTATTGATTAATAAATAGTTTGTAAGGAAAAAAAGCTGAGCAAATTATAGGAGTCAATCCTGTTATATATCCATATATATATATTAATATATATATATATAACAATAAAACATTGTGAATTTAGTAGCACTGTATAAATTATAATAAAGGTGCAATGTGTAAACATTTTGAGTATCTATTAACAGAATTGCAATATGACATCCATAAATGGTTTCAGTGGTGTATAAAGAACTTATTTAATAAACCGTGTAATAAATAAAATATGTTTTTAATAAAAATGTTTTTATTACCTTAGAATGAGACATTTATATCTACATAACCTACATAATATGTTTGTCCTGTTATAGCCACTGTAGCTTCTTCGAAAGGGAGGGGTGAGCAGTGGGCTGAGCCCTTAATGCAACTCGCAACCGAACCCCTAGATGTCGCTAAAAATCACACACTGCACCTTTGAGACATAAAGCTCTGGTCCATTAGGCCTAAATAATATTATTAACATACACAACTTTGCTTTTAATATTTAATTATTAAATGTTGAAATCAAGTATTTTTCGTTGTTAGTTTATGTTATCGAACCTTATTGTAAAGTGTTGCCCTGCTAGGCATTGACATCATGAAACTCAGTAAAGCTGCTTTAAACGGTGTATATTGTGAAAAGTACAAAAAACATTTACTGTATGAAAAACTTTTATAACTGATGAGCAATACAGCTACATAGACATCAATGAGAGATTATTGTATACACAACTTTTCCACTGCATGTTTATATTTTAATTGTCAGCTCTTCTCAATACTTTTTCAAAGTCGTGGGGGTTTTTTTTATAAAGTTTTCTCATTTCCTTAGGTTGGGGAGGTTTCACAGCCCTCCACTTTGCTGCTCTCCACGGAAACCGGCCAGTGGCTGAGCTCCTGCTGAACAATGGTGCTGATCCAAACATCCCTTGTGATGCAGGACAAACTCCTTTTCACTTCGCTTGCAGGTATGAGAGACCTCATCCATCTTATGTTTGTAATTTTAATTAAAACATCCATCATAAACTCTGCTTTTCCTGAAAGATAATAAGGGCTTACTGTACTGTGTATTCTAACAGAAATGGCAATATTTACATCATGCACAAAATGATGCAGCATGGTGCAGACTTACAGATATTAGATGAGCAGGGGAAATCATCTCTTCATCATGCAGTCGGTGGTGGAAGTGTGTAAGTAACTGGGCCTGTTAACAAAAAAAAAAAAACACTCAGTATTGTTAAAAGAATTATAGTTTTGTTTTGGTGTATGCTGCATTATATTGTTCCTATGTTTTTCTCAGTTTCTCTACCATTTTCGTTCTCAGTATTGCCTCACAGTACCTGTGGGAGACTGGAATGTTCCGATTCTCGGATGCAGATAACTATCAGGTCACTCCGCTGCATTTGGCAGCTTCCACGGGCAATACTGATGTAGTCCGGTATCTCCTTAGAGCGCATGTAAGCACTTTTACTTTACAGCACTGCTTGTTCTCTTATAGGGTGCAGCTAGGCTAAACGGCCACCAACACACTGATAGTCAAGAGCAGAATGGCTGAAACTGCTAAAATTGCTCTTATGGAATTTCATTTTATTGGAATGTTACTTTGTTAGAGTAGTTGTAAGTGTAACGGATGTGAAAGGACACTCACAAATGGGATTCAGCTTCAATTTATCTTTTTTTGGAAACAACAAGAAAGAAAAGTTACATTGTGGCTGATGACAGACTGCAGACATTCATATGGACCACAGCGTCGACACTTGAATCTGCTGTGAATAGTATTATTCACATTAAACACATAGTATTGATATACAATGTGAACAACTTAACATAATACTCATAATAAGCACACCAATGTAAATGTACAGAATAGTTAATTGCAGACAACATCAGTAAATCTTCAATAATTGTCAAATAACATTTGTTAATAGAATAAACACGAAAGCAACATACCTTTTTTTGGAAACAACAAGAAAGAAAAGTTACATTGTGGCTGATGACAGACTGCAGACATTCATATGGTCTAGAAAGATAAAGATTACACATTCAATTAACTCATAATACAAAAAATCGTCAGATAGTTAAGACAGACGCAATAATCACAAGAAATGAATCCGTGCTTGCACATGTGACGCACATGTAAATTCAATACATCTTATAAAACCCTCAACAATCGTGTTAAAGTGCAAAATGCATTATCCATATGTTCACATATATGTATGCAATGTATTAAGTCAAAAAGATTCACTTGAAACGCATCATTTTCACAATTAATTTGTTAATGCGTCAGAGCATGAAAAACCATACATACCCACAGCGTCGACACTTGAATCTGCTGTGGTACGGCAAGAGAAGAGCGACAAAATCAAATATCTGCAGTACCATTAATAGCCACAGGAGGGGAGCCTTCTAACACCAATGAATACACCCAAATGCCTTATTTTATGAAATTCACACAAAACTTTAAATCAAAGGTTCTTTTTAACCCTGTTACATAAGGTTTAAAATGTTCTTAATTGTAAACTAGAGCAGACTGTGATTAAAGAGACTTAGACAATAATAGGCTAAGCTGCAGCACCATCTTAAACTTATACATGCTTTAAAGTCGTCATGAAATGGAAATTGCAATTTTCTAGTCTTTTCTTCTTTATAGAGTGCAACAGTTTTTCGGAAGTTTTTCATTCATTTTCTTCATAAGGAAATGGATATTGAACGAGGACTTCTAAACCTTTAAAGACTATGAGATTTGAGCTTGTCGATCCAGCCATAAGCATTATTTCACCTTATTTTGAAAACAATCCTGTTTAACAGTGGAATTCCTGGTGAAAACTACATTACCCATGATGCTGTACAGAAGATCACACCAATCAGAGAGGCTGAAAAAGAAACATGGTCCAAAATAGCTCTTTAGCTGCACCCACTCCCAGAAGCCCATCTCCCTACTTTCCCAATATTCTGATGTGTGTGTGTCTGTGTGTATATATATATATATATACTGTGTATATATATACTATATGTGTGTGTGTGTGTGTGTGTGTGTATTTTGCTTAAATAACTTAAATATTTTAACTTTAACTTAAATGTAGATTGTATTTTTGTATATATAAAATCAATATTTGTAAATGAGTAGTTTTTCCATTGTTTTTAATTTGATTATGCTGTTCACAATACTTGATGGGATTGTAGTTCTTCCCTCACTAAAACTATTGTCCTTTTGGCCAATTTATAAAAAAAAATGTTTTGCTTCAAATCAAAGTTTGTAGTGTTGATTCACCTCATAGCTAATTGGCTTGGTTTATGGCTTATATGGCTATAACTCTTTAATGACTATTTTAAAATCTTAAAGGGAAAAATGAATGGAAAAAAAAAATACTTTCGGAACCAGTGCCACTGAAAAAAGGGACGGGCACATTATCCAAGTGAAATGTATGGTGTCCCTGAAGTGCAAATGTAATTCAGAAAACATAATAGCAAATCGGAAAACACAACAGCAATTAAGAAAGCAACATCAAATTATTAAATGGGTTATTTGTAGGTCTACACACAATCCAAAGAATTTGCCTGGAAAAGCCATCGACAAAGCTTGTCTAAACGGTTTTAACTTGTCATATCTAGTCAGATATAGTTTGAAGTACTAGGTGCATCTCACAAATTTACACAGATTTTCTTGTGGGTTTCTTGTGGGAATGCCAGGTTGTCCCTCGCGACACTAAACACATCAGAGAGAAGAGATATTGTTGCAAGAGGGAGGGAAAGTTAAAAGTTCTGAAATCACAATTTATAGTTTCAAGTATGTATTTAATCAATGTATTGTTTATATAGTACTTTAAGGTCTTTTCTTTTTGTGTCATTTGTTCATGTCTTTAACCAGAGGTGCACGCCAGAGGCAGTTGACCACCAGGGGGCGTCAGCACTTCACGTTGCTGCAGAGAAAGGCATGATTGAGGTGTGCTGGCTACTGTTGAAGAGTGCCGGACTCCATATTTTACACATGAAAAACATCACTGGCCTCACACCTCTAGACCTCTGTAATCAAGGGAATACTTTTAGGTCTGTTGAGAACCAATGAAAAATGTAAAGGATCTAATTCAGATTATTTATTTATTTATTTATTTATCTTTCCAAGAGTTGTCGAAAAAAAATTTGGAAACACAATTAAAAAAAAAATGTTTGTGGTCAAAAAAGGAGTATTTCAGTTGACCTTCACTGCAACTAACATATAACCTTAAATGGGGCATATATATATATATATATATATATATATATATATATATATATATATATATGCAGTGATGTGAATAAGTTAGGACACACTTAAAGTTGCCTAAAAAGAGGAATAAAAAAATCATCTTTTGAAATTTATCTTAATGCCTTAATTTAAAAAAATTAGGAAAAATCTAACCTTTAATGTTCTTCCTTAAAATACAAGGGTACATAAGTCAGAGCACACCTTTTTATTTTTAAATAAAAAAAAAATTAATTTTAAAAATAAAGGTCAGGCAGATTTTTATTTTTAAAGGCCAGTTATTTCATGGATCCAGGATAATATGCATCCTGATAAAGTTCCCTTGGCCTTTGGAATTAAAATAGCCTCACATTGTCACACATCCTACACCATACCTAGAGATTGGTATGTCCTTAAAGGTTGGATTTTTCCTCTTTTTTTTTTTAATTAAGGCATTAAGATCAATTACCAAAAGGTGATTTATTTATTATTATTATTTTTCCTCTTTTTAGGCAACTTTAGCATGGGTGTCCTAACTTATTCACATCACTGTATGCTGTATATTATTTTCAGTTTGTTTTGATTATTTGTATTTCACCAGTAATTACATTTTCTATTGTTACCCGAATAAGATATCTACTTTTTTTCTCTCCCTCATTTTTGTGTAGACATCAGCAGCTCTCCAGGATTTTGACAAATTTCATTCAACAACCAAAAGATCTGATTCCTAAGGACTCATATGGTACAGTATCATCTTGTTTCCTGTGGGATTATTGTATTGTAATGATATTCATTGGCTGTAATGTTTATTCATGAAATGATCTGTTGTCCAGTGATGTACTTCTGGGTGCTGTTGTTACCATCTCTCAGCGGGGCAGCAGTTCTCATTATAGCAGCGGCTCTTGGTGAATATGGGGGTATTTTCTCTGCAGTGCTTTTCCCCTGTATGGCAAAAGTCATTCTTTCTCAATATCACAGACTGAGCAGCTTTCAAAGGTTAGGGCCTTGTTATTGGAAATTGCTTCATCCCTGATAATATAAGTGATGTTGATGGCGTTATAATAATCTTTTTAATCTTTGATTTGGACTGTAGGTTACCAAACCCTGTTTACCTGGGAACACTGACTGCAGGTCTAATTCATTCCACAGCTTGTTTTCTCTATAAAATTGTCCCTAATATCCTTTGCAGATAAAGCTTATGGCATCAACCTCTTTTACAAGTTGAATCGTTAGGAATGTTTTATGTAAATGTTTCCTTAACTGCTCACGTTTTTGGCCAGCTCATACCCTCTTACACATTTCACTTGTCCATTTTTGTGTGCTTGCTGGACTTTTTTGGAAAGTTCTAAATCAGAACCCAGGACAACTCAAAGAAGCTGACACTGATTCCCGGTTTTCCAGCATAGGAGACTTAATGGAAGCCGGCCAGAGCCCAGCCAGATTCTGTATTTATTGTGAGGTGAGCACTTCTTTAACCAGCACTGTTTGCTGACTAACATTCTTCGATAAAGTTGATGTATCTACTGGATTAAAATGTTTGGATCGCCAACCATTTTTGAAAGGCTAAACAATTAATTGAATTAATATAATTAACTTTGACATTATTAATCAAATTCTAATTTTTTTTCTGTGGGGGCTTGGATCATCAACCATTTTTGGATGGTTAAATCCTTCAAGTAAAATAAAAAAAATAATTTAATTAATAATGATTTATTTTTATTATTATTATTAAATTTGACTTGTTATTATAATTAAAAATAATAATACAATTCAAATGTAATAATTGTAATATTTAGCACTGTATCCTAATCTGATTGCTGACTAACATATTTTCAGAAATTCAATTTATTTATTTTATTAAAACTCTTAAGTATATATATATATATATATATATATATTTGTGTTATTAAATTATAGTATTAAATTATATCATGTTTGTTGATACTTGTTGAAAAAAATAAAAATTTCAAAACTGCACAAGCTATTCTCTTTCAGCTAATTCAAGTGGATAATTGCAAACACTGCCGTTTGTGTGACGTGTGCATCCAAGACTACGACCACCACTGCCTCTTCCTCAATCAGTGTGTGGGACGGGACAACCACCGCATCTTCATCCTCTTCATCATGTCCATGGTAATGGCTCATCTCATCTTCATCCTCAGTGCCGTTTACTACCTCTACCTGAAATTCTCAGGCTTGCAGCTGTCAGACTGGGGCTCAGTGGTGGGAAAAGAGGCTTGGGTCGTCCTGCTGGCTCTGCTCAACATGCTCTCTCTGATCTGGGTGGGATGGTTGCTATTCGAGCAGCTTAATGCCATTTCCATGGGAACCACCACCTACTTTAGGCGGTATGACCACAAGGGGCCTTCGAAAAGACAACGGTTGGCAACAGTCCTCTCTTTTCTGCTTGAAGGGAAAAGAAGACCGGAGCACAGTCAGTCTTTTAGCATATAGAGACAATTATTTAAATTATAAAGCAACATAACAGTTTAATCTGTATCTTATTGTTGTTTATAAAAGCTATCTGAAGGAGTCAAAGCTAGTTGGTGGAAGTCAGAGCCAGTCTGCAGATTTTGTCCTGTCGCGTAGTGTACTGTATGATGGGCACCGATTCCATGTAACAATATTAAAATTAAAAAAACGAACAACTTAAAACAAAAGAACATTATTTTGAGTTCCATAGTTTGTAAGAAAAAAATAAAAGAAATCCAGTATTACCTAGAGGTCACTGCTGGTTTTCCAATCCCATAATAGTATCTGTACTGTGATTTATTTTTTGTCAATATGTGGAATATTTTAAATAAACATCTTTGTGTCAATTCATACTTTTTAGTTTCTTATTTTTAAGTAAAACATAATGGATGAATGAGGTCAAATGAAAGAGAAAACCGATCAAACAACACTCTGAAAACAGATTATTGGCATATTGACACTGTTTATTGGCATATTATATTGGGATAAAGTCTTCGTTTTAATTATTCTACAATTTTTTTTTTGAAACATCAATTTAATCTGGTTTAACACTGAATGTATCTATTGATTTGAAAGTAATTCTTGACCAGACGTCAATTCTGGCTGCTCTGACTGCATTAGGATTATGAAGCGCTTGCGCTGCGTTCCCAGCTCTGCTTTTAAGACGGATGTCGTCATTAATCATCTGCGAGGCCTGTGTAGTCTGCTGCTAATTTTCCATTGATTTTGCTGCAGTAATACCATTCATTGGGGGAATCTGCAGACCTATATCATTGTTCTAAGTGACATGGCAATGAATAAAAGAATTTTGTTTCATTTGAGTCATGCGAATGCAGGAGAGCATATTCAACATCTTATCTAAAAACTCTTCAGTCTTTTGCAGTGAATCACTGCATCACGTGCTCGTCTTCAGTCCCTCTCTATCACTGGATTAAATTATCATTCTGTCTAATTGCCAGTTTATTCGCTCCCACGCTATATGCTGATATTTGAATGATCGTTGCAGGCTTCTACTTTGAGTCTGAATACATTTTTTTGTATGCATCAGTCTTTACACTTAATATTACATGATTTCAGGGCAAACACACAGTCTACACTGCCCTAAGCTAACTTGACTCCATAAAGTAATATAGTTATTATACATATTATTTTGCAGAAGAGCGACAATAATCCTTGACTTTATACTGGAATATTGTTGCTCTTCATTTAATGTATTTGTTCAATTAGTACCAATATGAGTTGTACAAAATATGTAAATCGTTTGGACAACATCTTACATCTTCATGGAGGCAATTGTACACTCCACTGCTGTTTTCACTTCTGCATTAGCAGTCGTCATTTCCTTAGATGTGTCTGCCAATCTACCAACTTTCTTGTGATTTTACACTTCTCAGCTTTTGGAAATTTCCCCTTTATAATGCAGCTAAGCACAGACTACTTTAGAGTTCATTGGATAGCAAATGTGAAAATACTGACCTCATAGTGTTTGTGTTAGACTAATTTTCTCTTTTTGATGATGTGAAGGCATTTTTCTATAAGTTCTGGTTTTATTAGATCTGCATTTAGTTCTGACTTGTAAAAATCATTCTCCTCCCCTCAGTTCCTTAAAGGGAACTAAGTCTCTTGGTGAACTTTATATGTATAACTAGTTCTCATTTTACTTTCAGATGTTTGAGGCGGTTCGTTTCAAATGCCATTCTTGAAGATGCTAAATTGTTAGCCCTGATGTACAACTCTGATTGTTCACCAAGGAGACGATGGAGATTTTTAGGTAATTAGTGGACTTTATATTCTTATTTGTCTGAAAGTGATTAATTTTCATTTGATTTCAACATCTCTTATAAGTTGAGTAACAGTATGAATGGCAAATTATTTGAAAAGGGCCTGAGAGCTGAAACATTTGAGTTAAATAAAGTGACAAAAGATTTAAAATTTTGAATGCGAATCCATGACCTTGTTTAAATAAATTATTGTAACAGTCATAACATTTATTATTTGTAATCACAGCATTTTTTTTCTATTGTCAAATCAACTTAAATAATTTATGTAGTTCATTTAACATAATATTTTGAGTTTCTGATGATTAAATCAATGTCTTTCATTGTATTAACTGAATTTTTCCATTTCAATGAACTTAAAATTTGAAGGCAACCAGGTTACTTAATTTTTTCAAGTTAAACCAACTAATTTTTTTTTACAGTGTTTATTGTTAATAAGTAATTAGAAGCATATGGTCACCATATAGTTTTGCTGTCAAGACATAATTACTGTTGCAATTGTTGTGAAATGTTTGAAATATTGATGTGTAAAAGGGACATTGTACTGTTACTGAGAATATTGAGGGGGAAAAAGAAGAACAAAAACATTTTTGTGTTTTACAAATTCATTATCAATGCAACTATGTTAATAATACTGTTAAAGCAAAATGAAGGATGAATAACAATTTAAAGAACTAGTGTACCTTAAAATAAAAATTACTTACCCAAGCCTATAAGCTATTATTTTAATTCTATCTATCTCACAAAAGTGCCATTAAAATAGCTCGTATGAATTCTGTAATATATGCCAATTCTGAAGTCATATTTTATTTTTATTTTTTTGCACCTAAAATCCATTCTGTCCCTCACAATAACCTATTATATGATTTCAGAAGACTTGGAATACAGCACATCATAACAGGTAGACTACTTTTATTGTATACTTTTAGGTCGTTTTTGGAGGCTTGTTGTATAGAAATATCTGTGTGAAACTTCAAAAATCTATTTTTGTGCTCCACAGAAAAAAACAACAACATGATATGGGTCGTAACTAGAGTCAATGACAGAATTTACAACAACTATCCCTATTACAACTTTATTGTTGTTGTTTGGAAGTCATTTGAAATTGGAAAAGCTTGGAAAAGTGAAGGAGAGAAATAGAGAAGTACATACACTAATACTCACAAGCACATGCACATACATTCACCAGATTAAAGAGCCAATTAGGAGGGGGGGGGGAATGGCAGAAGCCCTTCTGTTTCTGCTTCACTGAATTATTGAGTGTAATCATACAGGCCTTTAATGGCTGGTCCGGAGTGGAATTAATTTGGGTGGTGTGGGATAAATAATGCATTATGGGTAAGGGTGGATCTGAGCGTGTGCAAGAGGTCTCTCTCCTCCAGCTGCCTCTGCATGATTAGGGTGGGAGGGGCCGGGAAGCGTGCCGCTCAGTGCAGTGGGACATGAGAGAGAGGAAGGGAGGAGGGAGGAGGACAGATGCTGTCCAGAGCAGGCGGAAGAGGTGCAACAGGGCGAGGCTCAGGAGGAGAGAGTAGAGTGCGGATCCCAACATGTGGATGGAGGACAGTGTTTCTCCGCTATGAACACCATGTTAAGCCCCAAGATTAGACAGTCCAGGAGAGGTAAGAATAAAATGATCTGCCTTTAATTCTCAGCATCACTGTCATGCGTTCCCATCCGTAGCAACACCCTCTTAAAGCTGCGCTCACTACCGGCTCGTAGTCCGCTGATCTCACAGTGATGTGCTGTTGAGGATAGTATATTTCTCTGAGGCTCCATGGCAGTGATCCAACACACTGGGCGGTTGCTTGGTTACATCTTTCAGCTTGATTAGTGGTTAATGAATGTAAGTGGTCTCTGGCTTTGTTTCACACCCCTTAACCAGGAAGTCATGATTCGGATCTTGACACATGCTGATGCGCTGATGTTTTATATTGTGATTTTGTTTGACTTTTTTCGTTCATGATGGTGCAGAAAACTCAAGGAGTGTGATCATTATATTTCCATGTCATTTTCTATACATGAACTCATGTTCTATTCTTGGTCTATGATGAATTGTAGTCTCAACACTCTAGGGACTTATAGGTGCAATAAATCATAACAGCTGAATGTCAAACTGTTTCACCTGTGTGAGAGAAAAGCTTGCTGACAATAGCCTGGAGACTGCTGTACTGTTAGGACGTACAGCATACTTAATATACTAAACAGTAGTTTGTAGGTTTATTGATCAGATTGCACTTCACAATAAAGTTCATTATGATACCTAATGCATTAACCAGTGAACAGTACTTTTGCAGTATTTTATGATTTAGGTTACATTTTATTTCCACATCTATTAATGCATTTTTAACATTTCCTGTTCTATAAATGAACAATAGGATTATGTACATGAAATAACACTTGGCAAGTATATTTACAAATTAAACTAGATTGATAAATAAATTGGATTTTTTATGATACTAAATTAAGCCTTTTTCCTGATTACTTCTCCTCCTAAATGGAGAATAGTCTTGTCTGCTTCAGCAGATGTGCAGGAGGCTATTTGTAGATTGATTTCCACCCTGCTGTGCAACATAAAGCAAACAGGAGTATTTGAAGAGCACTGTCTGTCTGCTGGGCTCTGCATTTGTCATCTTGCATATGGATTGTGTCACTTTTGATGAGGGTGTTGGGTTTGCCGTGTTTTAAGCAGCCACAGCATATATTCCAGCGCAGGGACATAATGTCGACTGGTGTGTCATTCTGAGTGTCAGAAAATGAAGTGAAATGAAGTGGATTTACAATTGCATTTTAATTTTGTGCTGTATTTATGATGTGTGTGTATGTATGTGTGTGTGTATATGGATATATATATATATATATATATATATATATATATATATATGAAGAGTTCAGATGCAAAAGCCTCTAAGTGCCATTTTAAATTTTCTTCTAGAATGATCATTTTTATCAAACTTGTATGTTTAAGTTCTGTAATTTCACTTATATGGCAATGAAGATTACCTATTAATTGTCATTTAAGTGAAATTACTGAATTTAAATATACAAGCTTGATAAAAATGATCATTCTAGAAGAAAATTTAAAATGGCACTTAGAGGCTTTTGCATCTGAACTCTTCATATATACACACACACTCACACACACAATATAGTAACGTTCGGATTCTTTAAGACATATTGCAAATGCAAAGGTAAACTCAGTGCATCTTTTTAGGAACTTTAGGCATTTTTATTTTTACAAGTCCTGCTATAATCCCCAAGACTTTAATTATAATAGAGCTGGATTCAAATTCATAGTGGAACTAAGGTATAATCCACACCATAAGAGCTACACAAGATTCATTATTATTCTGTTCCTCATGTCATACTCAAGGTGTCCTCATAAAACATGTCTTGTACCAAAGTCTTTATTACGAGGCTATTTTAAGCAGCCTGATCATTTCAGGCATAGATTAATTGTTGATATTAATTCTTAATCATTCTCAAAGTCTTCATATTTAGTAGCAGAGCTCTGAAAGGATATTTAAAGAACAGACACACAAAGAAAGACTCTTTTGTCATTCCAAAAAAAAAAAAAGAGTCTGAATTAAATATGCATGGGCTTGGTCAGACATCCAGTATTTTTAGACTTTGAACATGTTACAGGCATCTGACAAATTGAGGAAATTTGAAAATTGAGGCTGACCCTCTTCCTGGTCAGCAACCTGCATGTTATTGAGAGTTGGCCTCTAGGTTTATGGGTAATAAGGAGAAACATCATTCTGTGTGTCCCTGGAGAATGTTGTTTAAAAGGTTGGATAATTTAGGGGGCTTTTCTCCCACCCTCTTCCTTCCATTTGTACTCTCCATTCTTTCTCTCTCCATGAGGCTATGTGGTGTACATTTACACTGATGAGGCTTCCATTACTTACAGTGATTGAATCAGAGTGGCAGCATTTGCAGCCCTTCATTCAGATGGGGAGGAAGAGTAGCAGAATGTGCAGGTCAAGAAAGAAAGAAAGAGAGAGAGAGAGAATAACGTGATTATTTATGGCAAGAAAATAGTATTTAAGAGGAGGGGGTAAAAATCATTGTTCTTTATGTGATGCTGTCAACGTTTTAAACATAATTTTATTCAATTTTTATATATTGTTATACATTTTTTCCCCATATTTTTAATGTATTTAAAAAAACATAATAATAAGAATTCGCAAAATCCATTGCTAATACTAAAGATGTCTTTGATTTACTTTATTAATCACCCAGGGGGAAATTTATATCTCACAGCAGCACAAAAATACAATAATTAAATAAACAACAACAACAAGTCTTGTTCTCAAATATCAATTTTTCAAAGCATTATGACTGATTATATACGACCATAATCTGTATCATCTTATATAACACTGATTATAAAATCTAATTGCAGTTGGAAAAAAGACTTTCTTAAACGCTCTTTGTAGCAGCTTGGATGAATTCATTTTGAGCTGTCGGTACTCACAAAAGCTCGAGATATTTCATTAAGAGGATGACAGTCATGTTTAATTATAAGAGAAAGTTTCCCAATCATGTTATCCTGCATTATCTCATATAAAATGGGTAACACACTCCCCACGACAGAGCCTGCCTTCTTTATGAGTTTATTTAACTTATTCTTCTCCTTTTCCAACAGTCCCCCTCCCCAACATGAGATAGAGAAGCCTACAAAATCACATATGAGACTACAAAGTCATTGAAATTCTTAAGTAGTACCTGACGTAGGCCTACATAATAGGAATAACCCAACCACATTGGGCCACTGATAAAGGCTAGAAAAAAAATCAATCATGACTTAGCAAATAAGAGCAGTGGGACAAGACAGAAAGAGGGAGCTCGAGAGTGATCCTGAACACGGCTGTACAAAGGTTGGGAGTGCACTCATGTTTACTGCCATCCTGCTGTTCTCAGCGCACCGGAAAGAAAGGATTGATTTTTCCCTTCCGGCGCACGAGTTGCTTGTGTCACTGGGCATGCCTCTCAAAAACAAAGAACAAAAAAAACAAAAAAAAAAAAACCACCTTATCTGATCCGCTTTGTTGTGGTTTGTGTTTCTCAGGTCAACATAAGTGGAATTTAAATTCATGAATAAGCCCAAAATTGTTTTGCTTTTGTATCACTGATGAACCTGTCATAAGGCATACATGATACATCTTGTTTTCAGCTGTGGTGGCAAATTGCTGACATTGCTGAACACATCTAAGCATTTTTATGAGCATTCTGTGCATATGCTTGTCCAAACTAGTGGAGGCGAATTCACTTGGCTTGGATTGAGCAGAATGGGAATGTATTTGTGACATAATCAAATGTATGTATGTGTGTTTGCATTTCCAGCTAGGTCTAAGAGCATGGTCATGGGGGAGCTCTCCAGGCCGTCGTCACCCAGCCTCCAAGAGAGGGCGCTGAAAGCAGGCTGGCTTAAGAAACAGCGCAGCATCATGAAGAACTGGCAGCTGCGCTGGTTTGTGCTCCGGACTGATCAGCTCTTCTTCTACAAGGATGAGGAGGAAACCAAACCACAGGTACAGTGGGAGGAGGACCTGAGAACTGAGAATAAGGATAAATGTTTTGTCAGAATATCATTTTATCTGAAATGTAAGGTTGTCTTGATTCCCACAGCCACATTAATCAAACATAAAATCTGACCCTGTTGTGTCTAAACAGTGTGATAGTTAATGTTCCAAAAATAGATTTAAATAAAAGAAGAGACCTTGACCTCTTATTTCATATCTGATCAATAACCCTACCTCTAAAAAAAATCAATATGTTATCCCTCTTACTGATTTAAGCATTGATTGTGAGATAAATAATGACTTTTCTTTTTTTCAAGTTCAACCCCTCGACCCACAATTCACACCATCTACAGGATATTGGACTTGTATGATATCAGTAGGAGGGACAACACTGTGTTTTTTTTTCTCTCTTCAGAAAGTGGTTCTAAAAGTATCACTTATTTGTTGAGCTACTGTATGTTAAAAGTTTATGAATATATATATATATATATATATATACAGTATATATATGTATATATATATATATACTATTGTTCAAAAGTTGTTCTTTTTTGTAATGAAAGAATTGTATAGGCCTACTTATATTCAAGGATGCATTAAACTAATCAAAGGTGATAGTAAAGGCATTTTAAAAAATCTATTAAGAAATGCTGTTCTTTTTTTTTTTTGTGAACAATTTTTTATTTTTTTTTTATTTTGTATTTGCTTTCATATTAACAAACATATATGCTGAAATGAAAAATGCTGTTCTTTTGAAATTTCTGTTAATCAAATTTCAGATTTCACAAAAATATAAATATAAATATTTCAATTGTGATGGTAATAATAAATGTTTCTTCAGCACCTAATCAACATATTAGAATGATATTCTGAAGGATCATGTGACACTGAAGACTAAAGTAATGATGCTGGAAATTCAGCTCTGCCATCACAGAAATAAATTACATATTAGAATGGCAAACATCTATTTTAAATTGAAGTAATATTTCACAATATTACTGTATATTTGATCCAGTAAATTCAGACTTGATTAGAAACGTCTTTCAAAAATATTACAAAACTTTTGAATCTTGTAATGTATACATTATATATATATATACACAAAATTTAAACTATATTTTGCAACCGAAAAGGATTTTTTTTAAAACTACAGCTAAATAAATTTGTTTGTCATTTTTAACTCCCCTAAAATTCCACTTTTTCCTTGTTGCTGCTCATGGTTTTTGTTTAAAATTATGAGAGTTCATGTGAAATAGTTGATATATAGTATCCTTTGTTTGTGAGTTATATGCATGCTATTTGATTTAGTATTATTCTGAAAAATAATCAACAAAAAATAAGTAAAAGAGAAAAATATGAAACTTAATATCACACATACACTAGGGATTCATTATCCCCTGTCAGCGAGGCTTTTGGAAACAAAGCTCTGTCCGCCACAGTCTCCATTACAGTACGATGACATCAGCATGCTGTTAGCCTGACAAACTCATTTGGAAACAGCATGCCCTCCTGCTTGGCTGTAGTGTAAGTCAAAGCATTTAGCGGAGACAGAGCAGCTGACCCATGACCCCTAATGCAGCATGACTTTACTCTGGCTCGTCCATCCTTCGATTCATATTATTCTCCTCTGGAGGCCATAAACTCCCTGTAATGCCCCCGCTCTCTTTCTCCACCCCCCTCCCCCCCCCGACCCCACCCCATCTCCATCACAGCTAAATTCAATCTCCGCTGCAGAAATGTGCCCAGCTTGCATTTGAGCGTGTAACCCTATAAGCATTTACCCTTATCAATGCATACCCTCTGAAATTTCATTTAACTGTTATTGAATGGCAGAGACGAATTTTCAGAGCGATGCGAGCTTGCATTTCTGTGTTAATGCAGTGAAGGATGGAGGATGAGTTAAATGAGGCTGGTGCATAATTTATGATTTGGCTGTCATTGTGTCTAATTTTGCATGACTCAGCATTACTGATTACGATGTAAAATTGGGCCACGCACACAACAGAGAACTCACACAATGCCTAATCTGCCCTGAAGTTTAACCCCGGTTCTTATTAGCACCACAAATCAATAATCAAATTACAATAGACTAATGGAACACTGATCTCCTGTTATCACGGCAGAGAAATTGTTCATTATGCTAATGCTTTAACAGATAAAACAGCTTAAAATGTTGAACAGTTCTAAAATCGAGTGGCTTGGACACACACTGTGCTAAAGACGTGCCTTTCAGCCCTCTTTTCACTGTAAAGTCATCTTTTCGGTCTTTTTCCCTCCAGGGATGTATCCCGTTGCAGGGTAGTCAAGTCAACGAGCTGACAGCCAATCCTGACGAACCTGGGCGGCATCTTTTTGAAATAGTTCCAGGTAAGAGATAATTAAATATTCCTGAATCTTCTGTGGTCTGATTTAAAAACCATTTCAATGGTTTGTGCCATCAGGGCATAATCTGTGCATGTTATATTTTATACTCGCTTACATATATACTCTTGGTCCTATTGCCACTCAAGGAGGAATATAATGGCAAAGCAAGAAAACAAACAAGGCACTGTGCTCACAGGCTTGCATATTGTTACTGATGAAATACAGCTTCCTCATTACTAGAGGTAATCACTAGAGGGCATGAGGTGTCCTCTGAGGATTCATGAAGGACATTTTTGAAGACTAAAATCCATTCATTTGCAAAAACGCTGACCACCTACTGTGAGGTGTAAAAGTCTGAGACCACATTGAAAATCTTAAAATAAAAAAGATGAACAACAAATTAAAAATAAAATTTTATAAAGTATGACGTTGAAAAGGAAAAAATAAAAAAATGCATGCAAAATGAAATATTTAAGACTTTATGACATTGCAGCCTGAATGTTTGGTGGTGGACATATTAAAATGATGAAATTTGAATGATTTTTTTTAATAAAATTTTTGACTAAAGTTGTTATGTTATTATAGATTTGAGACCTTTTAGATAACACTTTACGATAAGGTTCCATTTGTTTATATTAGTTAGCCTATACTACATCCCTCCATTGACAGTCTATGCGACTATCTCTTTAAGAACTTTTTGAGGTTTCAAAGTGGTAGTTGCATAGACTGTCAATGGAGGGACAGAAATATCTCAGATTTGATTACAAATATCTTCATTTGTGCTCTGAAGATGAACGAAAATCGTATAGTGTCTGGAACGACATGAGGGTCAGTAATTAAAAATGATTAAGTCTTACTCTTTTGTTCGCCACACATTATCCAACAGTAATTCACTTTTGGAATGTCACATATGAGCGATAATATATGATAAGCCTGAATTCCTAATTCAAAGCAAACAATCTGTTGTCACATGGGTCACGACTCGCGCTACAGATGCAGCAGGATGTTCCCGTGGGACAGACTCCACTGAAGTGTCTATTGTTTATGTGTGCTCTGGGAACCTCCGCATATCAAATCATTCTGCACACCCTGACCCAGCATCTCATAAGCAAAGGACGTGGCCTTAGTAAACCTTGAATTCGGTATGGGGTGTCATAGGCTAACTTGAGCTGTTGCAGACAGTCCCCTCATAGAGGAGGCATTCCTTGATTTAAAATAAAGAAATTAGCATGTTTGGTCCACCGTGGAGATTCATGCTTTAACTGCATTCACAGACAAATGCATGACACACAGCTGCTTGTTGTCGAAACCCAGGCGAGCGATCATCTCCACGTATCTGTGGCCCTATAACAGTCAGTCGCCTTATTGAAACCCTTCTGTAACTATACATTGCTAGAGACACTTCTTTTTAAAAATGTGAAGTTAGGTTTTGATGCTAATTTTAATTATGCTTTTGCATATCCTGAATAAAAAATCTGTTTGCATCATTATATACAGTACATCTGCTATACTATAGGGTCAAGTTTTTATAGCATTGGTGAATAAATGGGTAGTTCACTTTGAAATTAATTTTTGGTATGTTTTAGCTCTTTGTTTAGTCTCTTTGTTTCCACAGTATTTTCAATTTTGATATTTTTTGGTCAAACCGTTCTTGTCTGTCAGTCATATAATGCAGTTTTATGGGGTTTACCCTGGGTCCAGCTGAAAAAACATGCACAGAGAAGTCCAAATTAAACATGATTGAATGACTCGTATATGTAAATACACACTGATGGCCTAAGACACGAAACGAGCGGTTTGTGTTAGAAAACAAACAGTATTTATATCGTTTTTACCTCTTGTAACCACAGCCACGTCCACGTGATCTGATCTGGTTCGACCTAAAAATGTCAAAATTGAAAATACTGTGGAAACAAAGACACCTACATCTCGGATGCCCTTGAGGTAAGCTAAAACATATCAAAAAATTAATTTCAAAGTGAACTATCCCTTTTATTTAATGTTGTTGACTTTTTGCCTCTTATTGGGATATTTTATTTAGGTGCCTAGCAACGCGCGGACTCTCTCTCGTCTTTGTCGTAAAATGACTGATGAGAGAATTCTTTCATTTACAAGAAGTAAATATCACTAGCTGTTGCTACAGCAAGCAAACCTGAACGTAAAAGAGTTCAAACTACTGTACACCAACACGTGACTTGGCATTCAGGACCAAGGTGTCTGTGTTCTTTTCTGAGAAATTGCTTGGTCATGATTAACTTTAATACTTTAATATGATGCTGAAGCAAAATCTAAGCATGAACAAGTATATGATGGAATGAAAGGAGGTAAAAAATCATTAAACTGACAGGAATTCAAAAGTGACATTGAAGACATGTTACAAAATGATGCTAAAAAGTCAGCTTTGCCATCACAGGAATAAATTGCATTTTAAAATATAAACAGTTTTTGTTGAATTGTACTATTATTTCACTATATTACTTTTTACTGTTTTTATGAGGTTTTCGCAATAGTTTTTTTAAGACTTTGTACTTAAGCGAAACATAAACTGTCATGCTTAATCACACTTTGATTATTTGCCATGAAAAGTGGACACAAAAACCTTGTGTCTTGGTGGTCTTGCATTTCAGATAATTGAAATTGAGATTAAAAGTGAATAAAGGCTAAATCCCCTGAGAGTTTTTGCACACTTCTTAGGAGTCAGAGAAAGAATAGCTCTTAAAAAGGCCAAACAAAAGGCAAGTCTTAGCATCTTCTGCTGAGAATGAAGCATGAGATTCAACACTGGCCTCCATTTATATCTTTTTTTTTTTTACATTCTGCAGTTCATTTCTTACACCTTGACTATTATTGTCACCCCTATAATCCTTTTGCAAGGTGGACACTGAGCTTCCCCGTATAATGGTGTTTTGTTATGTACAGTGAACGAAACCCGCTTTTCATAAGTCCTGGTCTTTTTAAATCAGTCACTCAAACAATGGCTGTATTTACGCCTGCTCTCAACACAAAAGCACGACTGCAGCCTGGAGTAGGAAGGTCTGATCTGAGTGAGCATGTCCTTACAGCTGACAGAAGCATCATGCTCTGTCTGTGAAGATTGCAGTTTGGTACATTAAAAGCTCAGATCTAAAGCCTTCTGGCAGTGTGCAATAAAAGCATCTGTGCAACACACAAAAGCCCTTGTGGTCTCTGAAATGTCTTCAAAGAGGGGAAGTTTTAATTAATAAGCCGTTAGATTTAATAGGGGAAAAGATCCAGGCAACATGCAGAGATTTGTGCGTCAGGCTTACAGAAATGTTCAACCGCCCCCCTATGTGAAGTCATATCAACCCCCAACCACACACACACACACACACAGATTGATTAGCCAGGTCTGTTTGTGTTTGGGGGGGATGTTTGGCAAAGATGAGCACTGTGGTGGCTCTGCTTATAAGGGTGAGCGAGGGCGAGTCTGACAGACCAGGGGGGCGGGGAAGAAAAAGGTTGGGAAAAAAAAAAAGAGAGAACACAACTTCTTTTTTTGAATGAATGAATGAAGCAGACGGAAGACTTGTTTTTCGGGTTTCTGTTGGTGATGGTACTGTGGGGTTCTTTGCGCACTCCTTTTTCTTTTACTCTCATATTCTCTCTATCTTACTGTGTCCCATGCACAGTTTTTTTCCCTCTCCTCTCTCCCTCAATCGCATACACCCAGCACACACCTATGTTGCGTATTTACCTTCCAGGAAGGCCAGAGATGTAACTAACATGGCACAGCTGTAGCGCTGCCCTCTTTGGCACCCGTGTGCCAACATGGGACTCGGTTGCCGCAAGCTGCAGGAACACCGATCTGTTCTCGCTAAGGGTAAGGACACACTTTCCTGATAAAGAAGGCACCTTATATACTGTAGATCGATTTGTGAGATTTACCGCGGTGGAAGAGCAGTACAGCGTTTATAGCAGGAAAGGAATTTATGGGCGACGCGTTTTGTTCTTTAACCTGTAAATCATCTATGTTGGATCCAGCTGCGGCTTGTAAGGACTGTAACATCTGGAGTGTCAGATTCATGAAAAAGATCCAGGAAGCTGTGGCTTTGTGAGTTGTGTATTTTGGGAACAGGCTGTGAGGAGTGGAGCTGCTGCTGGTGAGGTAGTCTTGCATGAATGTGAGGGCCTGTAATTTTGCCTGAGCTATGTTGAAAGGTGTCCGTCTGCTTTCTGAGCTGAAACTGACACTTTAACCCTTTCCTTGCTCATTTTGAGTCACACTTTATATGAAGTTAGTTCATGAATGATTTTGTGAATACGGTTTCTTTATGTATACTATTTGCAAGTTTTATACGTTTTACAGATGGGTTCCAGGAGGCACTAATAAATGCTTTGATTTTGCTTTGTTGAACCAAAAGAGAAAATATGACTTTAAAAGTAAATATTGGGGATTTCAGAAGATTTAAAAAAAAATTGCTTTAATTATTTTAAAATGTTAAATGTAATGTATTCCTGTGATGGCAAAGATGAATTTTCAGCATATTAGAAATCATTCTAATATGCTGATTTACTGCTCAAGAAACATTCTCGTTATTATCAATGTTGAAAACACAAACAGTGCAGTCCAATTCTCGCTATTAACTAGTTGCTTATTAGCATGCATTACTAGGATATTGGCTGTTGATTTGTACTTATAAAGCATATATTAACGCCATATTCTGCATGACCATATTTTACATTCCTTAATACTTAATACCGAAAATTAACAACTACCTTAATTACTATTAATAAGCAGTGATTAAGAGTTTGTTGTGGCAAAAGTCATATAATAGTCATGTATAATCTAAAGTGTAAACTTGAAAACAGTTGCTGCTTAATATTTTTGTGGAAACCCTGATGGGGTTTTTTTATTTTTTTTTTCAGGATTCTTTAATGAATAGAAAGTGTTTGAAATATAAATCAAATGAATGCTGTAGAATCACATTATTAATGTATTTACTGTCACATTTAAATATATATTAGCTATTAATAGCTATTAATAAGTATTAAAATCTTGTTAATTGTGTAGCTTATACTTGCTCTGTACTTTTTTCCACTCTTATCTCACATATTATTTCCCTCTCTTTACTGTCATTGTCCCATTTTAATATCTCAGCCATTCAAACCAAAATCAAACTATGTTATAAAATACTGCAACAGGTTCTATATTTCTCACAGTGTTTTAGTTTAAAACGAAGCTACTTGTTTTCTCACCTATAGAGTATACACCTATGTAATACATGTAATGGCCATTTTAATCATGACAATGCTAAATATTATTCAGTATAAATAAGTTAAAAAGAACACATTTCTTTTTTCATGTCAATGAAGGGGTACATGAAAAATAGTTGATACAGTTATATATAATGTCCTTGCTTTATGTTTAAATAAACATCTGTCATGTAGACATAACCATGGATATCCCTCTTTCTAAATTCATAATAATCCTTGCATTTCTCTACAAAGTAAAAACACACAGGAAGAACTAATGGCTGTCAGAATATAAGGAAGCCATTGTAGGTCAACTGATTTTATGACAGTGGGAGTCACGAAGAGCAGAGACTCACTAAAGAGCGGCTCCCATCTTCACTAATCAGAACCAGAAACAACGGCCCCACAGAGAGAGCTAAACCAACAGCACTGATAAGAGTTTCCAAATGGCAGATATTTGGAGCATGTTGGTTTTGCTAGCCTACATGAATGCAAACATATTTGACATGCTTTGTTCTAGCGTTTAGCTAAGTTGTTCAAATAAAGAATCACTGAGAAAATATTTCTGTGAGCAATCTGAACTTAATTGCATATCTGCCCTGAATGTTACAGATTTTCTGTCTCTCTCTCTGTGCGTGTGTGTGTGTGTGTGTAAAGAACTTCAGGTAACTTGAAAATGAACGTTTGTCAAGACTTTAAATGTTGGCTTGAAAAATTCTTAGATACAAAATGATTTGAAGGCCAATCTGAAGTTTGAAGTTAAATCTTGTGTTGTTGGAATTAGGAGGTTTGGAAAAAAAATGTTTAAAATGATGTAGCTTTGTTAGGTCCCTGCAAATGTGTTTTGAATGGTTGCTAGGCTGGGGTGTGTTTCCTAAAAGTAACGATGTTCGCAAGTTCCGTCTTTACCAACAGAGACCAATGAAACTTGTGATTGGCTAACAATGCTTTTCTAAGAGAGAGAAAGATAGATAGACAGACAGACAGACACACACACACACACACACACACACACACACACATATATATATAAGTTAAGACACAGATTTTCACCTCTCAACGCAAGTGTGTCTGCAAAGTGCTGGATTCAAAGTAAAGATCTTCATCAGAAAGCCTCAGGCGTGTCGTGCTGGATGTTGTCCCAGTCTACTGCTGGCCAAACCACACACTGTGCCTCGGGCTTCTCTCTGCCTGATACATCTCTCTCTGATACATGACAGAGGAAGACACACTGCAGCCACCTAAAAGCTGACTGAGCTTATGGGATTTCATAGTGTGTTTTTAGATGATACTCCAAAGCATTTGTTACAATAATAAATAAAATACAAAAAAAAAAATTGTGCTCAAAGACAGCTAAAACTAATGAATATTATATGTTGGAAATATTTTTAAAAAGTATAATATATGTAACTAATACTTGATCTTGACACTAATCTAGTATATATATATATATATATATATATATATATATATATATATATTATATAAACAATATCTGGCCTTTTATGTTGCACATAAGAAAAACAAGAATTATTGTTTTATTATTATGTCCTGTATGTGTAACAGTGCCTGCTCATGGGACTTTAATGAAGAAAATTTGGCTCACTAGAGTACAAAAACCCTTCAAGTGATGAAATTCCCCAAGTACATGTTTTATCTTGAACAATGCATCATGTAAAATAGGCATGACATGGTTCTTACCACCAGTGGAATGATCATCACTTTATCTAAAACATCATTTTATAAATAGTCCATATCCATGACCTTACCAGAAAGATGTTAAATGTCATATAAAATCATTATATGCACATTCGGAGAATGAATGTGAGCAGTTTAGCCCGGCTTTCGTTGCAGATAAGGGACAGCAAGGCCATCTAAAATCCTGGGAATTCAAAATTATGTTGTGAATTCAGACTGATTATTTCTGACCTTGACTTTGGCCTTGCAAAGTGAGTGAGCCTGATGCAGTTCACTTATAATTCACTCAAATTCATTCAGGCACAGCAATTTTAAAAATATTTCAATAATATGATACTGATTAGAAGTTATATAGTTTACAAGAAATGACATGAAATTGAGATTAATATATACATTTATATATTAACACACACAGTCAAACCAAAATCTATTCAGACACCTTTATTCGCTATAGTTTAGAAAATGGCAATCAAATATGACAAAAACTTAGAGTTATCAAATCAGTTCATATTTCTCTGGTTTTGGCCATCCTTCTGTTAGACTGTCTCAAAAATGAAATAGGTTGAATAGCTGTTAGCTGGTAAATTTAAGCAACTACCATGTGATTGTTTGATTAGATAATTGCATTAATGACACATTATCACGTATGCAACTGTGCCAATATTAGAAAAAATCAACTGTGTTCTCTAAAGAGGTCACTTTTACGTCCCCACAATGTCAGGCCTTTGATAATTGCCATTACATGTGAGATACAGGCAGTGGAACTTCATCTTTCAAGGACACAAACACAGAGACAATTCATCATCCACTCCATGTCTTTCAGACATGTGTAGATCAGAGACAGTCAGGCACTCCTCAGGGAGTCCTACAGTATGTGTGCTGTCTAGCCACTAGCAACCTACCAATACTCTGCAGTCTGCAGCCAGGCTCAGACAGATAATGGAACCATCCATCCACAAAAACTAGGTTGAACAGAATTGATGCTGAGGATATTTTCGGGAGGTGGTGCGTGAGGGCTTTTTGGGGAAGGAAATAAAAAGGAGGCACAGTTCCATAATGCTATGAATTTAACAAGGCATGATGTGCTTTTGACAAGCATTCAAAAGCAAATCAACTTAAAACTGAACTATATAGTCCATTTGAATAGAACACTAACAGAATGATTAAGAAATCAGTTCAAATAACATTCTCCAAATGTCATGGCACAATTCAGTTCATCAGATGTCCTCTTTTTAAGAACGATATATACCACATTTCTCCTGTGCTGCTATGGCTAATGTCTGGTTTGAAGGATGATGTCATGAAGAGAAATCACTATTTCGGCTGTGTGAGATTCCCCCATGACCTTAGTGCCATCTAGTGGTTAGTTAACTTCAAAATATTGTAAAGGGAGTACATATTCCTGTGATGGCCATCATTACAGTCTTCCGTTACATGATCCTTCAGAAATCATTGTAATATGCTGATTTGACACCCAAGAAACAATTCTTTTTATCAGTGTTTAAAACAGTTGTGCTACTTAATATATTTTGTGGTAACCATGATGCATTTTTTTCAGGATTCTTTAATGTAGCCTAATCAGAGGAATAGCATTTATTTGAAATATAACTCTTTTGTAACATTACAAAAGTCTTGACTGTCACTTTTGCATCATTCCTACTGTCAAATGGTTGTACTCTTCCTGAATAAAAGCATTAATTTATGAATTATTAAATTAATATTTTTTCTGCATCATCATTCATCCTAGAACACTGATGTTTGACTCATGATTCCCCACATATAATTCTGACGTTTTCATGTGCCTACAAATAGCATTTGCATTGACATAAATTAATAGAATTATTCATGTTTTGGTATTTATCTGTGATTTGAAGTGTCAAGGGACTCTGACAGACTAAATGCTATCTGTGTCAATCAAAGGATTTATTTTGTTTTTTTCCCCCGTCTGTCTCCATAGGCTGTACAGGAGAGAAGGACAGATCGGCTCTCAGCCATGAGGCTTTCCTGCTCATGGCAAACTCCCAGAATGACATGGAGGATTGGGTCAAAGCCATCAGACGTGTCATCTGGGCTCCCTTTGGAGGAGGTAACATATACCTGGATATCATACATAAATAAGACCAATCACTAAGCATTACTTTCTCACTTGAGACAACATAACCTGCCGATTTCAAGAAAACGCTAAAACTAAACTAGCAAGCTGATCTATATCTGGCACGGCTGATACACAAGCTGACTAAAATAACAACAGCACTAGCAGAGTCTGAATGACAGTGTCTGAAACTTTAGGTATTATATTACAGGTCTTTAATAACATGGATTATTTAGGGGTGTCTTAATAATGGCAAACATTTTAATATTATTTTAATGGTATTAAATATCCACAACAGACAGCCTTTGTTATCACAGGACCCAGACAGATTGCAGTTCTAAATATTGCAGACGATATTTGAGGCAAACGACCTTGTTTTTAAAATAAACATAACAGCTTCAAAATTTGCGTTTAGTATATGGGTGTGTAATTTGCGTTTTACAGAACGAAGCGTCAACGGATCGTCAAGTTATGTTTACCGTAGACCTTATTTTACTAATAATAAATGAAAAACCCTGCTATAAAATCTCATTGGAAGGTCTTGGCTACTACTGGCTCCTTCTGGGTTTGACATCACGCCTGCAGCACTAAAAATCATTTTCATTCATTTAAATAAATCCGATTAGATCAAATCCGATTAATTAGATCAAAAACTTAAACATAAACGTATGAAGAAAATGTTTCCTTTGCAACTGAAACAAAATAAGTTTAAATTTGAGTACAACAGTGATTAAAACTAAAATAGAAACTTTAGAAAAAATAATTATAAAGCAAAATAGAAATAAAAATGACAAAAGCACTATAAAACTAATATAAAATACCTAGCAATATTGCAACATGACATAAGGTGGCGTGATACCAAAAGTCACAGTGCTGTTGGACTATATATCAGCACTTGTGGAACATTGTGATCACAACAATGTCATATTTTAACCATCCTAAACATTATGTTTATAAAAAAAACATTGTGAGAATCTGGGCATAAATGGGTTAAGCAATATGATGCCCCTCTGTGTAATCTTTCACAATCACCCCACATTCTCTCCACGCTCTGTGAGGCTGGATTACCATTACAATGAAAGAGGACAAAAACAGGTGTGACTGCTGACGCTCACTGCACACACACATTCACATGCATCACTGTTCAAGTGGACTGCTGCCTGTGCCAGGAGGGACCTACCATGTGTCTCATGTCTGAAGTTAAAACCTTGTCGTGTCTGTTTGATCATCATGGCTTGTGTGTGCGTGCAGAAGATTGTATTATACGAGGCAGAAGTGTACTGCAAGGTAGGATAGGATACTGTATAGATTTTGGAGATTAACTGGGATTTTGTTAAATCAGTTTGATAATGTCATGGTTGCAATGTTCAATTGCTTTTATTTAATTATTTAATATTTTTTGCATTTTTCTCTGGTGTTTTTATTACTGTAGGTATCTTTGGCCAGCGACTGGAGGACACAATACAATATGAGAGGAAGTTTGGACCACGGCTAGCCCCTCTCCTGGTGGAGCAGTGTGTGGATTTCATACGGGAACAGGGTCTGAAAGAGGAGGGTCTCTTTAGGATGCCAGGACAAGCCAACCTGGTCAAAGAACTCCAGGATGCTTTTGACTGTGGTGATAAGCCTCTGTTTGACAGGCAAGATGAGATCAAATTTATGAAATGGAAAACATAATGCCAAGTTTCAAGCATGAGCTATAAGTAGTACACAAGCTGTAGTAATTCAAATGCAAATTTATTGGATCTTTGGATTTGCTATTGCTGTGATCTCACGTGAGTGACAGGTTGTCCCGGCCTCACATAAACACATCCTCATCAGACAAGAAAACAGATTTCGATGGAAGTTATTTTGATTAAAATTATGAGGCACATGAATTTAAAAAAAAAAATGTATGTGCACTGGTAAATCATTTATAATAATAAATCACTTATATAATTTCATGGCGACTTAAGATTGTGCTTCCCTCTACCAGTTTAAACCAGCATTAGTTTCTACAGTATAGAGACCTGTAAAAAAATATGTTCATGATTTGTAATCACAACATTTTTTCTTTTGTCAAATCAACTTAAATCAATTATGTGGTTCAGATAACATAATATTTTGCGTTTCTGATGATTAAGTCAATCTCCTTCATTGTAATAACTCAATTTTTCCATTTCAATGAACTTAAAAAATTAAGTAACCTGGTTGCTTAAAATTAAAACTTTAAGTTAACCAACAATATTTTTTTACAATGTGGCTTATAGGTGCTTTTCATGGTGCTGGATCAGTTTAACCGTACTTTCCTAGTTAAGAAAACTAAACTGATGTATCTGTGTATCCCACTGACCTGTGTGTGACGTCTTGCAGTAACACTGACGTTCACACTGTGGCGTCCCTCCTGAAGCTCTACCTCAGGGAGTTGCCTGAGCCTGTGATCCCCTTTAACAAATATGAGGAATTTCTAACCTGTGCACAGCTTCTGCTAAAAGATGACGAAGTGGTGAGTCTGATATACATCAGTATTTCAATGGGATGACATTGAATTAAATAAGGATTGCTCAAGTAAAACAAAAAAGCAGTAAACTTTTAACCAGTTAACTGTCACCGTCCAAAAAGGTGGGACACTTGCCATTATATTTTTAAAACAATAATATCTTAGAAAAGACCTTAAGTAATAAGCTTTCATTTGAAAGCTTACAATCTCTAGTTTCCATATTTGGGGACTGATTTTCAAAATAATTTACACACGAGCCGTAATTGATCAATTTGCAACAAGAATATTTTCATACTCATAAAGCGTGTTTAGACCTTTATTTTGAAATAGCAATGAACATGAAAAATCATGAAAAAAAAGTTAGAAACCTGTTTGATTTCACGCCAAGAGTTCAAAAGATAGCATCCATTCAATTATTTTAGAAAAAAAGGTCTGAAAATGTTTTAAATATTACGAAAAAAAAAATAGATTCACCATTTGTGTTATGGCAATAAGCTATAACGCGCATGCGTGTGCTTTGTATGTGATTCCTAGAGGTTGAATTCATATCAAAAACTACCCATACTACTTCTGAATAGGATTTCTACTTCATAAATTGTATGAAAATTGTGGAAATAATGGTTCAGATCACTCAAAACACATATGGAAATGGAGACGCCCTTATATGGGCAGTAATGGAGTCTGGTTGTGCCCTAGTGAAAAAGTTTGGTACTGCGCCCAAACAAAATCTCACTGAAAGCTCATTTTTTGAGATATCAACCTAAAATTTGAAACACAACTTGTTCAGATTTTTGGATTTGATTTTTCTGCAGTTTTAGAGTAGCCCAGGTTTTGAAAATATATATTTTATATAAAATATGAATAATTATTTTTTTTTTACATTGTACATTCTATAAACTCAAACTTCTATAACTATAATATAATTTTTCTGTTTAACTTTCCTAATTTATTTCACTTTGAGAAAAATCTGCCAAATGTCTTCTTTAAAACGAGACCAATCTTAAGTCTATATTCCAAAGCATTCTTGAATTACAACCATTTAAGATTGAAATGAGCATTTCCATGTCTATTCAAAAAAGGGGGGGGGTGACAGTTAAGAGGTTAAAAGAGTACTTATGGAGTATGAACTGAATATAATGTTTCTGGGCACTTAATTACAGGTTATTTACAATTTTATGAAACTGTATCATATTTTAAATTTAGTTGAACTTGAGTCCTTTTTTTGACTTAAAGTAGGACTTAAGTACATTTTTTATCCACTGGTTTCAGGGATCAGGCGTAAGCCTAGTCACAGACTGAAAATACACATTTGAGCTGTTTTAACTGAAAGCAAATTGCACTGACATTTCTTAAAATAAGTCAGTTCCATTGTTTTGCTACTTAAATGTCGTCATAATTGAACTAAGGCCTAATCCTGGCTTAATATAAGCCCCGTCTGCGATACCAGGCCTATATGTAATTTCACAACTACTTCTGTTGTCTTTGTAAATAGGGTTTAAGTGCACTGCCAAATGTTCTGACAAGCATTTACGGTAAACTAAAATATACTTTAATGTAATTCCTATTAAAACTTGTATGTCGTGTATTTTTAAAATATATTTGCAATTACGCATTTGTAATGATGAATTAACATTTTAGTATGTTTAAAATTTATTAACTTTCAATGTAATTTTAACACACTACAGTTAAAACTCTAAGTACTTTACATGAGCTTTAGTATGTCAGTCATCACATCAAAATAAGTTTACTTCTTTAAATTATGACAAAAGATTATCAAAACAACTTTTAATTATGATTACATAGTGCATTTTTTAAAAGTGTACTTAAGTGTGTTAAGAAAAACAGTCATGAAAGTGTACTCTATGTTTAAAAAATACTATTATTTGAAGTGCACATTCAAAACTATGTCTCTTCTTTTTAAAATGGATGATTTGGATTTCTATAATGGATGTCCCATGTGTGTCTCCTATAGGGATTAGATGAGCTTGTGAAGCAGGTGTGCACTCTTCCTCGGGCTAATTATAATTTGTTAAAGTACATTTGCAAGTAAGTGAATACATAGCATCCCATCAGTGTTCTTGTACATGTCAATGTTTTTGAAATTATTCCTTTACTCATTTGAATAAATGAATATCTGTTGTCTAATACTGTATGTCTTCACATAGATTCTTAGATGAGGTGCAGTCACACTCAAATGAGAACAAGATGAGCGTCCAGAACCTTGCAACAGTATTTGGACCAAATATCCTTCGGCCTAAAGTAGAGGACCCTGTTTCAATGATGGAAGGTAAGTATTTGTATACATTGTAATACAGTTAGAAACTAATATCTGAGTCATTTTAAATCATTTTTTAGGAACGTCCCAGGTTCAGCACCTGATGACGGTGTTGATCAGTGAACATGAGCGTCTTTATGTGGGGACTGAGGGAGATATGTCTTCTGAGCAGACCGGAAGTTGTCTTCGGGGTCAGCGCTGCATGGCGGAGTGGATCTCCGATGAGGAGATGCTGAACTGCTCATCTCTGAGCCAGGCGTCCAAGGTGGCAGAGAGTGCGTGCGACAGTGCCACGTCTTTAGACATCAGTACAGGTGCCCCTATCACTGCCAAAATGACACCTCAGGGAAAAGCTGGTGTGACGGTCAGCCCCAGCAAGCAGATGAAATCCCTCCCCTCCTGGAAATACTCCTTCAAGAGTGGAGGGGTGCGTGCTCAGCCCGCGAAAATAGGGGGCTCGTCCGTGGACGTGTCCACCTTGCCCAGTACTGGCAACTGGTTGATGAACGGGCTTTCTTCTCTCCGCAGCCATCGGCGCACTTCTTCAGGCGAGCGCATGGGAAAGGATTCAGCCCTGTCGCACCGTCTGTCCACTTACGACAACGTGACCTTATCCAGTCTCAGCGTACCCAGTGTCGCGAGCACGCCCTGGTCCACGTCCTCTTGCGAGATTTTAGTGGACGACTCCGTAGCAAGTGACCCTTCTGGGCTGAACTCTGTGAAGTGGTCAGTTGGAGGGTCTGTCCAAGGGCAAAGTGAGGACAGGAGTTCAGAGGTCACGGAGAGCAGCGAAGCACTGGAAATGTGTGTGAGCAGTGCAGGCTGCAGTGAGAATGGAAATGTTGGAGATATGGTGAACGCCACGGGAGATACTGACACTTGCACAACAGCATTTAACAGCCTGGTAACAGAGCTGAAAGATGAGTTGAAGAAACAGAAGGCCAACTATGAATCACGAATACGAAGGTACAGTATGTTCCACAGCACACTGATGGTTAAAGGAGTAGTGCACTTTTAAAAAAACTTTTGCTGATAATTTACTCACCCCCATGTCATCCAAGATGTCCATGTCATTCTTTCTTCAGTTGAAAAGAAATTAAGGTTTTTGATGAAAACATTCCAGGATTTTCTCCATATAATGGACTTTTCAATGGGAACCAAACGGTTCAAGGTCTCTCTGTTAGGGTTAGGGTGTGATGCGCGTTCGTGACTCTCCTATTCGAACTTGTTCATCAAAATAAACAAATCTTTTCCCAAGTCAAGTCAACTCATTCATTTCGTTCGTTGAATGAACCAAATGACACGAAAAAAGATGCGTTCATTTTGATGAACGAGTTCGAACAGGAGTCACAAACGCTCATCACAGAACAGAGCATGGCGACCATTTGAGCTTATAAAACTTAAACTTTGTTATTTATTTAATAAATCAGCGATAATTTCGCTTGATAAGACCCTTATTCATCGTCTGGAATCCTTTAAAGCCCTTTGAACAGTTTGCAGTTTGCACTGAAACCGTCTTTTGGACCTTAAACCGTTTGGTTCCCATTGAAGTCCATTATATGGAGAAAAATCCTGGGATGTTTTCATCAAAAACCTTAATTTCTTTTCGACTGAAGAAAGAATGACATGGACATCTTGGATGACATGGGGGTGAGTAAATTATCAGCAAAAGTTTTTTTTTAAAGTGAACTACTCCTTTAAAGTTTACTTGAACTAATTATTAGTGAGCAGTTTAAACTCTCTCATCGCTCCTTTAATGTTAGAATCTTTTCAAAGCTGAAGTGTGTAAGTGGAGATGTTGTTGCGAGGGGGAGCGGAAGTTAATATTTTTGATTAAAGATTACAAGGACATATACATTTTTAAAAACTAAGGATGTCATTGAATTGTCAATTTTGATTTCATGGTGGCTTTAAAATTCTTTCTCCTAGACCAGTTTTAGGGGAGGATTTACTAAACAGAGGGCAAATTAGCGTGAGAGCGCAATTCAAAACAGTGCGTTGGGAGTGGAAAGTTCTGCGCACGATCTACTGAGGACGTGCAAATTAAAGAACATAGACGCAGTCGGATCATTTCCATAATTGAGATTGAAATTGACATAACGCAATCTACCAGGTAGCATATGGTTTAAGACGTGCTTTTTTGGGGGCGGAAAATAATGGGGCAAACACTAGTACATTGACGAGAGCAAAACCTGTAACACCTTGCGGGATTCATTTAAATTCTCTCCTCCCATAAATTTTGCACCTGAAAGGGAAACTCCTACAAATGCATATGTGATAAGGTCAGCCGCAAAAAATAACTGTCCAGCCTTTTCAGCACAAATTTTTCATTGCGTATCTTCAGTAAATCCTGACAGTAGTTTTTTAACGCCAAAAGAGGGTTTGTTATTAAGTCTGGTCCTATATGCAGACATGAGAAAGCCATTTTGTTCGTTGATTTCCCCCGTTTTTTTTTTTTTTTTTTGAGAAATCCAACCAGCCCAACACAGCAACAATGGCTGAACCAATGGTGTAAGTTTGGGGCGGGGCTATCTGTCTCTGCCAATAAGCAGGGAGTGTTTAAGAAACCTGCTTGACAACTATTATAATTTTTTAAATTACACACTTCACCTTTATGTTTAAATGCATTCTTTTGACAATAAATAGTCATTTATCAAAGGAGCTGTATGTAAGATTGTGGCCAAAACTGGTACTGCAATCAGTTTCAAATTACTGTAGAGCGGTGTATCCCCTCCCCCTCCCCCCGGACTCAAGGTTTCCAGATTTCCAACATTTTTTTATCCCACACGATTGTAGCTGCAGCTGTGGTAACTAGAGCAGAGCTGGCAACCCGAATGCTTCAACACTACTGACTATGTGATTGGTAGATCGGTGGAGGGTGAAGCATCAGACCAAAACACAACATCATGACAACATCAACATCAGTTGAGGGCTGCAACTTCACTTTTTAAATGACAATATCCTGGCCGGACTACTGTTGTCAGTGATATACGTATTTGAAATGAACATGATTTCTTAATGTCTAGTGAAATATCAGGGCCATTTTATGATTATTTGAAATAAATTTCTTACAGCTCCTTTAAGTGAATTAGATTAAATGTTTCCTTTGCATTTCCTACAACATCACATGGTGTGTTCGGCATTACTTTTAAAATGTAATTGATGTAATTCGTTCTTCTAAGGCTAGATGAATCAAACATCATGCTGCGTAGCCAAATGGAGAGACTCGAGGAGGAGTTTGACCAGGAGAAGAAAAAGTATCGCATGTTGGAAATCAAACTCCGCAACTCTGAACGGGCCCGTGAGGACGCAGAGACCCGTAACCGTTTGCTCCAGAATGAAATGGAGGAGTTCTTCTCCACCTTGGGAGATCTTACGTTGGGAACAAGGACAAGCAAAATTTGACTCGGGTTTTGACAGTCCTCCTGATGTAACACTGAGAGACTGCGTGTTTGTTGTAGATAGAATTTTGAAATCTCTCTGCTCATGCATCATGAGTATTCAGAGGTCATTTTGTGCTGTTTTGTAACGGCGACTTGATCGTGTAGGAGTTTTACTTTTATCTCTGCTCTTCATTCTTACATTTTAAAGGGGTAGTTCACACAAACATACAAATTCTGTGATTTACTTCCCCCTCATGGTGGTTTTCCCCTTCTGCACAGCACAATTTTTTTTTTGAGACATCTTAAAAAAAATGTCTAAAGCAGTCCTCTATTTTGTGTGAAGAACAAACCAAATTGTGCATCTTGTTCTGAACGTCAAACTTGCCATCTGCTATTTGTAAATAATGCCAGTTTATTTTTTTGGGTGAACTATTCCTTTAAGGTGGAGCTCAATTGTTAGCAGTCATCACTAGCATAACCTGCACAGATTATACCAAAGCATGACTTTTCAGACCAGACTGTTCCCTCACACAGGCAGGTCATGTTACTGCATGGTATGAAAGAAATCCTGATAAACCTTGATGTTTTGATGAAATTATCACACAATCCTTTTTCATTCAAAGTCTGCTTCTTTTAAATTCATTAAAACCATTAATAGGCTGCTTCCTATCACACTTTGCCTCACACTACCAGACATGAACAAGTAAGTCATTGCTCATTTAGATCAACCTTCAAACACAAACTCGTTTTAGCAAATCCGTTTATTGTAAGTAAAATGCACTATAAAATAAAAGATTAGATGAGGTGACACCATCCAAACTGTACAACTTGTACAAAAGTTATTAAAAAATCTTTTAAATCTGATATAACCATATCAAAAGATTACTTCAGCTGCAGGATTGCCAAGGCTAGTATTTATTTAAGCGTGTTAATGTACCTAGAACTATTTCTCAGGTGTTGTTTTTCTAAAAAAAAAATGAGTGTCTTTATATAAAATAGATGATGAAACTAAGGCTGACATATACTTGAATGTGTTCGTTTTTTTTTTTTTTTTGTATGCACATGTTCTTGTGGTTGTTTTTCTGTTTATTGATTCCTGAATGCAGAACGTGCCAAAGTAGAGGTCTTCAAAAAATTGGTTTTTCATTTCAAATGAAGACTGGCTAGTCTTCGTAATAAATTGCCGTTGTCATTGAAACTGTGTTGTGCCTTTATAATGCATCAAGGAAAAATCTGAAGTTGGATAATGAGTAATATAACAACTTATCAAATCATATAATGATAACAGTGCTATGCAAAAAAATATTTTTGCTTTCTATCAAACGCTTTCAAAAAATCAGACCATCAAGGACAACTTAAAGGGATAGTTCGGTCAAAAATGAACATTTTGTCAGCATCTACTCAACCTCAAGTTGTTCCAAAGCTGTATTCCTTCTGCTCAACCCAAAAGAAGATATTTTAAAGAGGGTCAGAAACCAAAAGGTTGCTGGCCACGTTGACCTCCATAATATGGGAAAAAAGCAGTCAATGAGGTCCATAAACTGTTTGGTTTTCGACCTTCTTTTCAGCAGAAGAAAGAAATTAATACAGGTTTGGAACAACTTGAGGGTAAGTACAATTTTGGGGTAAATTATTCCTTCAATTGGGATAGTTAATTCAAAAAAAAATTTAATTCTGTTATCAGTTACTTCCCCTCACACTGTAAAAAATTGTAAGCCAGTACAACAAAAAAAATCTTAGTACCAATTTCCTTTAGTTTTTTTTTGTTCACTCAACTTTTGTAAATAATAGTTATACTAACTGAAATTAAGTTGTTACTCACACAAAAAATATTTAATTGTGTCAACTTAAGATTGTTAGTTTTGTGGAGAGGTGCAACTATTTTTTAACAAAACTTTTTAAGTTGAGCCAATTCAACATTTTTGGTCTGTAGAACTCAATGTCTGAAGTTGAGTGAACAAAAAAATCCTATTGGAAATTGGTACTAAGTAATAATACGTTACGACTGGAAACTAAAATAACATTGCTTAAGTCAAAAACTGAAAACAGTGAGTCAATGTTAACAAAACATTTATTCTTGTTGGAGGCAACAAGCACACTTACACACTGTTATAAAACTGTAAGTGTAATTTGCAACACTGCAAATTGAAATAATACAATACTGCATCACAGTAAAACAGTTTTATAAAACACTGCCAATGCACATGAGGAACACAATCTTTCCAAATTTAAAAGACCATCCCTCTACAAAGCAATGGACTTTCCATCCATCTACAAAGAAATGTTTCTACTAAACATGAAACATTCAAATATCACCTGAATCAACAAATATCAAGTAAACAAATAAGCATTTGGCCTTTTTAGAGAATTCAACCCACAAGTCGTAAATATTCAAAATATTTAAGCCAAAGCGATTCAACAATGAAAATTTAAATACTGCAATTCTGCAAGTTAAAGGGTTAGTTCACCCAAAAATGAAAATTAAGTCATTAATTACTCACCCCCATGCTGTACCAACCCCGTAAGACCTTCATTCATCTTCGGAACACAAATAAAGATATTTTTGATTAAATTTGAGAGCTGTATAACTACCACATTGGCTGCCTAAGGGACTGGCTCTTGACGGCCCAGAAAGTCAATGAAGAAAATGTTTAAATATCCCAAGTGACTACCGTGGCTCAACTATATGTTTATCAAGCGACGAGAATACTTTTTGTGCGAAAAAACAAACAAAAATAACGAGTTTATTCGACTATTCCTTTTCTTCATTGTTGGCCTGAAACGAGACTTCCTTAGATTTCCACGACGCATGCGCGAGAATTGCGATCTCCTTCAACTACCTCAGTTCAGTTATCGCGCATGCGGCGTGGAAATCTAAGGAAGTCTCGTTTCAGGCCAACAATGAAGAAAAGGAATAGTCGAATAAACTCGTTATTTTTGTTTGTTTTTTCGCACAAAAAGTATTCGCGTCGCTTGATAAACATATAGTTGAGCCACGGTAGTCACTTGGGATATTTAAACATTTTCTTCATTGACTTTCTGGGCCGTCAAGAGCCAGTCCCTTAAGCAGCCAATGTGTTAGTGATACAGCTCTCAAATTTAATCAAAAATATCTTCATTTGTGTTACGAAGATGAACGAAGGTCTTACGGGGTTGGAACAGCATGGGGGTGAGTAATTAATGACTTAATTTTCATTTTTGGGTGAACTAACCCTTTAAACACTGCTGTTAAAACAGTATTACAAAACACTAACTCTGAGTATCGATTCAACCATGAAAATTGAAATACTGCAATAAAACAGTATTATAAAGCACTAACACTGAATATGAAATGTGGCTGAACAGTAGCAAATGTAAACATTTTAAAGAATTCAAGGCTAAGGCTTTAAAATTCAAATTTCACTAAACAATATACATTAACATCCTAACAAACATCATTATGCCAAATGTACCCACCAACAGTAAAATCATCTAAAACTCCCTAAACAGCAAGTAGCTTATTCTTTAGGGACTGGACTCTGTTGGTGCACTTTTCTCCCAATCCCACAAAGATGTTCTGCACTGCCTCAAATGTGTATTTTAGTCCCTTTGAATACTCAATGTTCAGCGCATAGAGAAGTCCAAAGAGTACCATGAAAGCAGTAGGAAAGTCAGGTAGGTCCTCCATGACAACGGTTTCCTCAAGAATGATGGCGAAGTTTAGACATGTCTTTGTTGTCTGTGAGATATCGTCCTCCATGACTTCAAGGATGCACAATTTCACACCTCTTGTGTAGGTTTCTTGCAAATCAGTGTCCTAAGAATGATATAAATTTCATTAAAAAAATGGTTGTGCATATGTACAAAAAAAAAAGAAAAGAAATCAAAGCTCAAACACTTGCAAACAAAACATGGCACTGTGACAAGCAGGACAAGGATAAGAGCCATGTGATCAAGCTCACCTGCCTTGTTACTCACAAAAGGAGGCCTGGATGAATAAAAGGAAGAGCGAGAACAGTGCAAGATGAGTGAAGACCAGGCCTGGATTATTTATGTTATGTTTTATTTATGTGTCTCTTGATGAGTCCCTCACAGAGGACTGCCGCTCAAACATAAACAAAACGTAACGTAAATAGTCTAAGCCTGGTCCTCTTACATCCTTCACTTTCGTCGCTCCTCCTTTCATCAATCCAAAGCTCTTCTGTGAGTTACTCGAAACCGGTGCTGCATGCTGGTGATTCTCCTTATCAACCATGTCACCGGCCTTGCACCGTTCTCACGGCTCTCAGCCTCGTACTGCTTGCCATAGGCACAGTATTTGTAAAAGGATTAGTTCACTTTTGAAAAAACTTTTGCTGATAATTTTCTCACCCCCATGACATCCAAGATGTCCATGTCTTTCTTTCTTCAGTTGAAAAGAAATTAAGGTTTTTGATGAAAACATTCCAGGATTTTTCTCCATGTAATGGACTTCAATGGGAACCAAACGGTTCAAGGTCCAAAAGACAGTTAATAACTGTTTCAGATGCAGCTTCAAATGTCTTTAAACTACACCAGACGATGAATAAGGGTCTTATCATGCGAAACGATCGGTTATTTCAAAACTTATTCCAAAAATGTAACTTTTCTAAGGACAAATGCTAGCCTTGCTCTATTCTGTGAGGCGCGTTTGTAACGTCACGTAATACGTAATTACGTTCAAAAGGTCACGGGCGACATAGCCGGAAGTACAGAATCAAAATCGTCCGACATCGTTGTTTTACCTTTTAATTCCTTTTTTTTATAAACGGCGTTTGAGTTAGTTTTCACGTTCAACCTATGCGTTCAACTTGTAAACACTGACTTTGTACTTCCGGCTACGCCGCCCGTGACCTTTTGAACGTAATTCCGTATTACGTGATGTTACAAACGCGCCTCACAGAATAGAGCAAGGCTAGCATTTGTCCTTAGAAAAGTTACATTTTTGGAATAAGTTTTGAAATAACCGATCGTTTCGCATGATAAGACCCTTATTCATCGTCTGGTGTCGTTTAAAGACATTTGAAGCTGCATCTGAAACTGTTATTAACTGTCTTTTGGACCTTGAACCGTTTGGTTCCCATTGAAGTCCATTATATGGAGAAAAATCCTGGAATGTTTTCATCAAAAACCTTAATTTCTTTACGACTGAGGAAAGAAAGACATGGACATCTTGGATGACATGGGGGTGAGTAAATTATCAGCAAAAGTTTTTTCAAAAGTGAACTAATCCTTTAACATAATGTAAATACTTTTTAAAAAAAAGCCAGATGGAAACTGTCAGCACATTTATTAAATATAACCACACGTTTCATAAAATAGCAGTTTTAAATGAAAATATGACATGAAAAAAAGCTAAAAACTTACCAGACAAGTCTTTGATATTGCATCACGCTCCCTGAGGTACAAGGGGAGTCCCCGTAAAGCTGTAGCGTGTCTGTGTGATAAGATATCAGTTGTCTAGAGGGAGATAAATTATTTTAATTATGATTTACTTCTGCACGAATCCTTAAAGATCGTTTAAAGAGACTTAAAAAAGAGTGTCACTGAAAATGTATTAGGGATGGGCAAAGGGTCAGAAATGAAGGGGGCTCAGGGCAAAATAATCTACAAAAACTGACAACAAAAATGTAATCTATACTTCCACAATCTTTTGAAATTAGTGGTTATATCTTTATAACATTATAATTAATGTGACAGTTTTGTGACGATTATTTAATCTTTTTGAGTAACTGAAGAGATGTTTATATATATATATATATATATATATCTCAAAAAGATTGTAATTCTCACAAAATATAACTCTTAATTTCAAAATAAGCATAAGTATAGAAATCATACCTGCTCATCAAAATGGTCCAGGATCATTTTCATGTCACCTCCAAGGTCTTTACTCTTTGCCCGATACATTTTGATGAGGGCGTTGCTATATTTGTTAAGAGCTGTCATGAAAGCCGTTTTAAGGTTCACACAAGTGATCCTTTGGAACTCTCTACAAACCTGAGGAAATGAAAGGAAAAAGATCTGTGAACAATAAAATCTATATACAATCAGGACAATATGATGTACAGACAAATTGTAACTTACTTGCTCCTCCAAAAAGAGGCCAGGCCATCTTTCTTTGATGACAGAGACCATGGGTTGCTCATTGACTATTTCTTTTCTCCTGAGAGGGAATGTAGTTTCCATTTTGTCGTTCAGTTTTGTCATGTCCATGTTCTTTTTCTTTGCTTCAAGTTTAAGCTGTTCCCTTTCATGTTCCAATGCAGCATCATCTAAACCAACAGGATTGTCTGGAAGGAAGTTGATTTCTGATCTTCTTGGTTTCTTCTGGGGTACTCTCGAACCATCATCTCTTTTATTATCAAGCTCACTACATCCAGCATGGCGTAATTTTTGTCTGTAATTCCCCATTTTAAATTTTAAGCTCATCTTCCAGGCTTTGCATCCTGTGTCACAGCCAAGTTCCCTTAGACATGGATGTCTGGAAACTAACGCAAGTGCCACCTGCTCAATTTCAGAATCATTTGGGTAAGCTTTAAAGGAGTACATTGTTTCTGCCAACTTCTCCAGTATTTCTATCTTGATGTCTCGTGTAACATCCATGGTAGTGTGTTGTTTTTCATAGACTTCATTAGCTTTTCTCAGTCTAAACTCTACATCATAGGAGAAATTTGGGATTAGGAAAACACGTGGCCAACGCTCTTCCCTGACTGTGGAAGAAGATGGACTGGACAGATTGGATGAGACGCTTGCTGTGTCAAGGGTAAAATCAGTTTCAGACCCTGTTCTTTCATTTCTTGGGGATTCTTCTACTGCAGTTTTGAACATTTCCCAAATAATCTTCAGTGTGACCTTTTCAGATGGAAGTTCTTCTATGTTACTTAAATTGCAAAGCTGACCACCAAAATCAGGATCCTCATACTGGATCACAAAGTTTTGATCAATTTTCAGTTTGTCACAAAGAATTTCTTTGAGCTCATCTACTGATGATGGCACTTCGGGGAGTGTCAGCTTTTTTATGCACTCTGGATTCACGATCACTCGCAGCAACATAGTGGTTTTCTGAAACAAAATATACCATTTAATGATTAACATTTTCTTGCTAAACTGTGTACTCATGTTAATGCTGCTTGCAATCCCAATCTGAAAAGTGCAAACTTTAATGTAACAAAAAACGTTTAGGCGACACCATGAGATTTCCCCCGATACTGTAGGCTGCAAGTGGGTAGAAGTCATTTAAATCCTTCAGCTCAGCAACAAACAGATCTTCGTATGAAAGTTCTTCAACCTTAAAGGCACGAACATGTTCAACATACCAAGAAGAATATCTCTCCAGCACAAAAGAAGCCTCACTGTCAACTACCAAAATGCAATGGATCTTTGCAAATTCTGGCAAGCCGCCACAGTGTCCAACAGACACCATCATACCTTTGGAGTATGAGGTCCCATGCAATTCAGTGTTTGATGCAAGAGATACAGTGTTAAGGTGAGCATGTTTTTTTTGAACCGCTGTTTTCACCCTTCTTTCCAGAGAGGACACCTTCACAACTTTTACTTTTTCAACATGAATGGATTGTTTGAAAAAGCTGGGAGACTGCATGACATGTGCAACCATAAGTTGGTGCTGGGTGGACAATGTCTGCAATATGTTTTTGAAATTGTGCATCTTATGGACAACACGCTTGAAGAAACTGTGTTTTGCCTCAAAGCGCATCGTCCATAACTCCACACATGGACCAAAATGGCGTATGAGGCTTGGGTAGTGTTCCAGAAAATGGTGTTTTGGTTTCAATTTTTCATTTGGAAACACTTCTTTAAAAAGGTTGCGATGGTCAGATATTTTAGTCTCCAGGTAGCAAAGACTGTCCTCTGAAAACTTGGGTGAAACAACAAGCTCCACTATATCTTTAAGATCCATCAACAGTTGCCATGCTTTCTCAGTGTCTGGAATAATTTTGCCAATCATGAGTGGTATGAGCCTAATGAGTGTCCAATTTTCGTGTCCATTTCCACCAATGGTTTTTTTGGAGAAGAAAGTTTTGGGGATTTTTTGGGGGCGGTTCACTTTGTCAGAGAAACAGTAAGGGAAAGACTGAATTACACTGTTCAACTGGTCAAGGGTAAAGAACTTATCAGCTATTAGCTTCTGGAGACACAAAGACAATTCGTATGGCACAATTCCTTCAAACAAATCGTGCAATGCATCTGGAGGAAATCCAGTTACTGGGTGAAAGAAGGCAAGATGAGATTGTAAGACACATTCTCCTTTTACGCCTTGGACATTTGTCAGAGTTGGGGTTGCTTTCAGCTCCTCAATAAATTGGTTGTGTTGTTCTACACTTCTTAAGGGAAAAAGTCCCTTGCTTACATCAGTGGTCTGTATGTCCTGGAAAGAAGCAAGGCAAAACCTACAGAACTTCTCAACACGAAAGCTCTCCTGAAATCCTGCAAGGCCATGTGCCCCTAGATTGTCTGCAGAGACAGTAACGACAGTTCCTTTTATATTTTCCCCCAAGTGATCTACAAACAAACCCTCTCTTTCCAGTGTCTGCACATCCTTCATTAATGGCTCAAAAAACATGTCATAGCCAAATTCTCTTACGTCAGTACTCTTCCCCAACAAGGCAAGTTGAATAGCGTGCAAATTTGCTCTGAATTGGGAGGGCCAGTTCAAGATCACCCAGTAGACTGCTGTAATCTTGTGCGTTTTACGTGACGTTCCCAAAGGATTGGCGACTTCAAAGTCATCAATATATAGACCAAGTGCAATAGCTACATTCTCATCACAAAGCAGAGGATGCTCTTTGAAATGCTTGCCATCAAAACAAGATGCATAGAAGCCATTTGTGGTAGGATTAGAAAAAGTCTTTTGCACTGTCTCACTATGGCCTAGAAACTTTTTCAAAACTTCAAGAATAGGAACATAAACAAATGATTTATTTTTTTGCCTACTGAATACAAACTCAACTGGTTCAACCACATCAAAGTTTTGATTGTAATATACTTTTCGTTTATGGTCAGTTGATAATGTTCCTTTATTAGTGGTAGCATAAAGAGGATTTGTTCTATGAACAGCTTCAGTGATTTCTTTGATCAAAGATTGGTCAGCTTCACAGTTGTGGTGGCATAAAATATCTGTAATCACCTTTTCTGTGGATGGTTTAGACAGGTATAGTATTTCATTCAGACTTTGAAAAATGTGATGTGTAGCACTTCTGGATACACCTAGTTCTGTCTGCATACAAAGGAACAAAGAAGCTAACTTATTCTCAAGAATTTTGTCAATATCTTCAACATCAGCAGCTTCCACATGTATATCTTTGTCATGTGATGTATCCTCAAAGCATTCTGAAGCAGAATCTAACCAATTATCAGAGTCTGTGCGATTGACAGTTACAACCGATGACCTATAATCACTTATTTTGCATTTTTGGTGATGTTTGGACTTGTGGCTATGAAATGTTGCGTAGACATTAGTTTTAACATTACAGTGCAAAAATGGGCATTGGATGGTCTCATTCCTTTTCAGATGTGTCCCCAGATGTCTGATAAAGTCTTTTTCAGTACAAACATTGTGATAATCACAAAGGTCACATTTAAATGTAGCTTGCACCGTTGTTTTATCAGAACTTGTGTGTACCCTATATAAATGTGTTTTCAACGCACCTGGTGTTTTAAAAGAGCAGACACACTCAGGGTACAGGCACAACAATGGTTCACGTCGGCCTGGGCGCCAGTGCTTTAGCCTGCAGTGTCTCAGCAGCAGATTTTGACTGGCACAACTGTATTTGCAGTATCTACACTGCATGAAGTTTCCTCTCAAGGTAGATCTGTTTAAGAAAAAAAAGACAAACGTGAATGATCAGTTTCATGAAAGGCAAATTAATGAATGAACAATGAATTTACACTGCAAAAAAAAGCTTTTCTTAATTAATATGTGTGTCTTGTTTCCAGTCCAAATATCTAAAAAGTCTTAAATCAAGATGCATTTACTAGATGAGTAAAATACTAGTAGAATAAAAGTAGAAAGCAAAAACAAGTGAGTTTTTGCTTGAAAAAAGCAAAATTATCCAATAAGAAAAATAAATTACTTCAAACAAAAACAAGATTATTTTTCCTATTCCATTGGCATACAATTTAGTTATTTTTTTTGTTTTTTTTAATTAATCAAGTAAAAATTTGATTATGATTTATTTATTTATTTCCCCTGAAAACCAGACAAAAATTATCTTATGGCTTTTAGCCTACTCATCTAGTAAATGCATCTTGATTTGAGAGTTTTTGGATATTTGGATTGGAAACAAGACACAAATACTAAATAAGAAAAGCTTTTGTTGCAGTGTATAACGTTACCTAGGCTTATGCGTTTTATTTATTTTTTTAGCGTATGACAACTGATCATTATCTCTTCAGAACTTAAATAATTAAATATTAATCAATAAGTACTGTTGGAGCAATTCATCAGAATTCTCAGTTGCCCTTTATTATTAGCAGATGGAGAGCAATGTAACGTTAATTATGTTAGTCAAGAATCTGTGAGCGACTGAAAAAAATGATAACGTTACTGTGCAGCAAAAGCCATCGCGTCACGCTAAAATAATGAAAAAAAGCTTGATAGATTGATTAAAAATAAAGCTAGATAGATTTAAACATTCAGTAATGTTGATATCTTACAATGTTAAAGTTAGTGGTGTTTATATTTTTCTAAATTAACTAATATCAACTAATTCAGAAGTAATAACGTTACAACAAAAAAACAAACAAATAAAAGCACTCACCATATATTCCTCCGTCTGGATTATTGTCGCCCACGCGCTGCCTCTAGATTTTCTGTAAAATCTGTACAGATTTTTCTTCGGCCGCTTGATGAACAACACGCCTGTTCTTCTCAAGTTGTTTCTCCCGCATTAAAAAGTGAACGTTGACGTTGAGTCAAAGCAAGTTTGAGCAAAGGTCACGTACTGGGGGCGTGGTTTCGCACGAGAGAAAAAAATAATGTTTATCGGAAAACAGGTTGCTAATTCTTTTTAAATGTATTTTTTATTTAAATGTAACATTTCAATAAAATAAAATAAAAAATAACTGTTTGCTAGGCTAATTGTGTTATGTTCTGTCTGTGAACTCAATTACGCAAACTAGTGAGATGAGAGCTTTGGCGCCCACTAACGAACTTCACAGTAAAAGTCTTCCTCCGCAAAATTAATGCTGCCTTCACGTGCTATCTTAAATTTCCTCGTGATTTTGACTTGAGGTCAATTTTAACTTAATTTCCTTTTTATTATTTCTTTTTTTTTCTTTCTTTTTTTTTATCTTTTTTTGATGAAGAAAGAAATATTGATAAGAATTCCAATACCACGTGAAGGCAAGGCAGCATCATTTCCAGAGTTCATAATATACTGCTGTGCACAATATACTACTACTACTGTTGCTATTACTAGGCCTACTACTACGAATACTACTACTACTACTACTACTACTACTACTACTACTACTACTACTACTACTACTACTACTACTAGGCTACTACTACTACTACTAATAATTATTATTATTAGTAGTAGTAGCCTAGTAGTAGTAATAATTTACAAACGAATTGTAAATTATTATTATTATTGTACATTATCTGTATATATTATACAGTGGCCATTATTTAACTGACAATAATACTATTATTCAGTTAAACTTTATTTCCAGACTTAAAGTCCATAAAATGTATGTGTGTCTATCTATCTATCTATCTATCTATCTATCCATCCATCCATCCATCCATCCATCCATCCATCCATCCATCCATCCATCCATCCATCCATCCATCCATCCATCCATCCATCCATCCATCCATCCAATTTTCAATAATGTTATTTTACAGCTATACATTAAGTTGTTTAAAAAATAACTAAACAACCATGTTTCTTCAATGTCACACAAACGAATTGTATTTGTAGTATTTGCTAGTGGGAGGGCAGTTACTAACTTAACTTAATAAGTTGGCAGAAGTTTTTTGGATGAACTAGCAAAACCTTGTTCACACAATTAAACTTTTTAAGTTTATGGAAAGAAACTTGGTTTAGGTTGAATAAATGTATTAAACTTAGTTATACTGACTTTTTCATAGAAATTTGTTGAGCCAGCACAACAAAACCAGTCATTTGAACCTTTTTCAAGTTGGGTTTTTTACAGTGCATGCCATCTCTCATGCCTTTCCAAATCCATAAGTCATTCATCTTCAGATCACAAATGAAGAATTTTTTTATGCAACCGGAGAGATTTCTGCCCCTTCCATCAAATTTTTTGCGTTTGAAAAATTGTATGCGTGTTAATCAGTGTTTATATATGAGAATAAAAGCCTAAACCAATCTGTTCATCAAAGCGATAACAATCTCTTCAGAAGACATTAAAGCACTAGAATCATATGGATTTCCTTTACAATGTCTCTCTATGAACCTGTAATTGAGGAATGAACTTTCAGTAGAGGGACAGAAAACTCTCAGGACTCTCCATTTGTGTTTTGAACATCGGCTGGAACGACGTGAGGTTACATAAATGATGACCACATTTTCCTTTTTGGGTGAACTAACCCTTAAAGTGTTTGGTAAAATATGTAGAAAGCAGTTCACTTTGAAAAAAGATAAGATTTACCAGTAAGTATAACTTAGACATCAACAAGGACAAAAAAGACGCAAGCAACCCCATTTTCAATGGTTTATTTCCATTTTTCCAGTTGTTATGATGTTAACAGTTGAAGTTCAGTGCATTCAAATGAGGTGGTAATCTGCTAACCCTAATATAAAACAACTGCATCAGTTTGTGAAGTCTAATAAACCCAGCACCATGATCATATGGTTCTTGTACAGTGTTCTGGACTTAAAAAATCAAAAGCTAAGCAGGTCATGCAAGATACCGCCCACTGCTGAAACTGGGGATGAGAAACATTTCCTCTCCATTTTAATCATTCTCTTTTCTTTTTCTCAAAATAGAAAAAAAAATGGACAGAACCCTTCTAAACATCTTCTGAAATAAATAGTCTGAAATCAGATGGTTCACTGTTCAGCTTTGAGTTACTGCACATAAACTGAATAAAACAAACAAGCAAAAAAGTCTAGAGGAAACAAGGACACAGTCATTGAATTGTATACACATACATACAACACATTCTCATAGATTCACACTTACAAACACTTGTACACTCATATTCTTCTGAATAAATAAATAAAATGAAATGAAGTTTACAGTAATACTTGTAAAATGTGAGCTGTATGGTGTCAGTGTGAGGTAGTTCAGACTCAACCTTCAAACGGCTCTTGTGTTTTCATGCCTAAAACATCACGTTTTGAGAAGCTTTTGCTTTTTGCAGTTACAGTAGGTTCAGGCTTCCCAGGCAAGTATGCAGGGCTTAATATCATTGCCACTATTAAGAGCACTTAAAACAAAAATAATAATATAAAGTAATAGCAAAATATGTAGGTTTTTTTATTTATTTAATTTTTACCCTGTGCACAGGTAAATAAATCCAATGGGCTAAACCCCAGGACAACAACATTCAGATTCCCACATTTCACTCCAAAACTTCAGGCCTTTTCAACGTTCTCTCTCACGCTCACATTCAAAAGCAAATGTAAAAGAAACCCACTTCCCTGATACATCTTAGTCTTATCAAATAATACATGGCACTCCACAGTATTCAATGTCACGAGTTACAATTCATATACGTACAAGTAGGTCAATTCAGTATGTCCCGTTCATTTACAGCAAATAATGTGCCGTTACAGACCTTCTAACCTGACGGGGGAAATAAGAAAAACAATAAAAACAATCTAGAGAAAAATTCTTTTCAAATTGGCTTCATTTCACTGTTGTACAAAAATAAGTAGCTTAATAACTCTAATGGAATATACTAGAAATTAACTAGTGTAGACGTTTTTGTAGGTCTTCCAAAATAATAATAAAATAATTGGAAAACATTTGCTCTACCAACTAAAAAAAGTCACAAAACAAACATTGTTAAGGGTTGGAAAAATATTAGAGAAAAACAGCAAAATCTAATATTGATATAATCCTAGCTACAGTCGTGATCAGAATTAGGGCCCTAAAAAATCCATTTTATTTTTTCCCAAATTGGGGGACGGGGGGTGAGGATGAGGGGTTGGGGTTGTGTCACCCAGATTTGCTTCCCTCGGTCTGCATTTTCCCCAGAGATAAGTTCTTCTCTCACACTAAAACAGAATTTCATTCCAAATATGAAAAATTACGAAAAAAAATTCTGCGTTAACATTAGTTTCTGCGTTAATTGGCCAATTACGCGATTGCGGATATTATAGGGCCCTACAGAATTATTGGCACCCTTGGTAAACATGATCAAAGATGGCTGTAGAAATAAATCTGCATTGTTTATCCTTTTGATTATCAACACACACATTAGCCACAATTACCGGTTCCCTTTATATATATATATATATATATATATATATTCCCTTATATACAATATATATCTGAAGTATATTCCCCTTCATATTTGCAATTTTGTAACACACCATGGTGACTAGGAACATGCCTTCCTCTTCCACAAGCCAAATTCCCTTAATCATCTATCACGAGTAAAATAAATATATCTTTATATTTCAAAGAATATAGTTCTGAATATAGCTTCACAAAAAAAGAAAGTGCCTGTAAAATAGCTAAAGCGTTAAACATTCCCATTTCCACCATTAATAATTAAGAAGTTTCAATCAAAAGGAAATGTTATGAATCTGCCTGGAAGAGGACTATGTTGTCTCTATGTTGTATTAATGCGCAGTGAGGATAGTTCGAGTGGCCAAATATTCTCCAAGAGTCACCGCTGGAGAATTGCAGGAAATAGTTGAGTCTAGGGGTCAGCATATTGTTGTCAGATACTGCTTGAACTTCAACAGGGACAGGCTTCTATGGTCAAATGAAACAAAAAAAACAAAAAAATTACTTTATGGCAGCAAACCCACCAGAAGGAACCAGGGATAATAAGTACCCAATGTCCACGGTTAAATATACTGCTGGGTCTTTGAAATTGTGAGCATATTTTTTGCTGGAGGTACTGGACATCTTGTTTAGATATATGGCATCATGGATTCTACCGCATACCAACAACAGATAAAAAAAATCTAAACCTGACGCCCTCTGCTAGAAATCATATAAATGGGCCATGGTTGGATCTTCCATCAGGACATCAATTCAAACGTCAAAATCAACACAAAAGTGTGTCACTGAACACATAATGAAACTTCTGCCATGACCATCCCAGTACCCTGACCTGAACCTGTCCAGAAAATGAGTGGGTTGAACTGAAGAGAAGCACCATCAACATGGAGCTGGGAATCTGAAGTATCTGGAGAGATTGTGTATAGGGGAATGGTCTGAGATCTCGTCAGGTGTTCTCCATTATAGGGGAATCCTCTAGAGCTGTTATCTTGGCAAAAGGAGGTTGCAAAAAGTATGGAATAGAAAGGTGCCATTAATTGTGGCCAGTGTTTATTAGAGAAAAACAAAAGGATTAATAATTAATAATGCAGATTTTTGTCTAAGTTCATATTTAACAAAGGGTGCCAATAATTCGGACCAGGACGGTATTGAAGTGCAATGCTTGTTCTATATGCAGATTTTGAAGGGGTAAAATGAATTTAAATAATTAAAAAAAATAAAAGTTGCTGAAATCCCAGGTAACTAGGACTAGAACAAGAACACCAGAGACATATGGACAAGCACAACACATATCACAGTCTACCAGGAAATTAACCAGCAGCAAAAAGTATTCATGAAAAACAGATCAGCCTGACAAAATAACTCAATGTACATATAAAAATATTTTTTCGATGTTGTGAATTATTATATCTAAACGAAACTGTACAAAATTTAAATAAAATGTGCTGTGCACAAAAATGGAAAACATGACCCAGAAAAAGCGACCTCAGGCAAGCTGTCAAAATGTACTTAAATAACTATGTTGATATCAATTTTAAAATACTAATATTGACAATCTAAAGATTTTCATATCCCAGGTGACTAAGAAAATTATACATTGACCAGGGAAAAAAAGACTCAAAATAAATGAATTTGAGAAAATATATTCACAATTCAATCTTTACAGATTACCTTCCAAAATCACTCTACGACAACATGACAAAATACTCTAAATGTAGCTTATAAAAGAAGTTTTTTGTTAAGGAGTTCACTATCATTGGCTAAACCTGTTAGGGCTGTTGCTAAAAAGGTCAAATTGTATAGTCATTTACAGCATCTACAGCAGAACTCAAAAAGCCATACCCGACCCGAAATAATGTATTAGACTGGCCTAAATCTGATACCATGCCACACACAGAGAATCTCCAGGGGAAGGTGATAGTCATCTGCAGCAGCTCAGGGGTCCCGCAGAGGCCTCCAGGCTGCTGTCCGTGTCCGAGGCCACGGTGGGCTCTGTGGACATGGAGGAGACGTCATTAATAGAGGAGGAGGAGGAGGGCTGGGGTGAGCCGTTGATCACTGCTGCACCTGTGCTATGTGAAACAAAGCAGTCGGTTAGATTACCTGCACATACATCGTAAAAAATAATAATAAACGTTTCAACTTAAAAAGCAAGTGTTCGTGCGGCCTTAACATTTTTAGGTTTAGTCGACTCAACTTGAAATGTTAAACTGTACTTGTAACATCTTGGATATTTGAGTTGAGTAAACTGAAAATTAAAGGGTTAATTCATCCAAAAATTAAAATTATGTCATTAATGACTCCCCCTCGTGTCCTTCCAAGCCTGTAAGACCTCCGTTCATCTTCGGAACACAGTTTAAAGCTACACTGTGTGATTTTTTACCCCCATCTAGCACTGAAAAGGTATATGACCATCCAGTGAATATTAGTTTCTGTTCCTCTCAATTCCGATTTCGTTTTAACTCCTACGGTGGCCAATGTAGTCCAAGATTAACATGACTTCCAGTTCGACCTTGTCCATGAGTGTTAACTCAAACGTAAACGCGAAAGGCAAAGCTTGAATTAGCGTGTATGTCCCTCTTTGGCTAATGTACTTTCAAGATGGAGGGGCAACATGGCGACCGACATTAGAACCCCTTACCCGTATGTATTTTCAATGGCATATTATACACTCACGAGAATACTTTATTACTTGAACAAAGTAAATATACATTAATGGCCACATATATTTTTGAAAGAACTAAGTGTTTTTAGCTAAAAGAGTTACACAGTGTAGCTTTAAGTATTTTAGATTCAGTCCGAGAGCTTTCTGTCCCTCCATTGAAAATATATGTAAGATATATTGTCCTTCTCCAGAAAGGAAATAAAGACATCATCAAAGTAGTCCATGTGACATCAGTGGGTGAGTTAGAATGTTTTGAAGCATCAAAAACACATTTTGGTCCACAAAAAAAAAAAAAAAAAAATACAATAAATCCTTAGATCTGAGATGAACATAAGCAAGTGGTTCTGCTTTAGACAAAGAGAGTCTAACTAACCTAGAGGGGAGGGCTGACCTCGAATGACACCATTCTTCACTCGTTCTTCCCAATCCATAACTTCTTTATAGATCAGCTCTGATGAAGAAAAACAGAGAAAGAACAATTATACAGAATAAACAAAAGAGTGAGGCTTCTCTTTTTGAGGTACTTAGTTATAAAGTTTCATTCCCATAACTGAAGTTGGATAAAAAAAGTGTGTACTAAGTTTCTCAAGCATAAAAACCATAAAGATTTCAGTTGGTTCAACTCACTTCAACAGATACATTAATAAAACTAGAAAATAATACTAACTAAAAACACTGTGATGAACGGTGGCATTAAATTACACAGATGGAAGGGAAAAGAGCAGGGATTGAAAAAAAGTGAATTGTTTGTTTGACTGATGAATTGTTTATTGTATCGTATAATAATGACTGATGAATCGTATAACCCTCCAAATGAACTGATTCACTAAACTGCAACAGCTTCGCAACACTTTTAGGAACTTGAGAACTTTTTTTGTACCGTCAAGCTACATAGCTTCACGGTCACGAAAAAATAGCTTCTCTTTGAAAATTTGGAATAGTTACACTGTCTTGAAAAGAACTGAGCTACTAAACAAACAATGAAAAAAAGTGTTTTGTTACTCCCTGAATCTGGATAGACGAACAAAGTCATGGAAACTGGCAAGGTTTATATTCAACAGCACATGCTCCTCTCCATGAGTTGAAAGAAATATCTCAATCAATCTTTCTAATTTAAGCAACTGCCGTCAGACATTTAAACACGCAGAGGAGCTTATTAACACTATTCAATCAGGTGACCGCAGCAGACAAGATTTCGACCGCGTGTGCAAATGATGTTTGTTCTAAACCCCTGGCACTTTCCTTTGCATCAGATTTCACTCAGTGAACTTTAAAGTTAGAAAAACAAATCACCTTTCCACTCATCCACTGTGTGTTCCCTCTCATCGAGCTGTTTGTCTATGATCAGAGGAGGTGGCTGAAAAGAGAAAGATCAGCATACATAATTATACTGGTGAAATAAACAATTATGTGTAAAAAAAAAATAGGCACAAACTCTATGTTTCTGTTTTGAGAACTATTAGAAACACTACCTTTCATAAATGTGGGGTCAGTACGATTTTTTGTTTTTGAAAGAAATTATTACTTTTAATTTTATTAAGAACATTCTAAATTGTGCAAATTGTAAACAAAAGTGACAGTATAGAAATTTATAATGTTTTAATGTATCATGTTAAGATTTAGTTTTCAAATAAACACTGCTCTGTTGAACTTTATATTCATCAGAAAATCCTGAAAACATGCATCATGTAATAATAATAATATTAAAAATAATAATAAGAGTTTCTTGAGCACGAAATCAACATATTAGAATGATTTCTGAAGGCACATGTGACACTGAAGACTGGAGTAATGATAACTGCTGAAAATTCAGCTTTGCCATAAACAAATATTATTTTAAATTAAAATAATAATATTTTTCACAATATTGCTATATTTTACTAAGGATACATTGATAGGATTTTTTGGTCAATTGTTAAACAACTATTAGTCGATTCCGATATCGATATAACTTCTGTCATTAAAATAGATTACTTTTTTGATCATGTTTTCAATTAGAAAAGTTTAAAAACGCAAGCATTAATGTATACTAGCTAGTTTATTTCTGCATCATCAAATCATCTTCATTAAACATGGATTGGACCTATTTAACATTCAACAGGCCATACATGCATATGCGTGTGTGCTTCAAATGTGTGCGTCAAATGTTAGATAACACTGCTGTATAAATTAAATGTATATTAATCCTTATGAAAGTTACAACAGTTATTTAGTCAAGAGCAGTGAGCAATTTTTTTAGTTTGATTAATATTAAAACAAAGACAGTAGTGCAGCAGGATAATTAGGCGGCTGTCACTTTAGGAGCTGCACAGATTCAATATACTGATATACACATTTTATTTCTCAACTGTTTAAGTTCACTTAAGCCATAACCAGCTGCATTTACTAAGATACTTACCAAGATGGCCATTTTGATATAATTTTGTGTGAGTTTTTCCGTTCAAGCAAAAGCAGCGAAAGAGAAATTGATTCTGGCAACGGGGCAGTCCGTATTCTCGAGGCCTGCTATATTTTGTACAGGTTTAATTTTGTTTTGGCAAACTATTTTACCCAAAGAAAAACGTTAGATTATGCAACAGACATAATACAACGCATTGCCTTTAAGCAGTTAATTAATCAAAACCATCGATATCAGCCTTTTAATGCTATAGCTGATATGCCAATGGCTTGAAATTGATTAGATATTAGCTTTATATGTAATTAGCGGAATTAGACACATCTGTGGCCGACACATCGGCACATCTCTAGTTTATATTAAATGTGCATATTAAATATACACATCTTATTTTTTTTAAAACACATCAAATTAGACACCCATTTATTCTGGCACAGTTGTTGTAATTTCTTTTTAAAATAGCTTTTGTAAATTTATAGCTTAAAAATATTAGACAAACAAAATAAATATATATATATATTTAGAAAACAATAGTTTTGGTAAAGGGATTTCAAAATTACAACCCTTTTGAGTATTTGGTTGGGGGGGGGGGATCAACACTAATTATTTAGATTATTCAAAAGTGCAAGGACTTGAAATCACAATGAGTTTGCATGTGTACTTAACAGCAATGGATTGGTACTTGGTGTGTGTGTGTATGCGCATAAGCTCACCGCTTCCACTTCAGCTGGGTCGTACCACACATTAATGTAGGGGTGCTGAAGAGCTTCATCCACAGAAATTCGTTTGGATGCATCTATTACCAGCATTTTAGACAGCAGGTCCCGTGCCTGGCTCGCTGCATAACAAATCACATCCAGTACAAAGAGAAAGAGTTAATGGTGTGTCTGAGGTTCTCAAGTGGCTTGACATGTCATCTCAAAAACACAGCTGATTATTCAGGCCACTTCACTATGAATACACTGGAAATGATTAGAATTGCAAAATATGTTGTTTTTGTTCTGCAAATATATCAGTTGAAGGCAATTAAATACTACACTAGCACAAAACCAACATTTTGACATTCCCATTTGCAAAAAGCAATTGCACAGCTGCCAAATTATTTAAAAAAGGGCGACAGAAAATGTCACCCATTTAAACCTTTAGGCAGATGTACCTTTCAGTTTGTTGTGTTCTGAATCAGCAGGGAACAGGACGTCGGGAAACAGCTTCTCAAAGCTGTATCCGGTGTACCGTGGCCTGTTCTCCACATAGGTCCGCACTGACTGGTTGAGTTTCATCAGGAACTCCTGGGATGGTGTTCCCAGCTGCTCGATGACCTTGTTCCACTGATCAATATCTTCAGGCATTAGAAGGTTAAGAAAAGAATAAATAGGCCTACAATATCTAAAACCATCTTCTTGCAGGCTTTTCACAAATCTTTTACTTTGCACCAATTCATTTTGAAGGCTTGTGCTAAATCTATAGTCCTAAAAGCCCTAGTATACCAGGGAACAATGTATTGTGTGTAAAAGAGAGAAGGGATGACCATGGAATGGATGACACAAGATAGACATGTAAGGATACGATCTGAACCCGGAAACAACACACTACCTCTGACCATTTCAGCCATGATACAGCCAACAGACCATACATCCACTGAAAAATGAAATGAAAGTGAAATTAGCATGCAACAAAGAGCGAAAAAAAAAGACAAATAAAATGAAATCAGATGTCAAGAAAAGTGATGTGCGTCATGCAGGAACTGTCATGTCTAGTCAGTGAGGATGGAGCACAGACGTAACACAGAATGTAGTGTTGTCAAAAAACTCGGTACTTCGGTACCAAGTCGGTACTAAAAAAAAAAAATGTTACGGTACCAGCTTTTCTAGGTACCGAATACCTAATCCAGTTCTAGACGCGCTGTCTGAAAGGTGCACAGTTGCGTCCTCTTCATAACACTGATAGCCTATATCGCTCTCTCTCTGAATCCACTTGTTGAAACGAAAGGAGGAAAGAGCCACATATGAAATATTTTGGATTAGGCTAATGTCACGTTGCCATAAGAGGCTGATTACATGCAAATTCGCAATTTCAAATATAGGCGCGAGGCAAGCGCGCTCATAATAAAAACTCGTTGCATAGCAACGACAGACGCCGCGTGAGAGCAAGCGCTTTGGAGAGAATAAGCACGCGCAAAAATATCATAAAAAACACGCGCGACATGTGAACGGCCTCTAAAGTGCTTTCGGGGTAGTTTTACGAGTACACGAGCACAGTAGTATCCAACCGACACCAGAGTACTGGTATTAGTATCGACGCATCCCTATTTATGTCATTTAATGTCAGTGCCAGTTCTAGGCGTATTCTTGCCTTTATAACTCGGCAGGTTTAAAAACCCTTTTTAAAATTAAATATGAATGCAGTTTTAGATTAAATAAAAGTACAGTCAAGTCAAATAAAACATGTTTTATCTCCTGTATAGTTTGGTGATGCTACAATAAGATACCATTCATCAACATTACTTAGTTCATATCAACACATTGAGTGAACAATATATTTTTACAACATATATATGTTTGCAATTGCAAATGTTATTTAATACAAACACTTGGTTGTTCATGTTTGTTCACTTTATTCATTGTGCATTAAATAAATGTTAATGGATTAAAACTTTACAAACAACTTTAAAAATGTGTTAGTGCATACTATTGTTTATTTTAGGTCATTTTATCTAATCTTTTTCTAAAGTGTTTATAATGCAAATGTGCAGTTTCCATACTTGTAACCGTGATAAACACTTAAATATATGTAAATTTAAACTAAGCTTTGGTACCGAAATTGGTACCGAGAACCGTGAATTTTTACTGGTATTGGTACCGAATACTGAAATTTTGGTACCGTGACAACACTAACAGAATGATCATCGCAACACTATGAATAAACTGGAAACAAGCCTTATAAAGCATCACAGACCTGAACATTTTCATTCATATTGTGACTCATCAGCTGAATATGATGGAGAAAATAAAACACTGGGCAAAATGACAGATTTAGACATAACCATACATATTACAGAATATTATTTTCAGAGCATACACTAACATTCTGATGAAGGCTTTTTGGGATGACACTATAATGTGTTCTCAAACACCATCAAAACTCGCTACCATTTAAAAGTTTGGAGTCTGTGCCATTTTAAAAAAAAATCTTTATGCTCATTTGCTCATGAAGCTGCATTTATTTGATTAAAATTAATATTTTTAAATATTACAATTTCAAATAACAGTTTTCTATTTTAACATACTTTAAACTATGATTTATTCCTGTGACGACAAAGCTGAATTTTCAACATCATTACTCCAGTCTTCAGTCACATGATCCTTCAAAAATCATTCTAATAAGCCGATTTAATGCTGAAAAAACATTGCCAGTGTTGAAATCAGTTGTGCTGCTTCATATTTTTGTGGAAACTGATGCATTTTTGAATAGAAAATGTGATTAAACATAAATGTGATTTTTTATAATGTTGCAAAAGATTTTCAATGTCACTTTTGATCAAGTTAAAGAATCTTTTTCTAAATAGACGTATACATTTCTTCTTCTTCAAAAAAGAAGCTTATTGACCACAAGCTTGTGAGCAACACAACAGCTAGAATGCCTAAATGTTTCTTTTTAAATTTACCATGACACTAAAACACAGTAAATGAAAAAGTGATCTAAAAACCAAACTACTTATTCAATATAGTGGTGTTTACTAAAGGTAAAGCCAAAATTAGACAGTAAGCCAACTGAAAAGTCAAAACCGCACTTGAGTGAAATGCAAAAGAAAGAGCTTTAACCAACCCAATTTTGATGAACATAGAACATAACAAAGAGCACAATATAGAACCAAATTAGTGGGGGACTATACAGTATATCTAGCTCCATATATACCGCATGACTCTCCATTGTGAGAATACTACAGATTCTCAAAATGACAACAGGCAATCTAAGCGTCAATTATACATTTTTGTAATTTTGAGGCTCAAGGATACAGTCCCTCCCAGGAAAAAGGATTTTGTGACGGACCATTTCTGCCAAAATGCAGCCCACAGACCAAATGTCCACTAAGCGCGTGCAGCAGAGGGAAAGAGAGAAAACGGTTAAGCAGGAAGTCAGGGGGTGTTAGTATTTTTGTACTGTTGCATAAGAGCTTGTTTTATTCATTAGAGTTTGGGTAAGAAATGAATGAGCACACCAAGCCATTGTCTACTCATCACACACTAAACAGGCTTCACATTTTATCAAAGACGGCACAAAAGAGAAAGAATTCCCAACAAATTGTTTGCCTTGTAACACATTTTGGTGCTGAAACCACAAAGCTATTAGTGCAAGGAAAGCATCAGAGAAGCCTATAAGAGTGCGAATTGAAACCTGCAACACGAGGATGATATTGGTAGTTAAGCATGCATAGGATGTGCCAACTAGGCATTCTGTAGCTTGTCAGCAGCACTGACCATTGGCTTGATATCCCATTCCAAGGATGACTTCAGGAGCTCTATAGTAACGCGTCACCACATATGGTGTCATCAGCAGACCCGTAGCTGCTGTCCTGGCCAGACCGAAATCCAGGATCTTTAGAGTACAGTCTGACTTTACCACAATGTTGCTGGGTTTTAGATCCTAAAGAACAACAGAAGAGAATATTAGTCAATAGGGTGGGCTTTTTTGCATTCTCATTTATAGCATTTATTTTTTATTTAAAATATATAAAGTATATTGGGGTCCAAAAGTCTGAGACGACATAGAAAATCAACACGAAAGTAGAAAAAAAAGAAACATTTGAAAAATTGTAATAATAATACAAGTTTTTGGGATTGGTAAGATTTTTTTGAAATATATCTATTATGCTCACCATTTCTTTATTTATTCAAAGGAAAATACAGTAAAACAATATTGTAAAGTATTATGACAATTTGTAATAACTACTTTGTATTTTAATATATTTTTATAATGTTATTTATTTTTGTCTTTGGTGTCACATGATCCTTCAGACATCATTCTAATATGCTGATTTGGTGCTCAAGAAACATTTCTTATTATTACTATGTTGAAAACAGTTGTACTGCTTAATTTTTCTCTGTAAATTGTAATTAACAAAAAAAAATCAGGATTCTTTATTTGAAATAGTCAATTTGTTTACTTTTTGTTTATTGTAATAACAGAAGCAGACTTATGGACGAGTGGCAGCAGCATTTAACATTCAGGTAACATTAATGGGTGAATATAAATGTTTTAAAAAAGGGAAAAAAAAGGTGGTTATAAACTCTGTGGGCTTTAGAAAGGGTTTTATATATCAGCTACAGTGTTGAGTTTTTTAGGTTTCACTCAATTCTGTCTAACTGAAACTCAACCAGCAATACACATATATTTCCAGGGGCTGAAGTGAATTAAAACTAATGTTCTGTACTCCATTTTCAACAAACAAACCTTCCCACATCATTAACCTTGAAAAAGACTGTCCTTCAATGTTCCTTCGTTTTCTCGTCACCTAATCGATCTGTCAGAGTCAAACCATTTTTATTCATTTAATGCTTGATTATGCATGGTTGCAAATTTAAATGTTCAAAGGTCGCCGTTTATAAGACATGACCTTGGGCAGTGATACAACAAGATTCATTTTATTCCATTCATATAAACGTCTCAAACGTGCAAAAGCAGTACACTGTATAAGACAGAGGTAAAGTCAAGGTGAAACAGGACTACAGGACAGCGATGTTTACTGAGGAACACTTGATCGCTTCCCTCCTGTCGCCTCTCAACACGTCTCTGCCTCAACAGCGCAATGCAGTCCACAGCAGCAGCTGCAGTCAGGCAGGCAGGCAGGCAGGCAGGCAGAGGTCTGGCTTTTTGTAATCAGCCCAGGGGATGAAACCCCTCCCCCTCCCTCACCTTAACTGATTATTAAGCTTTTCACCGTCACTGCAACCTTGGCTGCGTACGGCAGTCTTTTTGTTTAGGCGGACAGGCTTTAGGCTAAAGAGCACCGACCCTGTGGATGATCCCTGCGGAGTGGAGGTGTTTTATTCCACACAGCGTCTGGTACAGAAGATAGGACAGCCGCTCGTGGTCCAGCTCCATCTGAATGACTTGGCAGAGGTTGGCATCCATCAGCTCCATTACTAGGTAACTGTTGTTGGGGAAGGGGCGGGAAGGGGAGGGACGAAAAAAGAGGGTGTGATGGGGGTAGGAGAGAGCAGAGAAGAAGGGGAGGGGTGTGAGTGCGGATGTGAGAGACCATTAGCGGGGTATCAGCTGGGGTCTGGCGTTTTTAACTGTATGAATGCACAATGTATACTCACACATCTTGGAATTCTTCTAATGTTTTTTGGGGTGTAAAAACATTTAAGAGCCCTATTATCTGGGAACGAAAAAGACAAGCATATCTATTAGCTCTGCTGGATGCTGGATAAATGTTTCTCTTTGCATGCAACATGCACCCATTTTGGAGTATTGATGACTTACGTTTTTATGGTTGACGCACTTCATGAGCACCAGCTCTCTGTATGCGCGTTTGGCATGAGTCTGATTCTGAAAAGGCCGGCTGAGTTTCTTTATAGCCACGTTTCGCTCAAGGTTGTGGTCATACGCTGAGCTAAAAGAAAAAAAAGCATGCATAAAACAGATGAAAAGATGTGGCGACTGTGTAACGTCCTTGATGTGAGGTGGAATTTGTGCTCTAGAACATACCAGACTATTCCCTGAGCACCCGAGCCAATGGGTCTTAGATTCTGATAGCGCTTCAACACTGTGAATGTCGAATCACCCACATCTACACTGTAGAACTCTTTTTCTCGCTTATTTTTGTTCATGATGAAGTCGATGTCCTAGCATCCGAACGAGGCAGACTTTTACAAACCTAGACCACAAAAACAAAGCAAAATGCACTATAGATTGCAATTGTTTGTGATATCCCTAGAATCGTAACATGATTTGATTTTTCTGCCTGTCATAGTAGAATAAACTGAAAGGACAGCACAGAGTGGTCTCGAGCCTCTTTTTGGCTCTGGGCTTTATCTCTCTGCCATCAAAAAAGAAAATAACTAGAGCATACAGCTGTTTGAAATATACACACACATAAAAAGAGGACTCACACGCCACCAAAGAGTAGGGCAGTATCCTAATAGCTCTTAACCTGAGTTTAAATAGCAGGACTAACAGAATGACCCAGATCCACAGAAAAATGCTCCCACGTTTTTTTTGTTGTTTACGCAAATGGCATAATATCAGGGATATTTTTTTGTCTGACATGCCACAGTACATTAAAAGTGACACAGTTGACTGTGATGAGAGGAAGTAGCACTGAATAAGTCTGAACAAAACAAAAATGCATTTAGATAGCAACAGAGAGAATTTTGTCAAGATTTGATTCTGGAAAAACCTAGATCAGGAGGAGTCTGTGGTTGTAACCTATAATCAAGCAAGTGAAAAAATAAAATTTTTAAATATTACAGGCCCATGTTTAATTGTGCGTTTAAAAAATAAATGAATGCTTACATTGTAGAATCTGACATGCACCCAAACAAACCAGTTAACCGATTAAGATAATTTCTCATTTTAATCAGATCATAATAAAGGCTTAGACTTCCAGGATAATAGCACTCTCACAACTACTCAACACAACATGCACAAAGAGAATCATTTCAAACCATATGTATTATTATGCACCAATAGAAATTATTGTTAGAAAGGAAAAATAAAATGCCTTCAATTCATTGAATTCCTTCAGCTCTAATGTGATATCAAATTAATTTATTAGAAATAAAATATTAAGGACAGCCTTCCTGGTGAAAAGTAAAAACACATCAGAAGTGAACATTGGCGAGTGGAATAAACACTTTATAAGATATCATATCAAGTTAACAAGAAATTTCTGATTAAGATACAAACTTTAATGTTTGTGTTCCATGCCACCAAACTTTAGGGGTCATTTTTTGTTTTTGTTTCATTAACAATAATGTCAATTTTACTCATCAAACACACAGATATAATGGGCAAATTATGTCAAGCAAGAGTTAATCAGCCTGTAGTCAATTCATTTAAAACTGATGTTTAAATGTGCATAAGGATACATGCATGACAGGCCTGTAAGTTATGTATGAAATAAAATAATTATATATGTTTTTAACTTGGACATGGATCAGTGTAAATGCTAAACCATATGCAATTCAATATACATTCAAATGTTACGTTATTGACTAAATTATATCTAGAATACACACAAGGTAACGTATATTATGGTTACAGTGGGTGGGTGGGAAAGCGAGTAGCTTGACAAATAGCATTGTAAGCGATCTCACGTAACCAGGCTCATTTATTAGTCCATACAGTTAGCTACGTTTAAACGCCTCATCATTCAAAACAACGACATTCGTGTCGTATTACACTTTCAAATGAAGGGAAATCAGCTGTGATGTTTGCAGACACCCTCCCCCAATGCGAAACAATACCACGTAGTATTAAAAACACCTTAAAACGCTCACTTACCTGCTACGATTGAAATATAAACACTCTCTGTATCCTAAATGCGACTAAATATTCGGGCTCTTCAGAAATGATGTGGTGAAGTCTCTATTGATTATTAATAGCGCTTATTCGGCTGCTGGTTTCGATAACATGACCTCACCGTATTGAAAGCGCTTTCTTCCACTGGAAGCAGGCCTCTCGTGCACTGCGGACGACATGCGCTCTACGTCACCAAACCCCCACGCGCTTCCGTGCCATCATGCAGGTCTATTCATAGATACTTCTTTCTTTCTTTTTCTTTCTTTCTTTCTTTCTTTCTTTCTTTCTTTCTTTCTTCAGATTGTAAAAAATAGGTCTAACGACTCTAGTAGGCAGCTATCTAATTCGAATCCATCCACACGAAATCAATATAAATAATAATGATCAATAAATGATCTAAATTTTGTTGTGCATCCTTTTAAGGATATATTGGTCTATTTAGTCTATATGACCTATTTCCTAGATAGAAACTTTAATAATTAAAATGTGACAGCCTAATCCATTGTAAATATGTGTGGTCAGTCACTTTGGTGTATTTCTCAGTTCACAACTTCTCAAGACCATTTGTTTAACCTCGACCTTGTCACTTGTCACTAGTCAAATAGGCCTACATTATCAATTGCTTGTGTCATGTCAAAATAAATTTCTCTGGTTCTGTTGAACAGTCTTCCCTCTAAACATAATGTGTTCCTTGCATAAGTAATAAGTGCTTATGACACAAATTCAGGCTTTTTTATAGGTTACTCAACATGTTTTATTATGACAGGTTTCAAAAATAATGAATGAAATAATGATAGAAATAATGTCTCAGAAAAAAAAATTATAAATAATAAATAACTAAAAGAATTACCTCCAAATTGAACAAAAATAGCTCTCACAAACTTACAAAAACGAACTAACAAAATATATTTATATATTTAGTTTTCTTCCTCTTTATCCTGTTTTTCTAATTCGTCCTCCTTGTTTGTCCATCTATATTTTGCTGATCTTTCAGAGCAGTTTTTTTGTAAACCAGAACATTTTCATCAATTTATATAAAACAGCCAGGACAGGGCGTGGAAAACAGGACTGGTAGTCACCCTACGGGTATGTCAGTCAATTTTCACTACTGTTATATAGGCTATACTCTAATGCTGTAAAGGATTTTGAGCCAGGTACAGGCTTTGGCAGTACATCGTGTGATTCGTACGAATTGTTTTGAGAAATACACTTACTGGGGGTTTGCAAATCTTAAGGATGATAAAAAAAAAGTAGGCTAGGCTACCAAAGCGACGAAGTGAAATAATCAAACACCTTCAATATGTATTGCGTGAAAATTGACATCTGTTTCACAAAAAAGGGGACTGTCCATAGTTGTGCCGCCTAATAAAGTTTTTTCAAAATGTAGCCTATGTTTGTTTATCAAAGAGACAACAGAGGCAGAGGAGCTTGATGAAATATAAGACAGGTAATTTATTTTTATGTGCATTTTCATTGTAAGTTCCAATTAAAGTGCAAATGTAAGCAAAAAGTGGGCAACTGTTAATTGTGTGTATTTAGGATACACATGCTAGCGTTAGCAAGACAGAGTCTTTTTTTATTAAAAGCCATTTTATACATGTTTTAAATGTAATTTGTACTAGGCTACAAAATGTTACTTAACATAATACATGACATGAGATGGGGTGAAAAAGAATCAGAATTATTCTGTGAAATCATTGGGAGTGGAAATGCTACTAAGGTTGACTAAAAAATGTTCCTGCTGACTCCTTCATCCTCTTTTGTCACTGTTTATCTAACTTAATCCAATTGAGCTCTTATCTGTAGTCTAAGAATAGTTTTTCAATTTGCAAAAAGTTTCGAAGACCCCCACAGACATCCGTTGCTTCTTAGTGATTAGACGTGAGTAGTTTATTATAGCTAAATGTCTTTTTGTATGGTTGTCCAATACTGCAGTATGCTGGAGCAGAGGCTGGGTCACATGTGGTGCTTGGTAACAGAAGGTAAAGGAAACATGTAGTGATCCACTGGATTAAAGAGTGTGCACTGGGACTAAAGGCATCAGAGGGAGATCAGGACCTAATACACTGAATGCTAGAAGGTAAAAATGAATATTCCTAAAATGAAATATCACACTTAGTAGCTTTAATTTGTGTGATTTAAAATTCATGAAGTTATATGTTTGGATTAAACAACATTCTGTTTGTAATTGATTAATGCTGCTTCCATGACTTGTGCTTAGCTGTGATATATATCTCAGACTTTTTATTTAGCCAAGGAAGGCCTTGAACCTCTCAATCAGTGACTATACTGTACACAATGCAAAAAGAAGGATAAAGAAAATTACTTTCCTTTTATATAACGGGTATGTTTATTTATTTAACCACTGTTCCTGTCAGTATTTGGCACAAATAATATGTTGTTTATTGGTATATCCTCAAATATGATTATTATAGGAATGCAGTGATTAGTGTCTTGTCCATAAGAATTTACTTGCTGAACTTCCACTGTGAGTCTGAGAGAGCTCATACGTTTTTTTTTTTTTGAATAGCCCATATATATATATATATATATATATATATATATATATATATATATATATATATATATATAATATGGAGGGGGGGGGGTTACAATCTGCTAAGGTGTAATAATGGAACAACGGCTTTAGGTCTATTATGTTTTACTCTTTTTGCTCTTATATGGCTCTTATATGCTGATGTAATATAGGCCTATATGATACACTTAACAGGTAATTTTTATAAAATATATTTTTATCATAATCTTCTCAGTTGTTTAAAATATTAATCAAAGTTCGATGAAATGTTGTTAAATTTTACCAACAAAAAATAAATTTTTACATGATGTGCTACATTTAATTAACCCAGCATATTTTGACTCAAATAATTGCTATATTTAGGTAAGCATTTTTAGCATTTGTATGCTTATAAGACAAAATTAAGCATGCTATTTATGAAAGGCCACAAAAAGAAACTCAAGGCTTCCTGTTGTGTTCAGACATACACATCTGCAGGTCCTGCTTAACCTTCTTTGGAGTTCAAGCTCATTAGCAGGTGTATGTTTTATTTGTTTGTGTGTCTAACCTAAATATTTGTAGTTCTGTCTGATCTGACTTGTTGAGGCAGTGAACAACATCAGGTATCCATAAATAACCACTTTATCATTTCTTGCATGTACTGTAGTATGTTATTTTGTTATACAAGTTTTTTTTTTTAAGTCAAAGTCAGCCGGTTAACAGAGGTTATGTAATTAGATAGTGTAATCTGCCTGTAAACTAGTTCAATGTAATAAACTTCAAGAGAGCCAAACAACAACAGACTGAACATTTTTTTTAAACAAGGTTTTTAAATAAACTACAATCATTCATTTTTGCCTCTTATTTAAATGTATTTTATATACTTAAATGTGTTATATAAATTAAAATCTATGTAATATATTTTTTATGGCATTTAAAGTTAAATTGAAGCACTTTTTAAATAGTTCTTCAAATTACTTATTCACAATACAATGCTAAATATCTGTGAGACAGTTACTGTTTGAATTCTACTGCAGTAACTACAGGAATATCATCATTATTTATTAAAGCTTCCATTAATTTGACAGTGAGTGTAGCATTTTACCTGGACTTTTACCTGGAGTAATGGCTGATGTTGGTGTATTGTTACAAATTTATTAAAATGTTTAATTTAGATTTATATTATACAAACTGAGGAAGTTAATTAGTGTGAATTTTGTAACTAAGGTAAAGGTCACAAACCTGCCTGTTCCTGTCTGTCCAGATTTTTCCATATTTCTAACTAAGTTAAATTGATACCATCACCTGTTATTTGTGAGTTCCCGTCTCAGTACAAAGAAGGCCTGCCCTTCTTGTTCTCGTGTCCAGAGACTATTTATATAGAGACATGCCACTTCCTCAATCCTTAATACATATGTATAGGGAAAACCTGTAACACCAAAGATGGCGGTTGTATGCAAATGCCCCGCCCCTCCTGCTGGACAGCCAATCGGTCAAGCCGGGAAACAGTAAAAGTATAACCTGTGGGAAAACGGCATTTTAAACCTTATTTTAGTGCAAAGTCATCAAACTTTTTCAGCGAGTTTTATTATATTTTACTGCTGTTTCTATACGTGCAGTTTTTATGTCTTGGTGACCAGTGAAAGTGCAGTTCTGACTCTCTGTCCATTCATTTAGATAGGAGCCTGGTCTTGTTAAGTCCGAAATAGCTGCCCGGAGGCATTGCCAAGATGGCGGCGAGTGGCATGACTTGCCTGAAAGGACTTTGTCGTGTCTCAGCATTTGAAGAGTCATGCTAAGTTTGAATAGTCATGCTGAGCATGTTCCAAAACCACTATACCTCATTACTGAGACCATCACCTGTTTGTTTGTGAGTTCTCCGTCTCAGTACAAGAAGTCCTGCCCATTCTGGTCTTGTGTCTCATAGTTTGAAGAGTCATGCTAAACAGCAGATACCTCATTTCAGAGTGTTTCACCCTCGATGTAAATCCCTCCCCCTAAAATGTGTATAAAGTTGCAATCTAAAGTTCCCTGAGTCCGATTTGATGAGGACAGCAGCTACCAACAGCTTGTGTTTCTCAATAAAGAAACATGCTGAAGAGACAACCAAGTCTCCTGGTCTTCGCTTCTGAGTTCCTAAACTTTAGAAGAAAAAAAAAATTCACAACATTGGTGACATTTTTTGGCATTTACTTTAGCAGTCACATGGCTAGCCTATGTTGTCCAGGTCCTGGCATCTTCTTATGGAAATCTTATTATGTCACTCTTCTCCTGCCTCATTACCGTAATCCTTAACTTTTCTTTCTTTTTAGTGCATTGGCTTGTGGTAACCTTGCTTTAAAAATGAAGGCTAATCACAGTTCCCCTTCTGTCTTGTGTAGTAACAGTGAGACACACTGGAATAAATGAAAATACCTCAGGAAACACTGGATTGTTCAGTATTGTAGCAGGTGAAAAAAATACACAAGTAGATGTGAATTAGAATTACAGTAGGCTGTATAAACAGGTATTTAGTATAGGGGAAAACTGGCTTAAATCTTTTGTCTTATTTTTACGATTCTGTATGTTTGTAGCTTGCTGTTCTCCAAAAATGACATGAAAAGGTGTCCTCTGGAATCCAGCCTACAGTGATTATGGAAAACAATTGGCACATTCTCTCCTAAACTTGTCCTTTTGATGGTTGGAATGAAGTCAGCAAAAGATAAAAATAGATCATTGTAGACAGATTTAGATTTACACATCACATTATAAATATATGTAGCCTAATATATGTCTATATACAAAATGACACAAAATTGTTATGAAACATTGGTGATGAGAGCAGAGTCCCTGCTGATCACTTTGTTTAGGCTCCATCCTCCTCTTTACACAGATTTCTCCCCTCCTCCATCAGCCATTTAGCTTGTGTCTCTCCTTCTCAGGTATCTGTCTCGCGACTCTGCAGGATGAGCAGCACATTTGTGACACTCGCAGAGGTGCTGGAAGCCAGAGGAGGACCGCTGGAAGAGGACGAGGTTTGGTCCCTCCTGCTGGGCTCGGTTGAATCACTTGTAGACCTGTCTTACAAAGGTAAAATGTTGACCTTGCTGTTAGTGTTGTGTTTTCCTGCTGGTGAAGAGTGCAGTCCATGCAAAATTAAATGAATGTGGGTCTGTTTTTCTAGGTCACAATATCTGCAACATTATAACTCCTGCATCACTGCTCTTGTCTGCGACTGGGACACTGGCGTTCAAGAACTGTGCGATGACAGATGAGGTTTGTGCCTTCACAGCCCCAGAGATGTTGCAAGGCCGTGCCATTTCCACCAAACTAGCCATGGAGAAGGTTAGTTTCATTCAGCGACATCAGGAGGTTATTATATACTTAACCTGCAATATCTGATTTCAAACCTCTACGGACACACTGGCATTATAAACTGCATTGGCAGTTTACATAACATTTGCTAGCTAATATACATTTCAAATCAAATCAGCTTCTCAACACAAAATGACAGATATTTTACGGATATATATTAATATACACTGATGCTCTGTTCACGCCATCTTTAAATGAGCTAACGCCCACTTTCCTGTCAGCTAGTGGGAAGGCGCCCTAAAGCCACCATAGGACATGACATGCAGTGAAAATGTATCTGCTAAACTTACCGTTGTATATGTATAGTCTTTGGCCAAATTCAGTCACTGACAAGTTTTTCTCCAGTATGATCCACACAGAGATCTGATCTCACCATCATGAAGTCTGTTTGCGATTACATAAAGAAACAGGAAGAAACCTGGAAATGGAATGTTTGGAATGGATATTTCCTACTGACACACTACACCAAAACATATAAATAACTGGCTTAAAAGCTTTTTTGTGTGTGTGAAATACTAATGTGCTTTAGACTTTTGCACAGTACTGAATATTAATCAACATTTTTACTTCTTTATTTTAATCATATTATTTATTTCTCTTTACATTTTACAGTTTTTCTTTAGACTTTTCCACTGTCCCTATTGCGACTCCCCTGGGATTCCAGTTTGAAAATCCTGACCTAGCGTGAAATTTAGTCGAAATGTAGAGGGTTGAATTTATTTTTACAAAAGTGCTTCTTTATTGTTGTACTTAAGTTGAATGCTCACAGAAGATATACTGATGATTTGGGTGTCGTTTCTTCCAGATAATCGTGTATTCTCTTGGTATGACTCTGTATTGGTCAGTTGATTATCATCTCCCTCAAAACCAGGTCAGTTTCACAGAAATCTGAGTAAGAAATAAGAAAGTAAAGACTGTATTATAAGTAACCATATAAGAATAAGAATGGGCAAATATCAGTGAAGAATAAGCTAGCTACATTAAACTTTCATCACCTTTACTTTCCGTCTGAAAATATTGTGGAAATGTGTTTTCTGCTTGTTTAGCCCATTAAGCTAAGTGACTCTCTGAATTGCCTTCTCCTGAGCATGTGTGAGGACATGGCCCATCGGCGAGCCAACCTGAACTCCATCTTGGAGTTGTGTGAATCGCACCACAAAGCGTCTCTCCTGCCTCCCCCTAACAAAGTCATCAAACAGCTGGTAGAGGATGTCTTCCAAGACTCTGTGAGTTTAAAAAAGCATTTATACCTGAAAAACTTCTCAGTTGATCAATTTATAAAATTGGTAGCCAAAGAGTTCACAAGATCTTCATTTCTAGGTGGATCGAGCTGCTTTAACTGAAAATGTTGTGCAGTTGAGTGGGAAAAGTCAGATGATCAGAGAAAGACTTCATGGTAGGAATAACCTTGAATCTCAAATTCCTCTGTTATTTTCTTATAGTTGTGTAAATACTGTAAATAGTGTTGTCAAATAAGTAATAGTAAGTAATAATCATAACATATTTTATAATATTTAGGGGCCAAGCACCAAAGGTGGATCTTCTTCTTCTTACATTTATTCATTTTAGCTGACGCTTTTATCCAAAGCGACTTACAATTGCTATATATGTCAGACACCTCTGGAGCAACTACTTGCTCAGAGACACATTGGTGTCTCACAGTAGATTTGAACCCAGGTATCTCACACCAAAGGCATGTGTCTTATCCACTGTGCCATCACCACACACACTTCTTCTTCTTCAGCTCTTGAAGTCTACAGCAGCCCATAGAACGTATGATAAAAAAGTTGTGAAATTTGCATATAGAAGACAGTCCAAGCATTAATCATAGCAATTTGCTAGTCTCTAACTCAATCTCTCTAGCGCCACCAACTGTCCAAAGTTTTAAATTTTTTAGTGAAAATAACCATTTAGAATTTTCATCAGCACTATGCCCTGAAGGTACTCAAAAAGTTTTGTGGCAGTGCCACCTTGTGGTCAAGAATTGAAAAATGCTAATAGCTTTTGCCTATTGTAATGAAACTGTTCTTCATAGATTTCTTGGTGATCAGCTGTCCAAAAATGTAATCAGGTAATTAAAAAAAAAAAAAAAAAAAAAAAAAACGTGGATTATTATTTTATTTTTTTGCTTATAACTTCTGAACAGTTTGAAAATCTCAAAAAATTCACCAAACATTGACCACACCTTATCAATTTGGTGTCAGTGCCACCTATTGGTCAAAAATAATAACAAAGCAATTATGTCACATCACAAGTGTATTTATGTGCTCAAAACCATTTTGCTTAAAACCATCTCCATATGTCTTTACTTATTTTGCAGTTGGTCTGAGGCTTGCTGCCTTGATTTTTAGCTCCTCATTCTGCCTCTGTGGTGGTACTTGGCCCCTTAATTGCTTTTATATTTTAAAAAATATATAAAATGTTATATTTTAAAATGTTATTTTGTATATTTTAATTATTTTTACATTTTAAAGTATTTATAATGCATGTGCATTTGACTTAATATTTTGGTACAAATGAGTTTATGCAGCAGGTATTTATAGACAGTGCTGGACGAAGTACACAAATCAAGTACATGAGTAAAAGTACAATTACCTTATTTACTCCTGTAAAACTTATTTTCAGTTTTATAAAAGTTATTGATTTTTAATCTACTTAAGTATTAAAAGTAAAAAGTACTACCATATATTTATTCAGCCAGAACTAATCAGACTAGTCTGCAGACTCTACACTAATGAAAAAGATTAGTACATTTTTATTTTATTACCACCACTTATTATACACTATCAAAGCATTAAACTAAAGTTAATGAAGTTGCTGATAATTAAAGTTAACTAAGTTGCAGATTATTAAAGTTAAATAAATTACTGATAATTCAAGTGTGCTAACAAATTAAATAATATACCATAGTATTTTAAATTTGGGGAAAATACAATTTGTGTAAATGTGGCAACAAATTTTTTTCAAATAAAAAGTCAACACAAAGTGCGCTTATCTAATGGTCAAAAATCTCAATAACGGTGTTCAACCACAAAACAATTTTTAATAAAAGGAAGAAAAAGTTGGCACACCACAGCTCCAAAATCACAGCTCCAATCACCACAGGTGATATTTGAGCCAAATGGCTCTTCATCAGTCTCACATGAGGCAAGATATGTTAAACATTTTAAAAGGAATCGGGTCCGCACACAGTATGTTTTTATGGAATGTAGCAGAGTAAAAAGTACAATATTGTGCTTAAAAATACTGTAGTAAAGTACAGATACTTGAAAATGTACTTTAGGACAGTAACAGTAGAAATAGTTTTACACCACTGTTTATAGAAGTGTTTTATCGTGTCATGTTACGTATCTCGACCTTTCTGGCTGGATGAAGGACCACCACCTTCAACTAAAACTTGCGAGACAGAACTACTTGTGATCCTGGACAAAACAACACTTCATCCATCAACTTCTCCATTCAGCTAGGCTCATCATCCATAACGTCATCAAGGTCAGCTAGGAACCTTGGGGTTGTAATTTTTATCAATTGAATTTCACAGACCACATTGCTAGAACGGACCGGTCCTGCAGATTTGCCTTGCACAACATTAGGAAGATCAGGCCCGTCCTAACAGAAGCATGCTACACAACTCCTTGTCCAAGCAAGCGCTTGTTCTATCCAGACTGGACTATTGTAATGCTCTCCTACCTGGTCTTCCAGTTTGATCTGCAGCCAGAGTGGTCTTTAATGAGCCAAAGAGAGCACACGTCAGTCCTCACAAAATTGCACTGGTTGCCAGTTGCTGCACGCGTTAAATTTAAGTCACTGACAGACTGTAGACTTCGCCTACAGAACAACCACTGGCACTGCTCCCTCTAAACTAACTTCTGACTTATGTGCCATCCAAAAACTTGCGTTCTGCCAGCAAATGTCATCTTGTGGTACCATCTCAAAGAGGCACAAAATCTCTTTCTCAGACCTTTACCATGACTGTTCCCTGTTGGTGGAATGATCTGCCTAACTCAACCAGAGCTACTGAGTCAGTAGCCACTTTCAAGAAAAAGCTGAAGACGTATCTTTTTCGAAAGGACTTGACCCTGTAATATTAACACTTTCTCTTTTCTCTTCTATTCTATCTTAAAAAAGAGGGGTCAAAGTATCTGAGAGGGGTCATAGCACTTACGATAGTTGTCATACCTACTGTTAGTTTAACTGCTTCTAATGGTCTCATTTGTCGCTTTGGATAAAAGCATCTGCTAAATGAATAAATGTAAATGTAGAAAACACACATTTGTCTTAAAGCCTGTCCTTAAAAAACATTTCAGTGTTTAATCCAGACATTGTCCTTCAATAATGTTTATCCTAAAAATTAAATTAGCAAAACCCGAGCATGTGCGTAAGAAAGCACCATTGCACCAATAAAATAGTGTCCACAATTGGATTAACAGTTTAACCCAGACCTGAACATGGGATTACAAAAAGTTGTAATTAGGCAAACCTATTTAGCATAGTGCTCATATGCTTGGCGGCTTTCCAGAGCTCTTGTGCAACCAATTGTGGTATAAATTGCTGTGTGTGAATACAATGAGTGCACAGTATACATTGTGATGGTAGTGATCAGGTCTATGTTGAGCAGGTAAGCGTGGACCATGTCCTGGTTATACAGAGGGGAACGGAGCTACAGGAGAGACTCGCAGACTGTCTCTGGACTCTGAGCTAAAACAAGGTGAGCAGCTCATACACTACTTTTCAAAACCTTGTGTTCGGTAAGATTTTTTTTATGTTTTTGAAAGAAGCCTTAGCAATATTGCTATAACTGTAGCAATATTGTTAAATATTATTACAATTTCAAAAATCTGTTTTCTACTTTTATATATTTTAAAATGTAATATATTCCTGTGATGGCAAAGCTGAATTTTCAGCATCATTACTCCAGCCTTCAGTGTCACATAATCCTTCAGAAATCATTCTAATATGCTGATTGACTGCTAAAGAAAGTTTTCTTCTTATTATACTTTTTTTTTGATTAATAGAAAGTTTAAAATAACAGTATTTATTTGAAAAAAATGATAACATTATGAATGTCTTTACTGTCACTATCGATCAATTTAATGCGTCCTTGCTTTGTAAATTTATTGATTTCTTTAAAATAATAATAATAATCTTACTTACCCCATTTTTTTGCATCAATTTGTCTGATATTTATTAAAACTATTAATAAATTATTATTTAATTTATATTATTTGAAGTTGCATGTCAGTTTGTTAAATTGTGTATCTCGTTTTTTTGTTGTTGTTGTTTTTCATCCTGTTCTCATCCCAAGGTGTCACATACTGACGCTTTTGTCAATGCGTGATGTATACATCCAACGCACATGGCACCTTTTCGTGTCAATATGAGACACAGATATATATGGGCCAGAAGGTGCCTCCTAGTGGTCTAAACCTACCCCAGACCTAAACCTACTCATAACTGAAGCGTGATATTGATGCTAAAGGGTGCCATGTGCGTTGGATGTATACGCATTGTCAAAAGCATCACTATATGACGCCCTAGGATGAGAATGCGTTTGGTTTTTATGTTGTTGTTGTTGTTTTTTTGCTGAGCATTTACACATACAGTACTTATTTTCAATATTCAGCCTAGATGATTTGTTTTTTGTTTGTTGTTTTTGTTGTTGTTTTTTTCAGAAATTTCCCATCAACAGAAAACCTGGTCTCTCAGAAGTAGACCTAGTCAGACCACATCCAATCAGGGCTCAAACAGGTTGGTAGTCTTGTTTTGCACTTTAAAATGAGCTATTAGTGCTGATTAATGTCAGTCTTCTTTGATACTTTGGTATCCCAGATCTCCACTGGGGCACAGACGAAGCACAAGTTGTTGGCTGTCCCGCAGTACATGCCTCAACGCTCCCAACAAGAGTGAACCCCGATCTTCTAGTCCCTGCATTACTGTTAGTGAGTCTGCAGTCAACCTTTCCCAAAGAAAAGCTAAGGTAATGCGCTTAACATCTGTGCTGTACTATGTGCTGTACATCTGTGCTAATTTAATAGTTGTTAATTGTCTGTTTCCATGTTTTAATTGTAGAGTCTTGGACCTGAATTTACCAGGATGATTGATGAACCTCAAATAGTTTTAGAGCTGCCAGGATCTATAGTGGTAAACTCCTTTTCTGTATTTTCATCTATAATGAACTTAATTTTGAAGTGTTCAGTACTTTTTGTAGCTTTGCTGCATTCTAAGGTTGCAGAGTTATTTCTCTGTATATTTATTGTCTTTTTCCTTTCTCTTTCGATCGATACAGTCAAAGAAAGGCAAGTCAGGCTTGTCTCAAAGGGAAGTTAACGTGATCATGCCAAATGAACAGTGTGTGGCAGTGAAATGTGACATCAAGTCCCGCGGGAGAGATGTATTCGACATGGTTGTGGCACATGCTAATCTTGTGGAACACTTTTACTTTGGCCTTGCTTTCATTGATGGTAAAGCAGTCTTGTGTGTGTCGTTAATAACTAATAGAGACTCACGTCTTTTGTATTGCCCACACTTTTGAGCTGTCTTGCAAAAGTGAATAATTGCATTTTTCCCATTTAGATGGTGAATATTTCTTTTTGGACCCTGAGACAAAAATCTCAAAGGTTGCCCCAGATTACTGGAAGAAAGTGGCTTCTGCAACATTTACCCTTTTTCTCCGTGTCAAATTTTTCCCTGATGACATCTCCTACATATTGTATATCTTTTTTTTTACAGTTTTACATATAAAGTACACAATATTTAGATGGTCTGTTTAAAGACCCCTTGATAACTGTAAAGTGCTGGAGAAAGCAGGCGAGGGTGAGGATCTATCTGCAAGGTTTTAATGATAATACACCTAGAACTCCAGGGACAAAGAAATAAAACCACGTGAAGGACCGAACTAGAAGCAACCATACTGACGAAGTAACAAGTGAAACACCAGGGCTATAAATACACAGGGACAAACAAGCTTAACTAAGTAATGAGGAAACAAGATACACCTAGGAACAATCATGAACAAATCAACATGAAAAACTACATAGAACTACAAAACTAGTACACACAAGACAAGTGGAACACAAGACAGGAATCATGACAATAACAGGCTTTTATGTACAGTATGTCTGTTAGGTTTGGGGTCTCTCATGTGGTAGTGTAGTCATAAAACAAGCTTTTTAGTACATATATTACCTTTTAAAAGTTTGGGGTCAGTAAGATTTTTTTTGTTGTTGTTGAAAGAAATGAATATTTTTAATTTAGTAAGAATGCATTAAATTGATCAATTGTGACAGTAAAACATTTGAAAATGGTACAAATGCAGCTTTGGTGAGCAGAAAAGACTTTCAGAATATAAAGAAAATCTTACTGACTGAACGCATTTAAAGAAGTCTTTCAGGAAAGAAAACTGCACTTGTCAAGTCATGGGGCCTTTAATGACCATTATTCCTAATTGTTTGCACTGAAATCTTCTCCTTTTATTCCAATGCTCACTGTTTGTTTTTGTCTCTTCATTTTAAAAGGCATAGACTTACACGACACCAATACTATCTCCAGCTGAGGAGAGATGTTCTGGAGGACAGACTGTACTGTAACGAGGAGACTGCATTGTTTCTCGCTGCTCTCGCACTGCAGGCTGAGTTTGGGGATTATATGCCTGAAGTGAGTCAGATTAATAATTTTAATGTAATAATTTTCAACTGACCTAACTAGACAGTATTTTGAGAAACAAACTGACTTTTTCAGGTTTACGGGAAGAACTATTTCCAGACGGAACAGTACATCTCTAAGAGAGTCATAGAGAAAGTGGCCTTGCCCTGTTTAAGAGAGGAGTTGCCAAGGTTACATGCCAATAATGCCCAGATGCTTCCAGAGGAGGCTGAGATGGAGTTCTTAAAGGTTCTTTCTTTTGGCCTTCATTCTAAAATGACTCTTCTAAAGCTTATAAAACTTAACAATAAAACAAATGAACTCTCAGATGAGTATAATTGTAGTTTTCTTCAAATATTTGGATGCTGGATCGTAGTTTTCAATAGCTCATGTGTCTTTCATGCCTTTATAGATTGCACAGCAGCTACCAGAGTACGGGGTGTTGTTTCACAGAGTAGCCCGTGAAAGGAAACCTATTATTGGAGAGCTGGTTTTGGGAATTTGTGCCAAAGGTATTCTGGTATATGAAGTCAAGAACAATTCTCGGATGTTAAGCCGCAGGTTTCATTGGACAGAGATAGACAGTCTGTCAACTAGTGTGAGTTTACGGCTATTATTTTTGTGTCAAGTTAAAACACATACATGATGTTTTGTGTGAAGGTTTTAATCCTGTTCTGTTATTCCTACCATAGAGACGAAAATTTACCATTGAGTGCAGCCCTAGTGGGAAGAAGCAGTATTTTGTGACGGAGAGTTCAAAGATTGCACAGTACCTCCTGAACCTCTGCTCAGCCCAGCACAAGTTTCACAGTGAGATGACCTCTCGTCAGCTGACCTACTGTTTAGCCTCAGGTGTGTAAAATCATTTGTGTCATTTGAAGTTGGAGTCCAACAATCTGACACCACTAGTGAAAATTCTTTTCATACAAATTTTAATACACTTTTATCATTTCCCAAGGGCATGTATGCTTCAGAATCAAATATAATTTTGCATAAATAAATAAATTTACAAAAAAAAAAAAAAAATTATTATAATAATTTGATATGTTTGACTGTTTTGTTTTCTTTTTTATCCGTTTATTGTTTTTGCCAGCTGGAAATGATTTGTTAGTTTTTTTTAGGATCATAAATAACCTGAATTTATTGGACTTAACAGGTAGTTAATTATCTCTCTTATCTCCTTTTCTAGATGACAACATAGCAAAATATACATCAATATGTCGTGCTCGACACGATCAGATAAAGAGGCTGTCTTGCTCGGAGATCGTGCTCAATAATATTGGTTTGAATGTTTTACCAAATGACTCCATTAGCAAGTCTTGCGATGACCTGTCAGCAAAAATCGGAGTTCGGATTCAACAAAAGAATGAAGTAAACTACATTCCTGAACCAAGAGCTCCAAGTGAACTGAAAGACCAGAGCCAAAGCAGCAGGTGTGTCAATGGATCTGCTCTGCACAAAAAACAAATATGTATTGAAGACCTATTGATTTGATCTTTCCTCCTTGCAGCCCATCAGACACTTTCAGTCCAATCTACCGCATCATGTCCAATGTCTCTTTGCAAAAGCAGGACTCAGAGGTTCATTCCACCACCTCGTCTATAAGAGGTCAACAGTGAAACTTTAAAGTTCTTCATAACTATCTAATTGGAACTGATTACAAACATTTCAAGTTAATAACACCCTAAACATTAAAAACAACAGTTATTCTCAATCTAACATACAAATATGTATTTTATTCTCAGTGGACACCCCAACAAGAACAACCCCGGAGAGAGAAATTATCTGTGTAACGTTAAAGAAGGATCCCAAACTTGGCTTCGGTGAGTATAAATAAGCATCTTTTATATAACATGAAGTGCTTGCTGGAAACCTGCCCCACGAAACTGATGTATCACTGTTGTTGCAAAGGTTTTGTAATAGTCGGGGAGGACAACACAGGGAAGTTAGATCTGGGAATTTTCATTGCATCCATCGTTCCGGACGGGCCAGCTGATAAGGACGGCAGAATCAGACCAGGTAAAATCCTGACCCTTTTCCCTCATTTATGCCAAAAGAAACAAACTAAATAAGCTGAAAGTCTTTTTCTTTTCTGTTTAGGTGGTCGGCTGATCTCTCTGAATAAGATCAGTCTAGAGGGGGTGACGTTTAATAAAGCTGCTGCCATACTGCAGAACAGCCCGGATGAAGTGGAGCTCATAGTGTCCCAACCCAAACGTACGTTTTCATAACATGAGATTTCATATTGTTCACATGATCTATATTTATACTATTTCACTAAAGGTGAAGTGCGTAATTTTGCAATATGAAAAAATACATTCTCTTATACCAGCTTAACTCTTTCCGTTAACAACGGCATTGACGGAATTTTCCGGGTCTCCGTGTTGTCACTGTTATGCGGTAGGGGGCGCTATTACACATCTTCTGAAAGAGTACTGAATCACCGAAGAAGATGCAGGAACAAGTGATATATCATATGTAATTATATGCATATGTAAAATAACATGATTACCAACATCAACCCAAACATGTCTAATGTTATTGAATAAAATGTCGACCCAGGACAAGGTATAGGACTGTGCAAGCATCTGTGCAAGCAATTACATCAAAATGTAGTTTATTTTTATTTTTATGCTCTTTCTTTTGATATATTGCATGTTCAGATATTCACACAAATAAATATTATGGGGGCCAGGAAAATTGTGTGGAAATGATCAAAAACTCTGACGGTGGCTGCTAGCAACTTTTTTTTTTTTAAACGCTGGCGGGGAAGAGTTAATATGCTAAAACAACTATTAGTAAGCCATAACTGTACATCTTTATTGTTCAATTACATTTGATGAAATCAATTACTCACTTTACCTTTAAAAGGAAGAAAACTGACAACGCTAACCACTGTCAGGTCAAAAGTTTTCATTTTTTGTTCATGTTTAGAGGATCTTCGGGACAGTAAGACTTCACTGGCTGCAAGTAATTTAGGGATAATGCTGGAAAAAGGATTTGGCTCCCAAAGCACCCTGAGTGCAGAGTACAGGCCTGTGATGGAGGAGCTGGAGGAGACTCTCTCCAACATTATGGCTCCTAAAATGGGCAAAAGGCTGCACATACCTGTGGTGCGGATTCTGGATATTCAGGTGTGATTAATAGTGATGCTGCTTGTCCATTTTACTTAAAAAAAAACATCTGACATGAAACAATACTGATTTTAACCAAAATGACTTTATATTTGTTCATCCTATGCAGGATGGGATGTCTAATAATTCTTCTAGCTTCAGTTTGAAGCCAGGTGAAGAAATCTACATGGAGCTCAGAAAGATCAACAGCAGCTTGGGAATCAGTGTTGCTGTGAGTTTTTACTCTGTGTGGCATTCATTTCAATTCTTGAATCTTAAAACATGGACGATGATACTATTATTAAATGATTTTTAGGGGGGAATCAACACTAATGTACACCATGGAGGAATTTACATCAAAAGCGTGATGCCAGGAGGGGCGGCAGATCAAGATGGAAGAATACAGATAGGTTAAGATCCATCATTGCCAATGATAAAATATGATAAATATTCAAAATACACACTTTTCTTAAAATATTGTTTTAATTATCACATTTTTGTAAGATGAAGGACGGTATGTTTTAAGAAGTCATTGTGCACACCAAGGCTGCATTTATTTGAAGAAAAATACAGTAAAACAGTAATATTGCGAATATATTTGAATATATGTATGTAGAAATGTAATTTATTCCTGTGATGGCATAGCTGAATTTTCAGCAGCCATTAGTCCAGTCTTCAGTGTCACAAGATCCTTAAGAAATCATTCTAATATGCTGATTTGGTGCTTAAAGAAAACTTTTCTTATTATTATCAATGTTGAAAACAGTTGTGCTGGTTCATATTTTTTTATTTTCAGGATTCTTTTATGAATATACTGTAAATCTAGAAAGGACTGCATGCATTTAAACCAAAATCTTTTGTAACATATAAATGTTTCAATTTATAAATATAAAGTTTTAAATGAATGAATTTACTGGCACTTTTTAATGGTAGTGGTATGTGTTCCAGTTTTTAGTGTGTTCTATGCATATTTGTCATCTCCTTGACGATGTACAAAAATGACTCAGATGTTCCTAACATGCTAATTAGCGTGAACATGCAACTCCTTACTGGTTGTGATGCATGATTGGTGTTGACAGCTCAATGATGTGTTATGTGTGTGTGACAGGTGACAGGCTGCTGGAGGTGGACGGCTGTAACCTGCGCTCCGTCACACACAGGCAGGCAGTGGAGTGCCTAAAGAGGACGGGAGAGGTACTGACATGTTTGCTTTACTTTTGAGCGGTACAATCACAACCGTTTATGTTGTAAGCTGTTGCATATGATTGAGCCTACAGTACAAGTCTGGTCCTCATGATTCGGAAGTTATGTAAGACCGTTTCTGCTGAGAGTATATGGTATTTATTAATATTTTGAATTAGCTTTTATTTTAGTTTTTTTTTTTAAATAATTTTATGTACTTTTGTGATTTTAATAATTATTGTTGTTTTTTTTTTTTTTTTGTAAATTTCTCTTTGGCTTTAATTTATGTGAATTTCAGTTTTAGTAATTTTAGAACTTATTTGTTTTTTAATTTACGTTTTTCATGTAATATTTATTTTATTTTTTCAGCTTTATTTATCGTGCCATGTGAGTCATTTCAGTCTATTGTAGCAGAGCGCTTGCATTTTTTCAAACAGTTAAAGAGCAGTCGCTTTCGTTTAATCTTAGCCGTTATATTGAGAAGTAACAGCCGTAGATGTGAACTCTAGCACAAGGACGAGACAGAGGTCACAATATGTCTGAAGGGCCTTTGGCCCTTTCTTCAGCATGTCAGTTGCTTTAGGACAACAGCACCAGCAACCCTTGTGTCTTAAGGGTTCTCAGACTGCACAAAAGAGAGATCTAGAGTGACACATGATTGTGAAAGCATGTGTTGGTCGTTATTTTTGTCTGGGCTAATAAGATCTTCTGGGGTATGACGCTGAGCTGTGCGTCGTTATACTGACACACTATAACACTTAAGCTGACCTGTCTTCAGCCACACGCACTGATTAGGTAACAGGCCGTGTGCTAAGCAAACTGATGACATGGCCAAGTTCACCGTAGGCATGCAGCTGATGGGACAACCATTGTCTTTAACAGTAAAATAACAAGACATGTTGCTTTAATGAGTGTTATTTTCAGGTGGTGAGCCTGGTTCTTGAACGAGAGCCTCCGGTGGTGTTAGACACTTTCAGTGCTTCATCCAGGTCGGAGAGACAGAGATCTCCTTCACATCTCAGTGTGCAGAGCGCACCCACCCCCCTGAGGAGAGATGTGACAATGGAAACACCCTTGTCTGTCAGGGCCAAGGACTTCAGATTTGTGTCAGATGGTGAGATGGGCATCAGAGAGGGGGAGGGAACACTGCAAAACATTTCAACTGAATCTGACAGCGACCCTGTGCTTGCTGCCAGACCCAAAGACCCAGCCAAATTTAGATCTTGTCCAGGGGAACATTGGTTAAATTTTTTTTGCCCAGGCATATGTTTTGCATCAAGCCTGAAAGTTAGAGTCACTCTTACAAGCAAAATTTAGTTTCTTTTCAAACAATAACACCCAAAAAATTACCTTTATGTCATTCCAAATTTGTATGAATTTCTTGCATCACTTTAGCTTAGGGTCCAATTCTCACTATTAACTAGTTGCTTATTAGAATGCATATTACTAGCACATGGCTGTTTATTAGTACTTATTGAGCGCATTTTAATGCCTCATTCTGCATGACCATATTATGCATCCTTTAATCCTACTCAAAACCTAAACGTAACAACTATCTTACTAACTATTAATAAGCAGTATACTAATTAGGAGTTTACTGAGGCAAAAGATATTGGATTCTAATCTAAAGTGTGACCGAATTCGCAAAAAGTGGTTCGCAAAAAGGGAATTTTTGAAGAGTACCTTCGACACTATTTATAATAAATTTTTATAAAAGGTGAATGAGATCTGGGGCTGTCAAACTTTTAAAAAGGATGCAAACCATAAATGTGGTCAGTTTGACTATGATTTGAATCTTCTGATGTCATATGATCAGTGTTGTTATTGCTATGTAAAACTATTAGAAATCAGTTTCGTCTATTGAAATTAAGCTGCAATAAAATATAAATATTAGATGAAAAGAAAACTGCATTTTAAATGAAAATGTAAAATTTACTTATTTATAATTATTGCTTTAGTAACTGAAACAAAGAAACAATTAATTTTAAGTTGAAATACTAAAATGACTAATACTAAAACTGAAATAAAAATAAATTAAAGCTTAATAATAGAATTATTTTAAAACAAATCTATGTAGTACCACTACAACAAAAACACATTTCAAATGTACTGAAGCTTAAACAAAAATTGAATTGTAAACTGAAAATATAAAAATAAAAGCACATTCTAATTATAAATTATATTAAAATAATGTATTGTGTGACAGTCCTCATTTATTTTCTATTTTCAATTATATTAAAGTGGCTAAAATAATGTAAATCATTACATTATATTATATTAGAGTGGCATGAATATACTGTAATTCTCACAGTAAAAGTGAAGTAAGTCATGTGTTTTGGAACATCGTGAGAGTGAGTAAAATAATAACAGAAATTTTAATTTCGGATGAGCTCCTTTTAACTGTTCACTGTTTTTGTGTTAGTGAGTCAGAACTCAATGTTAACTAGAAATTGAAGGATTTCCGCTCTTTCTTTGTTGCAGATAACATCCGGGAGGTGACGCTTCAGAAGAGTCTCAGTGGCCTGGGGTTCAGCTTCCTCGTATCTGAGCTGGGTCCTGATGAGGGCAGCATGGTGCATATTAAAAGCCTTTCTTCTGGTCAGCCTGCAGGGGACTGTGGGCTTCTGAAGGAGGGAGACATAATCCTGGCCGTCAATGGAGAACCTGTTAAAGGCTTGTCCTATGAGGTAAAGGATGCATTATTTATATCCAGCAATCCAGGACTGGACACAGCAAAGCTCTTTGAGAGACATTTAGCTCTTAAAGGTGTATTAAGATTCAGATCATATTTATGTATGTATAATGTATAACTGTAGCATAATAGATTTCGTATACATGACAACATAATGTGTATGTGTGGCCAAAAAACACAATTAGTTACAGTTTGTTCTTTATTCAGTTTAATAAAATATAATAACAACTGTAATATATGTGCAACGGTTATACATCAAGAGGTTAATCAATCCTTTTTTATATATATAAATAAATTAATGAATACTTTTATTGTCACTTAATTTACTTAAAAGTGACAGTACGGACATTTATAATGTTACACAAGATTTATTTTTTAATCACATGCTTTTGAACTTTCTAATCAAAATATCCATTTCAACATTGATAATAATTAGAAGAAATATTTGTTGAACAGCAAATTTCTGAAGGATCATGTGACACTGAAGACTGAAATAAAATAATACAAAAATTCAGCTTTGCCAACAGGAATAAATTACATTTTAGGAAACGGTTATTTTAAATTGTAATAGTATTTAACAATATTACTGTTTTTACTGTATTTTTGTATCAGAAAGAAATGCAGCATTGATGAGCATGAGAGATTTCTTTCAGAAACATAAAAAAACACTCTTCCCAACCCCAAACTTTTTAACAGTAGTGTATGTCTTTCTGTCACCACAGGAAGTTCTGCATCTCCTCCAAAAATCTCCACCTGAGATCAGGCTGTCAATCTACAGACCCCCACAGGAGGAACATAGAGATATTGACACATCTCTGGTAACATCCTATTTCTAAATTGTTGAGAACAACTCTGAATTTGACATGATATTTTTCAAACTCACATCACTTTTTGACAGGAACCAGACACATTTCCAGCCCGTGCTCTGAGATCCAGGTCTCTAGACATGCAGGCGAGGTCTTTTGCCCCAGACTTCAGTGAACTCCTCAAGAAGCGGACAATAGAGATTAGTCTAAAGAAAGAAGTTCCCCCTGAGCAAACCCAGGAGATCCCCTTGACCCAACAGAGCCAAGACAGTGAGATAGTGGATATGACTACATCAGCCCCTCCACCCCTACCTTCACGTCCATCCTCGAGGGAAGCTGGAGAATTAAAACACCATGCCATAGAGAGGGATAAGCATGAGAACAAAACTCCACCCTCAACACCAAGCACTGTTAAAGTGACAACAGCCAATATAGCACCAACTCCAGCAGCCCCTGAAACAACATTTACAGCCCATCAGCAAGAGTCAAAAGATAATGTTGACTCAAAAACCAACCATGACTCAGCTTGTACCAGGTAAAGGCCTCTTTATTTCTATGTGATGTATAAAATAATCAATATGATGCTAATATTACATGTAAATTCAAATTTTCTTTTTGAGAATAAAGAGCTTGAGAGCTACCGTTCAAAAGTTTGGGCTTAGTACGTTAAAAAAAGTCTTCTGCTCATCAAGTCTGCATTTATTTGATCAAATATAAAGTCAAAACTTTCATTTTGTTAAATGTTATTACAATTTAAAGTAACCATTTTTTATTTTAATATACATAAAATGTAAATTAGTCCTGCAAAGCTTATTTTTTTCAGTTTCACATGATCCTTCAGAAATCATTCTAATAGGCTAATTTAATGTTTAAGAAACATTTCTTATTATTACCCATGTTAAAAACTGCTGTGAGATATTTATATGCAATGAGATATTTTTGATAAATAATAAAAAGAACAGCCTTTATTTGAAATGATGTCTTTTTTAATATTATAAATATCTTTACTGTCACGTTTGTGTCAATTAAAGTATACATTTCTTTAAAAAAAAAAAAAAAAAAAATCCTAATTCAACTATGCTGGGGATGTGACCAGATGGGACTTGATATGTTTCTAGTGAAAAGTAATTTGTCTGTTAAAACTGTACACAAAAATTCTACAAATTGCAACATAGTCAGATCATATTTAATGTTTAACATGCAGCTATATGGAGTGGGCTTTGTGACCAATGAGATTTGGGTGGGGGTACCTAGTACAAATAAACACAAAATCAACAAATGCTGTGTCAGCGTTGACACGTGGTTTATATTTATGACAAAACTATAACTGTTTAACTGTTTCTTTACTGCTTTATTCAAGCCAATGAATCATCTATTGAATCAACTATTTTGGCACAAACAAACATTAACTTCCTGTTATCTGTTCACAGTCACACAACTGAAGGTGTGGAAGAGAGCATGACAAGTTTCACAGCTAATGGGCTGATTGTTACGGCTGATGAAGAATATTTGACCATCGCCACCATGGCACCCTCTCCCCCAACCAGAAGCACCAGTGCTTTCTCCAGTGAACCGCCCGCTCCACCAGCCCTTTCATTGTTAAGCACACCTCCATCCTACCAGCAAGCAACTGAAGCAGCATCCCCAGAAGAACCTCCTGCCCAGCTCAGCACAACAACGGTCAGCAACAACAACGGCTGGGACGATGATGAAGACGATGACGAAGATCCCAGAGGGGTGAAGTCTGATTACATTTAACCTATTCATAGTTTTCAGTCACATGGCTGGCGCTGAGACTTGGAGGGAAAAACATCCATAGAACTGCAGCACAGGCCTGTCAATTTCACATGAATATTTAGATCACCTCTCAAAACAGGAAAAATATAAGTGTAAACCAAGTTTTGGCAAAGTTTAAGCACTTGCTTAATGTGAAAAACTTGCTTAATGTCTCTTAATGTATTAAATCAGTGATATCAAAAGATCAAATTCAATATACTCCTTATTGATGATGCATACTATATACAAGTGAACCCAGAATATATGGTAAGGTGTATATATATATATACTGTATGTGTGTGTGTGTGTGTGTTGAATATAAGGTATATATTGAAATTGGTCTATTAATATCACTGTCTTAGTGCAGTAACCTTGTTTTGCACTCCAATTTGGCATTCCTATTGGGGTGTCATCTCACATGAAAACTATGAAGTCCTTAGATCGGCATTTCAGTGCTGGTTAATGCTCCAAAACTCAGAATTTCTACTTCTATTCAATTTATTTAAATCCTCAGACAGTTTTCTGTGTAAGCGCCTTGAGAAGCATGCTTTATAAAATAAAGCACTACAGTATATAAAATAAAGTGTATTATTATCATTATCATTATCATCATCATCATCATAATTTATTTTTGTCTAGCTAGTGGAGTAGCTTGGCCATGTTCACCTTCTCATATGTTCTGTCTTGTTTTAGGACGTGCTGACGGAGTTTGAACTGACTGTCTCACTGACCAAATCATGGTGTGGCAGCTTCGGTTTTACAATAACCAGGAGTAAACTGGACAATTGCTATTATGTCCAGGATGTCCTGGATAATCCGGCCAAAGCAGATGGCAGACTGAGGGCAGGAGACAGGCTTGTCATGGTACAGCTTTTCTCACAATTAGAAACACAATCACAGTTGTGACCATCTCTTTCTGAAAATTTGATTTGATTGTCAGTGGTGCACAACAGCACAGTTCCAGCTCCTTTGTTTTGACTGAATTGGCATCATCAACTTATATTTGTCAGGTGAACGGTCACAATGTGACCAATGTGGCAGATGACGTGGCAATTGGCATCCTCAGGTGCTCCTCCAAACGACTGCACATGGTGTTGGGAAGAGCTGTGCAAAATTTACTGCCTCCACCACCTCCTGACACCCTCCAGGACATTGTCATACCCAAGACTCCATCTGGACAATTGGGTGAGGAAATACTTGATAGTAGGGGAAACTAGGGTAACATCATATCATAGAATCATAAAAGTAATAGTTGTAGAAACAGTAACCTTCTAACTTTTTTGTATTCAATTCAAAATTATGATAATTTTGCATTTGTCTGTGCAGGTATTAAGCTAACAGGGGGCATTGGCAGCAAATGGCAGGGAATTTATGTCCAGGAGGTGGTACCAAGCTCCCCTGCTAGTGAAGAGGGCAGCATCCAGCCCAATGACAAGATTGTTTACATATGTGGGAAGTGCACCCTGGGAATGACACTGGAGGATGCGGTGAAAGTGTGTGAAAGCGCCCCACGCAAAGTCAGATTCAAAGCCATGAGGTTAGATTGATTAAGTAAAAACATTAATTATATGAAGTGTGAACTGTAAAAAAATAAGATGACAACATACATGAAACTTTTTTTTAAAGCTGCAGTCCGCAGTTTTTCCTCTTTGTCGCCATCTCTGTTTGAAATTAATGTTAATTAAATTAATGTTAACCACTCAAATGAATGTTAACCACGTCAGCATTGCGTGACTACATGTAATGTCCTCCTAATATGTATCCTTGTTTTTGCATGGGTCCGGTTGCAGTCTCTTTTTTTCACTCCAAAATCCGAACAAAGTCTTTTGCATTTTACAGCGGGTGAATCTGTTGTTTGAACCTTTCTGGATCCGCCATTAAATTGACAAGTTTAATTATATCAAGTGAGAAGTCGAGACTCTTCTTTATGTGTACAGATGTGACGTAATGAAGCAAAGACATGCTCCAATCTCCCGTGGAAATCCACCAGTACCATTTTTAGAATTAAAAACATTATTACAAGCTTACCGATTTGAATCGAGCGAAGGCAAGCAGATAGCGTTGAACACTGGCTGGTTATGTATTTTTTCAAAAATGTATTTTGGATCATTTTTAACCTAAAAAAAGCCACAGACTGCAGCTTTAAACATTCAAGTTGATTGTTCTTAAAAATTTAAGGCAGCAACTTATTTTGTGTATTTTTTTTTTTTTTTTTAATTAAATGTTTTTTTCTTTTTTTCAGAGATGATCAACCAGTGATACCAATGGATAAATGGAATGGTACGTTTGAGCTGATCTTCTTGAATTACAGCAATAATAGTTTGAATCATAATCTATACAGAATATGAGGATGTAATTAAGTTTAATGTTTATTTCTTCGCTTTGAGTGTGTTTGTTGGTATTATTTAGTCATATATGGAGTTACATAGAGACTTTAACCTTCCCATGGGCGAAGTAACTGCTCTGGCTGTCAGTGGGGTGTGTTTTCTTTCGCTTTGGGCGTGTGAAGGCTCCGGCTGGACTGCAGAGGGCAGCCGTGATCGACGTGCTTCAGTCTAGTCTGAAGTGACAGATATGATGTGGAGAGCTTCTCCAGTGGAGGTCCAGAGCAGCCCAGGCTTTCACTGCACGCTTCACTGGACACTGCCACATTTTGAGCGAAGTGTCAACTCTTATTAGAGTGCTTTACACTTTGTCAGCCCTGAATAATATTTCATTCGCTTAATTTCAATGTCATTTTTAAATTTCACTCTATTTATCTATATTGAAGTGGGCACCAAAATGAAGATTTAAAGCTATTCATATTCATGTGTTATATACAAAAAAGTTACAAATAACTACATTTTCTCAAGAAAATGTTATTGGTGCTAAACTTGTTGCCATGATCTAGGTTGTTGTAAAATCTGGTGTAGATTTTCTCATAAGCAAACTCTGATTTCTGGAGTAGCATATTTAAAACAAAAAAACATCCGTTTATACCTTATCCCTTTTCTCATCTTCAGGTTTGTTTGAATGGATGGAGAAAAAAGCCTGTCCTCGCCTCGAAGAGCCTGTGTTGCCTGACGTGGAGGCAGCTGCTATGGATGGTAAAGACTTTGGTTTCCTGTGTCTCTGTTGTCTGGGAGTTGTGGCATTAGATCTGTGCTGACAGACATGGCATGTCTTGCTCAGAGGGCAGCGGGGGCTGGATTAATTATTAGCGAGGGACATGGCCTCCTCTGGCCGATCAAAGTGCACTGTCTTGTGTCTGACGAATAAAGGCCAGCTGATCTAGTGGGCATCCGGGTTGCTAGGAGACCGCTAGCCAGGAGGTCCGAAAGAGCTTGAAAAGGCTAGCACAGTTTACCTACCGTAGCACAGAGCAGATCATCAACGCATCTCCCCCTGAAATGGCAGCAGAGGAGGGGGACGTTTGTGAGTTTGGGAATTGGTTGCAATTGCTGTGCATGTGGTTTCCTCATTAGGGTTGATTTTGTCTTTATTTCTGATTAACTCTGATCAACTTTGGCTTTTGTTTAATGAGTTAGCAGGATCGTTCACACTGAATGGTACATCAAAGTTAAAGAAATGCATCTAAAATTTCTTACAATTTTCTGGCACAAAATCTCTCTTGTTTCTGGTACAGGTAAACCTGTCGCTGACAGTGCCATGCAATTCAGGAAGAGGCTGTCCGTCACATCGGAGCAGGAGGTAATTTTCCCTCTGCCTTGTTTTAGGCTGATGGCATAGCTGTAACATGACTCTTGCTTAGTTATCTCTCTATGTCATTCACCTCTAAATATCTTTGTAATCATCATCATCATCATCATCAACTAGATATATGGTTCATCATTAATAATATTACAATATTCAAACAGCAATCATTTAAACCTTTCCTAGAAAATGGGTGTACATGTAGATAGTTGTTCAGGCAAGACTTGAACTTCTGGACCTGTCTAAGTACAATACTTCATATTGCAAATAATACAATATTTCATATAGCAAAAGGTGATATTTGATCATTTACTATACACAACATAGTACAAATGTGAGCAATTTTGAACACATTGAATGCCTCTGTTGCTTATGTGATTACAGCATACAATGTAATAACAGGAATTAATTACATTTTAAAATGTATTAAAATAGAAAAAAATTACCATTTTTGATAAAAATGAATTCAGCCCTCTTTCGACTCCAATATTTTGATCGCAAGTGTAGATGTACTGAACATTGATCCATTTGATCTACGCAAATGGCTCAATTTCATCACTTGAAAAATGACAGTGTGGACAGTTAGTCCTAATGGTTGGATTTAAAAAGCCAAATCAGATTTGTGTGCCATGTTGAATGGATAGTTCACCCAAAAAATAAAAATTCTGTCATCATTTACTCACCCACCTTCTTTATTCAGTTAAAAAAAATAATAATAATAATTTGGAAAATGTTGGTAACCAGACAGTTAATGGTAAGCATTGACTTCCATGGAGACAAAAATTACTATGGAAGTCAATGGGTACAGTCAACTGTCTGGTTCACCCTTGTTCTGTCCGTGTTCCTCTCTTTTTCTGTAGAGCTGTATCCTCCAGGTAGAGTTCACCAAGCCTGAGAGAAGTGGGCTGGGCTTTGCTCTGGTAGGCGGGGTCAACGGGAGCACACTAAGAGTGAAAGATATTTGCTGTGGGGGTGCGGCTGAGCAGGATGGTCGTCTCAGAGTGGGTGACATCCTTTTGGAGGTATGAGTAAATCATTCCCTCATCGATTTTTTTTTTTTTTCATTGATAAACTGTGTAGGAGGTGTACCACATCTGTGTATGTTTTGCAGGTGAATGGTATCATTGTGTCAGGACTGAGCCACGGTAAAGTTGTGGATATTTTGCGGAAGGCAGAGGGCACGGTTCAGTTAACCATATGTAGGGACATCCTGCCAATGTTTACCTGCTCTGGTTCCAGCTCCCCTGCTGAGGCCACTCAGGAATTCAGCACACTCAATTCTGCAGGTCAGCAAGCCTGATACGCAAGCCCTGTAATGTCTGGACTGTACTTGGTTATCTATTATGTCAGACTTGCAGCATCACTTATATATTCATGTTCAATTGATAAAACTATAACCTATACTTTTTGTATTGAATGTTAATAGAACAATTACCGTATAGGCCAATTAATGCCAATAGCATTCTCAATGGATATTACATTGTTTAGTTGGAATTTTGTCATCAGGTCCTTTTTTGACAATTATAACTAAACATTGAGTATCATGTAAAATATCAGTACAATAAAAAAAGAACTTTTAATTTAGCATGGATGCATTAAATTGATGAAAAGTGACAATAAAGACATTTATAATGTTACAAAAGATAACTTTTATATAATTTTAAATATTATATATATATATATATATATATATATATATATATTTATATATATATATTAAATCTGTTCCTTTGAACGTTCAATTCATCAAAGAATTATAGTTCCCTCAAAAATATTAAATATAAAAGTATTAACCATCACAACTGTTTTCAAAATGGTTTTTGAACAGCAAATCATATTAGAATGATTTCTGAAGGATCATGTGACACTGAAGACTGGAGTAATGATGCTGAAAATTCAGCTTTACCATCACAGAAATAAATCACATTTTAAAATGTATTAAAAATAGAAAACTGTTATGTAAAATGTACAAATGTACATGTATTTTTACACGATTACTGTTTACTGTATTTTTGACCAAAACAAATGCAGCCTTAGTGAGCATAAAATACTTCAATTTAACTTACTTTACTGTAGTTAAATATGATTATTTTAAAAATGTGATGCATTAATTCATAATAATTAAATATTAAGTATAACTGGTATCATGTTATTTATTCTGTTACATTTTTTTAAATTTGGAATTTAAATCACGATTTTGACAGTTTAAGCTTATATATGTTATTGCCATTATATTTGCTGCCCTTTCTAGATATCTGTAAATCAACACTGCATGTTGAACAGATATATTGTTAGCACTGACACTTGAAATTGAACTTGAAAACTGAAACCGATATATAATGTTTAATGGTCTCCTCCTGCTGTAATGCTTCATTTGCAGATATTAGAGCACAAACAGAAGCACATGCAGATCATGTGTCTTTCCAGACCTCAGATTGTCCTGGACTTAGAGGGGAATGTGACCAGGTATATAAACTTGTTTACCCTTTACTGTCAAGTAAATATAATGTATGCAAGTAAATACTGAGATGATGACTATTTCCCAGTAAACTGAAAGTCCATCTCAGAACATATTGGAAGACAAAAACCTAATCTAATAAATGACAAGTTCCAGCACCTAGCTACGGTCACCATAAAATTAATTAGTACCGCCTCCAATTTCTCTCAGAGGAAAACACTGAAACTCAGGTGACAGTAAGGGTGGCCCAAACTGAGTTAACTCATCACCTGTCTCCTCTTTCTCTCTTTTTTCTTTCTATCTCTTGCCTGTAGGAAAGTCGAAACTGTACACCTACCTGTCAGAGGTGTTGTCCGTCTCTGGGAGTTACTGACATGCTACAAGAAAAGTGAGTGCAGCTATTATATCACATGTGCCATTAAGTGTGCTGAGTTTTGTATAGAATGAGACCTGAAAGTTTGAATGAACTGAAACTTCGTAAAAACCACCCGCAAAAACTGTTCGTCTGTTTACCAGTAAATGTGCAACGTGTTAGCACGTGACTCAACATAAACCAGGACTGTCATAAGGACTGAAATTCATTGCGGTTTTTGTTTTGTTTGTTTGTTTTTTAACATAGCTCTCAAATGGAATCGCCACAGGGAGGCACTAAAGAGTCATTAATAAAACACAGGCCCTATAATCACAGCTTTGGCTTCTAGTTAGGCTGGCCTACAAGCCATACTTGTTATAGTACGCAGCACTTGCAATTAGCAGCTTTTTTACATTTTAGGTGGAAAAATCGCAGGAAAATCAGCCTTGCATGATAACAGGCCCCGGAACGTAGCAATGTGGTCAAGGTCTCTGCTCATTCCTGCCCCGTACCCCCTTCAGGACAGACCCCCAGAAGCAGCATCTAGCAAAATCTGCCATGAAAGCAGAGCATAGCGAGTCAGACGACTGGAGCAGTGATGAGGAAGAGGATGGTGATGATGATCACAATGCTTCTCAGCCATCGCCTGCAGAGGCTATTCCTCAAACAGGTAAATCAGACATCTTTATGTTTATTCACCATCTTAGTAATGCTACTCAATATATATATTCATTATTTTAGTGTGATGTAGTATTTATGTTTTCATAAATCATTTTATGTTAGTTGGGAAATACTGAGATCTGATTGGCTTGTGTAGATCCAATCATCTAAAAATAACTTTATTACATTAAGGTCGACCGATCGTGTCAGAAGAGGAGCTTGCCAGTCTTGCGGTCATATCCCCTTCTAAGAATGGGCAGTACTCTGGTTCCAGGGTCAAAGCTCTCATCCAAGCCCTTGAACAGTTGGAAAAGCAAGATCTGATTAAAGAATTTATGGTAAGTTCCTGTTATTTATTGATACAAGCAGAAACATCCAAACACGTTTGTTTTATTGTTATATTTTTCATATAAATCAGTTTTTTCTCTATTTTTTATACTAATATAATGTCTAAAATATGTTTTTGTATTTTACCACAAATTTTATCAAAAGTATGATTCATTCAAGTGTGTAAATGAGAGAACTTGTATGGCTCTTTTTTTACCAGGCTTTAGAGCATTTGAAACCCTCAGACAACTGCCTAGTTGGAAAAGCACCCGAAAACCGGGAGAAGAACAGATACAGGGATATCCTGCCCTGTAAGTTCCTCTGTTTCTCCCATAATCCTCCCCAAACCCTCCCAGTTAGAACTTTTATTGCCGTTTTACAGTTTGTGAGCCTCATTTCTCATAAAATAAGTTTTTGGGGGTACTTTTTCACACCATTATTAAACCACATGGACCACACACTGTACAAAATTGCCAGGAAACTGTGCACTAACAGTAATTCCTTGAATTACTTACGATAAAAAGCTGTATGCCGTTTTTACAATTAAATCAATGTAGGCTTGGTCATTTTTGATGGTAAAAATCACTGTAAATAAAATAATCCACTATGAACTCAGAGTATACTGTCACATATCTTGTATCTACATGATATTATTAGTATTCATTTATTATTACAATTAAATGATTTGTAATAAATTGTTCAGCTTTTTCTATAAATTCATAAAAAATATACTGTAAATTTCCAGAGCAAAGAACATAATGTTTAAATGTATATAGACAACATCGAATGTGGGGAGAGGAATGACCCCTGTATACATTTACCTGTAAACAGTGGAACACATGACACGCCAATTAAGTGAAATGTAACCAATCCCTGGTTATTTACTGCCGGGTGTCCTACCAATGCGATATTAGATTACATTGCCGGTGTAGACGTCCGTTTGACTCAGTATTTCACACTCTATCCACCACCTTTTTGCGGCTTTCCGGACCTCCTCAGCCATGTGGTGCCGTTTTCACACTGCGGCCACGCTTATCCTGTTTGTACGGAATCAGTTTTTGCTGGTGTGAAGTGTAAGGAGGTCAAAGGCTGCATGAGACGCTGTTTGCCCTTAGTTTAAAACATAACAAACGTGAAGTCAAACAGGAGATGTGTGACTCAAAGATCTGCTTTCACTGCACATGAAGGGATGTTTCCCATTAACAATGTCGGAACGAGTATGAAGAGAATGGGCTGTAGTTGTGTTGAAGAGAGCGGGTCTCTGTACAGAATAGGCACAATAAGGCGCTTCATGTGCTGGCAGGGGGCAGACTGGCCCTAGCCTGGCCCGGAGTGTTTGTTTATTATCACTGCAGCTCACTGGGCTTCTGTTCCCTGAATAAAGCGCCCAGGATTGAAAAGTGTGAGGCCCCTGGGACTTAACCACTGTTATTATTGGAGGCAGTTCAAGGGCCGCAACCTTCTCCAGGAAGCCTGATGCCACCCATTGTGGAGGCCGCTCCACACGAATTTACCTACTTCCAGTGACATACGCTTCCCCTTACATATGCCCCCCTTGTTCATATCTTTCCCTCTCAGTTTCACTTTTCAGCCTCATTCCTTTCCGAGCTGTTGAACATGTTTTTGCAAGCAGCCTGCTTTTAGAGAGTTACAACAGCACAAATAGGACCTAACTAAACAATTTTTTATATATTGTTGTAACAGAAAATTTGAGCACAATTACTTAAAAATTTAAATCTCACCAGAACCTGAATCATGTACTCAGGGCTATAGTATGTTATCGCATATATGTACTCTTCAAAAGTTCGGGGTCGGTTCGATTTTTCTTTTTTTTTTTTTTTTAACACTGTAAAAATAGTAATATTGTGATTTAAAACAACAGTTTTATAGCAGTCATTTGAAACTGCTACAGCATGCAGTGGGGAATTCGCATCGACTAACTGCATTGTTTTAACATTATGTTTAGCTTTGACCTAAAACCTACCCCATTCAAACGGTAATACACAAATATGGACATGTCCACATTCAATGGATTTAAACAGCTCACCCTTTTACAGCAGATTTAGCTTTCAAACAAGTGACAGACAGTCATTTATGTACAATAATAAATCCTAAAATTAGTAACATATTTTTTATCATTAGTAACTTAACTAATTTCTAACGTCAACCCTCGCAAGTAAACGCGATTTCACCAAGTACATGTTCCTGAATCAACATATTTGTTTATCCTGGAACAAAATTCCAATCAACCAATCAGATTTAAGGGACAAGTTTCAAGTTGAGGCTTACAACCAGGGCTTCTACACAATTCTTATTAGCCTGCATTTCCATCTGATTTCAGGGATAAATTATGGGTTATTTGGTTAGGGGTTGGGATAATTTTAGGATTAAATTTTCAGTCATGAATGTTGTTCTAGGATCAGCAAAATATGTTGATCCAGGTACATGTGATACAATAAGGATTCTTGGCTCATTTTGACTTGTGAGTTCAGTGATTTGTTAATAGTTAATCAATGAGTTGTTGAATCGAGAACAGATGCAATCGAATTGGTCCAGTTAATGAATGAAATTACACTGAATCAGTGTAATTTGCGAACAGATTTAATGTGTTAATTGAAAATAACGAATTAGAAACAGCTGTTGCATCTTGGACCGGGTAATGAGGCACAACATGTTTTTATGAAATGCAGAAATGTGAAGTAAAAGTAAAAATACTCAGATAAAATACAGATACTGTTTAATTAAATGCATCGTTTCTGAATAAAAGTACTAATTTCTTTCAACAACAACAAAAAAATCTTACTGACCATAATCTTTTGAATAGTGTAGTGTATATGTCAGCCTTTAGTAAAAAAAGAACATTTTTTTATGTATATATTTATTTGTATGAAGCGTTTAATTAGGGTATTGATTGATAAAGTAATGTCATTATTGTAACTTGAACAGAAAATCAAGCAAAATGTGACTTAATTAGTTACAAAAAATCAGTATTCATCTCATTGATTCAATTTCAGAGTATAAATGTTGCTATTTTAAAGTAAAGTCTCAAGTGTGGTGCATTGCAACGAGCCACCATGGGAATATTCTAGATTAGAACATTCTTCTCACCCTGCTCCCCCGCGTTCGCTCCTTTTGGCTTTCCAGCCGCCATGACCTTGAGAGCTCGTTTCATTAATTTGGAGCTATTTTCTGTACCTGGACACAATTTGTTCCTTCTCCTCTGTGGGGAAACCAACAACACTGCATTCTTGGTTTGTAGATTAATAACACTGTTGGCTACCAGAGCCAACAACAGCAATCACCTCATTACAGGAATGCTGAGGCCCTGTAAAAATCTCCAAAATAAAAATTTGTTTGTGGTTTGGGAAACATACATTTGATAGTAAGTACACAAGAGTTTTGTTTTTGACTGAATCTCAAAACAGAAAAATTGTATACCTCACCGTCTGGTTTTCATAATAAGCACTAAATGGTTTAGTTGCCCGGTGGGAATTGAGCAGTCATAGAAAGTTTAACGTAGAAACTTTAACTGTTGTTTTCTTATCTTATCTTATTGCCAAATAACATGCATGCCTGCTCAAGCTCAAATGTACTAAGATTTTTCGGGCCGAGGCAAATACATTTATCATTACAGCAGAAGCAATTGCTTGCTTTATCAAATGTGAGTCTACGTATTCAAGTTGAATTAATCCCAATCTACAATTTCTCTGTACTGTTTGAACAATCAGATGATAAGACGCGTGTTCCTGTCGGAGAGAATGGGGGCTACATCAATGCCAGCTACATTTGTATGAAGGTGGGCACCGAGGAGCTCTTCTACATCTCTGCTCAGGGCCCTTTGCCTGGCACTCAGGATAACTTCTGGCAGATGGTGTGGGAGAACAAGTCTGATGTTATCGCCATGATGACCCAGGAGGTGGAACGTGGCCGTGTAAAATGCCACAAATATTGGCCCGAAAAACTTGATGTTCCCAAAGAAACCAGCCGTTACCAGCTCTTCCTGGATAACTACCAGATGCTTGGCTATTTCCACATCAAGGTCATCAAGATGGTGGAAAAAGAGGTTAGGAGCCTGTACCTGATGGAAATACTGCATCTCAACCAAAATATATTTTTCTTATTTTAACTTTTTCAGTGTAATATCCACCATTTTAAAAACCACATTCAGGCTATGCCTTCAGCATCCTTAAAACAAGATAAATTTATGTGACATCCAAAACTGTATAAAGTATTAAGAATAGCAAAATGTATACTTGGCAACAAAAAGAAACGTTCCTTCATTTTCAACTGCTTTTTTCCTGCAAAGACGTGTAAATATTTTAACTCATTATTGAACTGTGTACCTTTCCAGAGCGGAGGCGTTCACTTTGTGAAGCATCTAAAGTTCACCACATGGCCAGACCATGGCACTCCTCTCTCCTCCGAGCAGCTGGTGTGCTTCATTCGCTACATGAGGGCTATACACTCTAAAGGGCCGATCACAGTCCACTGCAGTGCAGGCATTGGCCGAGCTGGAGTCCTCATCTGCACTGATGTCATCCTCAGTCTTATTGAGAAAGACTTAAGTGTAGGTATTTGTAGGTACAAAAATGAAAATCAAGTCATTATTACTCACCCCCATGCTGTACCAACCCCGTAAGACCTTCGTTCATCTTCGGAACACAAATGAAGATATTTTTGATTGGCTGTATCACTGCTATAGGCACCCTAAGGGATTGAAACTTGACGGCTCAGAAAGTCATCGAAGAAAATGTTTAAATATTCCATGTGACTACAGTGACTCAAGTATAAGTTATTTTTGTTTTGTTTTTCCCACACAAAAAGTATTCTCGTCGCTTGTTAAACTTATACTTGAGTCAGTAGTCACATGGAATATTTAAACATTTTCTTCGATGACTTTCTGGGCCGTCAAGTTTCAATCCCTTAGGGTGCCTATGTGGTAGTGATACAGCTCTCAAATTTAATCAAAAATATCTTCATTTGTGTTCCGAAAATGAATGAAGGTCTTACGGGGTTGGTACAGCATGAGGGTGAGTAATTAATGACTTAATTTTCATTTTTGGGTGAACTATCCCTTTAACACTAAGCTTAAAACAATATATCATCTAAATATGAAAATGATTAATTAATATAAGTGTAAATAATGGCAGAATTCTACAGAAAATTGTTTCCACGCACTGAATTTAAAAATAAAAAGTAATTGCGTCTTTTTATCTCACAATTCTGACTTTATAACTCAAATTGTGACATTAAGGTAATAAGGTAATAAATGATATAAACTCGCAATTGGGACATTTTTTTCGCAGGTTTACTCGGAATTCTATCTTTTTTCATCAGAATTTTGAAATATAAACTTTGAATTCCGAGAAAAATATCTAAATTGTGAGAGAAACTAGAAATTAAAAAAAGTAATGTTCAATTTTGCATTTTTGTTTTCTCAGAATTATGAGATATAAACTCATAATCGCGAGTACTGTAGATGTAACGTTAATTATGAGCAACTAAATCTGTGTACTTCTGTTTTGCTCCCGTAGATTAATGTGAGTGACATAGTAAAGGAAATGAGACTCCAGCGGCACGGCATGATTCAGACCAAGGTGAGTAAATCAGGACTTTCAGTAAGAATGTTTCCTTCAGGTGAATATATACATAGTGCTCTAGGGGACATGGTCTCTCAGCTGAGCCAATGAATAACAACAAAAAACTGTCAATCATGAGTTGGTCTTAGTTGGCTTTCATTTATTTAATCAGCTTTTAAATAGCATCAAAATGGGGTTGGGAAGAATACAATACTTACCTTCTGTGTTTATTCTGTGAGCATTACCCTTCTTCTGAATGTATAGTATAGTTTTATATATATACTTACTGGAGAGGTTTTGCCATTCTTCTTTCTGATTTCAGGAACAATACCTCTTTTGTTACAAAGTCTGGCTGGAGGTGTTACAAAGCATCTCACTTCTTCATGGTCACCACTGGCAAACTGAAACCTGTTCATTAAAGCATCCTTACAGTCCTTAAAATGTGTCACAGAAAGGCAACAATAGATGTGTCTTGGAGTGGCAGATATGTGTTGATCGTGTGTGTCTAATAGTATGACCACTAGTTCTATTAATCGAATATTGAATATATCATAGGAAATATGGTAGACATTTTCATTTACTGTGCAAAGTCCTTGTGTGATCTGATATATATTTTTGTACCATTTTGGCTTAAAAACACTGATTTCATAGCCTTTCTGGACTCCTAGTCATTTTGCCTTGAACTTGTTTTAGTTTCTTTAATGCAAAAGTTATGCACAACAATTATTAATTCAATTCAGTTAATTGAATTAATCAATTTAGTAATTATTTAATTCACTTGACTTATTTTTCACATTTTAATGTCACATTTCAATGTCAAATTTTCAGATTTTCTTACAGAATTGCATTGTTTTGATTTGTTAGTATTGCAGTGTCTGATTTTAGTAGCCGCGAGAGAGGTCATCTTCATTCAAAATGATTTTTACACTCTCAGAAGAACCAGCTGCTAGACAGATACTTTTAGCAAAGTGCCTTTTAATTTCTCTACATGTGGGCAGTTTACCGCTCATCTTTCTTTATCTGCACTCTTCTAAAATAAAAAGCTGTTTTACCTCTTAGTCGACATTAGGTCAGAGGAGGAGGAATTAACCCAAAGAAATAGGACTGATTCTAAGAGATTACAAACCACAGCCTTCTTGTATAGCTTCTGAGGGTCTGCCAGCAGGCATAATCGCTTGGAAACCAGTATTTGACTTTGGACAGGATGGCAAATATCTGCTTACACTTGTAATGGAGAAAGAGCACTTGCAGTAAATCATCGTAAGACATCAGACTCACAATATTAAGCAACAAATGTGTGAATGGGTTGGAAATGGCAATGGACCAATATTCTGTGATACTGTAGTACTTCTCACTGTTGAGCTTGATGCAAAGCAACAGCACAATAATTTGCAGCACACTAATGTCTTAAACTGAGTTTATTATAGACTATGAGCACATCAGAGCTTTTAAAAGGGGTAAAACATCCCATTTGATCTATAGCCATATATTTATTTGCATTGATTTTCCAAAGGCTTGTGAAACATGATCAAACTTCTATATTACTGTATTTCACTATAAATTATTAACCTTGTACTTTGATGGAAAGCTCAACTATGAGCTATAGTTATGATATGTATCAGAAATATCAGCCTATTACTCTACTGTACCCATTTTTACGAATAAAAACAGTATATCATTGTATTTCATGTGTTTCAAAATAATGAATGACTCTTATGAGCTGGTTCTTTTAGTGAATCCAACACAGAATTTACAGTTAACTGTGACTTAAATCACTGTGTTACTGGGGTTTCATATGACAGTGTGTATTTGAAGATGCATGAGTTTCGTCTAATATTTTATATAAAAACAAAATGTATGAATTTTTTTTTTTACTGAAGTATTGTTGTGTAGTCTATAATAGGATTACACTTATGGTGCCTCTAAAATGAAAAATCATTAAAAAAAACTTTTAAGTTTTATTATTATTAAAATGATCTCATAATTTGGCAGTGAAATGGCATTTCTTTTTTTCCCATATATATATTTCTTACTTTCTTCTATTAATGGAGGAACTGTTAAGAAAACTGGAACCGTTAAGATGATTCAGAACTCTTAAATTCTTTTACATTTTCCATCGCTAATATTCATATTCACCACCAATTCAATAACAAAGATCTACAACACTGATCCTAGTAGCACACTAAATTATATGTATTATTTCAGCACAGCTCAGAAGCCTTTCTTCCTGCACTTGATCTGTACACATCCTGAGGATTCCAGTTGTCATTGCGGCCCCACTGTGGATGAATTTCAGGAGAAACAAAAACAGACTCTTTACAGCCAACGACATGGCACACGGGGCAGAGTGTTCCCACTCTGCTTTTACTGCAGAGTAAACACCACCTCGGCTCTCACATGGCCTCCTGTGACAGCATGGAAAGCCTTTTGACCTTGTGGAAGAGGCGGAAAGCCTTCAAAGCCAAACATTAGTGTGAAAATACGATTGGCGAATTCTTCTGTTCCAGGCCTTGTTGATATTGCGAATTATAGCAGCCGTTGCTTGAATTGTCTTCAACTTTTTGTAAAGTGCTAAACCACAATTGAATGATACTTTCACATCAGGAGGGATGTTCCCTACTATCATTAATTTAACAATCACTCTTTGTTGAGAAGTTACCTTAATGTGTTGGAAATGAAACACTCTTTCCCTTGCTGGTGTGATTTTAGGCATGTTTTTCAATAATAAGAATCCATCTGGATTTCATTATTGCTTCTGTTTTCTTCAACGTGTTCTCCAAATGTTTTCAATTAGTAAAGACCAACAACACTTCTGTTGCCTCATAGTAAACATAATGTGTTGGTGGAATGAAATCCCTGACATTAATTGTAATGCTTTGTAGTTGTTGGCAATCCTATCATCATCTTTATTTACATACACCCATTTACAGAGTGACAATAAAATAACTATTCTATGAAAAAATAGATTTTTTGACAACATTAACACGCTGACATAAAGCAATATGCTTTAGTAAGACCTGATTTAGTGCACTTTTAGAAGGAAACTGGCAGAGGATGTAGTTCTGACATATTTCGATCATTGATCATGCAACTGAAACCACATGTGCGGAAATTTGAACATACTTTAGGAATTAATATAAAACCCAACCAAGCTCATCTTTCAGTTTTATAACACTTCCAGAGCCGCTGCTTTTGTCACTGAGCTAAAAAAGTTCAAGAAGACGGCACTGGAGTGGGTGTATTGTCGTGGTAAAGTCATTTGGAACCGTGTATTTGGAGAGAGCCAGTGATTTATAAGAGTGTGGAAATGATCTCACAGCCACCTTGTAAATCCATGGGTTCACAGTGCAGTGCAGACATATTTTTTTGGGTAACAAATGTAAAAATAGCATACAATGTAATACAGCACTAACAAGTCAACATCCTCGGTTACACAGAATTACATTGGTAGGCTACTGTTGCTAATGCAAATAGATTCTTCAGTTGAACTATAAATTAAAACACCAAACCAGCGCAGATAAAAAAGAGTCTGTTTTGCAGCATTCAGAAACAAATCTTGTGCCTAATTCATTAAAGAGGTCATAATGCCCTTTTCACAAGATGTAAAATAAGTTTCTGATGTCCCCAGAAAAAAATTACCCAAAAATAACCCACATATATATTTATACAATGTTAAAATTGTCACTTTTTGAGGGTGAGCAAAAAACAAAGTTTTTGTGTGTGTCGCTTTAAATGCAAATGAACTGCTGCTCCCGACACAGAGGGCGGAGCTTCAAGAGCTCGTGTGTTAGCATGGTTAGCATCTACCCGATTACACAGACACCACTGAAAATGTCAGAAACTGTTTAGCCTTTTATGTTCAAACTGGAGTTGGACAAAGATGGAGAGACTCAAGAAGAAGTGACAACATGTAGAATTCAACAGGACATTTCCAGATGGTTAGTTGATTAATTTATGTTGCTGGTGATGTGGAGTAAAGCTATCTAGTCATTGATTAGCAGCATATTCTAGCTGTGTCTGAAATCGCTCCCTATCCACTATATAGTGCACTATATCGGGTGTCGGCCATTTTGTAGTGGTGTCCGAATTCTGAGTGAACGACATCATTCCCTACATTCATTCACTACTTTTACTTCTGAATTCGAGTGTACATTCGATGTACACTCGCTGAAGCCCTATTTCCCACAATCCAATGCGGAGAGAACTGAGCGCGCATGAAAGTTCGGCGCGAGCAAGTTTAAACCAGAGATTACATTACATCCAGTGGAGGATTTGAAAAATATCCGTTAATCGTCGTTTTAAACACAATAACGGTCGCCGGAGGGCGCTCGACGACACGTCATCTGTGAACGTGAGTTAATGTACAATTTCAGTCGATGAAACTACAAAGCTGGCACGGAGGTATAATTACAAAATAAAGTCATTATGATTGTTATTGTTGTTAATATTATTTTATAAAGTAGGTAATGTAAGTTAAAAGGAGTTTTATCAGTACGCGTGACGAAGCCTTTTCTGCGACAGCTCCAACTCTCCGACGCACAGTGTAAACGTCAGCGTCCGAATTCACTCACTTCATCTCGTTCACTCCTTGCAGATATAGTGCACTCAAATGCCATACACTATATAGGGATTAGTGAATGAGTAAACGAGTGAGCGGTTTCAGACACAGCTTCTGTCATGATAATCTAAAAATCGCGTTCCCTGGGGCGGGGTTTATGTAAATTTGTTTTTAAAATTAGAAAGTTAGTGTCACTAACCATTTAGAAGCGATTTATGTAATATAATTATTTCCCTTTGTTTTGAACTTTGAGCTTTGTAACATTGCAGATGTTGTTTATGCTTATACACACTAACTAAAGTAAAAAAAAAAGTTAAATCATAATCAACCACCCCTTTAATAATTTTATGTTTACAGAAGAAAATCACAACTTTCTTTTCATGCATTTCACTTCAAAAATTAAGCTAAACTAAAACAAGCCTAACTACTTGTTTCTAACACAGCCGGGAGAATGTAGTTTTTACATAGGCTATATGTGTGGTTTCGATCAGTTCATAATTTGAATTTAATATTAAAATACATTTTAGTGCAAACTTACTAATGAGTAATAGGCTATGGTGACTTATGGATGGCATGGTACTTTGTTATGTTATAAATGTAGTTGTATTATGCTTAAGTGTAATAATAAGTGTACATTTATAAATCATTTTTAGTTCATGTGCTAATATGGTCAGTTCTGTTTGCAATTAGATGTCTCACCCACAAAAGCAGTGAATTATGGAGAGCAAAGGATCAGTTCATAAAAGAGAGCCAATGGATCTTTGAGAGCAACCAGAGACTTGTATGCAGACAGAAGATGCCTTGTATACATACAGCTGGAGCTTCACTTATGGACTTATAGTCACAAAAAGGAACTGATGGGAAAAGCAGAAGACTACGGATGGTTAGAAGAACGGGGCAGGTGTTGAGTAGCATGCTGGTGGGTAAGTAATAGTGTTCCACCTGTGCTGTATCCCCCATGTAGTCATGTATCTGATTAACAGCAGGAAGGGCTCGCTTCCAATGTGGCCTGTAAAATATGACCAGGTTTCTTGAGCACTACAAGATGAAGTATAGATTTTTGCTCAAAAAATATTATATTATTAGGAAAAGTAAGGAAATTGCTCATGGTACAGCACATTTAAAAGTATTTAAGTGCAAAAAAAGAGACCTACGAGTTATTTTTGGAAAGTAAATCTGATTGAACTTTACGTGCACTGACAATTCAGCTCCTGTCCTGTGGGAAGTGAAGTGAACTATCAGGGAATCGAAAGGTCTGTGGATTTAGTTTGCACTAAGTCGAAAGTAAGATTGCTGAAATGATTATGCTGGGGATCTGCCCATCTGGGCCAATGTAGTGCAGCTGATGCACGTGTTTTTGTTTTTTACATTGTCCTTTACCCTTGCCTGGCTTCGCTTTGGCGACTGCATAGCGTCACAGACAGAACAACCTTTCATTACAGGCCTGAAATAAACTTACTGGTGTGGCC